TGCATTACTTTGTACTTTATAAATATTAATTTGCTAGTTTCAACATATCTAAAGTAGATATTAATCTTCCACTATATGATATTTTAATATAGTTTTTATAACATATGTTATTTTATTCAATCATATGTGAGAATTATTTGTATAATACGTGAATTTTGTGTGTCTTACTGAAAATTTTGTAAAAATTACGTGTATAAAACATTAGAAATACGTACGAACATGTACAATACGACTATTGTATGTTTGCTTTTCAAAGAACGTGAGATGTGTATAGAACATATGTATTATTGAAAAATACGTATGTACATATATATATTATTTTTCTAAATTATTATCACTATATAAATTCTTTAACCAAATTTAATTAATAAAATCCCCTTTTACATTTTTAGGTAGTTATATGACGAATGCTCCCACCATCTCCCTCTGCTTCTTATCGCATTTCTTCATATTTCTTCTTTCAATGATATTTTCTTTCTGGGTTTTTACTCGTTGTGTAACTTATTAGTTGAACTCCTGTTTTTTTTTTTTTTTTTTTTTTTTTTTTTTTTTTTTTTTTTTTTGTGGTTTTGTTTTTGGTTGTTTTCGGTTTATCGTGGTCTTTTTTTATTTTTTATTTTTTTTTCTGTTGTAATTTTTTGTTTCTCACAATTTAATCTGATTCATGTATTCAAAAGGAAGGCTATGAATTCTTAATATGCCAAAACCCGCTATCTAGTTTTAAAAGTTCTTGATAATTTTGATAATAATAATACAAAAATTCAAGAAGAACTATTGTGTTCAGTAGAATATCCATGTCATGTTTATGCAATCAGAGTTGAATTCATTGATTTTAAATTCGACTATGAACTATAATAATTTTCCGAATACTATTTGTAAAATTGGTAAGAAAATATATTGGATCAGAATGAATTCTCATTGATCGTATCGTGGTGTAAGCTTATATAATACATTCCGTAGGTTACTCCTACAAGTAAGCTAACTAGCTAGGAAAGAATATATACAGGAAGTCAAATAATATAACATTCCTATTCTATTATACAATCCCTAAACTATAGGATAATCTTTGATTCTCAACACTGTTTAAGAACCCAATTTTTTTAAATGGTAAACTTATTTGTGTTTAAGAGACCGGATTCTAATTCTTTTAAGATTTTGCATTTGGCAGATTTACCAGGCCTTACTTCCTTCGCTATCCGATTTGCATTTGGCATTTCCCCATGTGTTAGGTTTTTTTTATTGTTCTGTACTGGAATGACCCAACCAAGAAACAAAAGGAACTCAACAACATTAGGTCCTGGCTGACTCCAAAGAGAGGACTTGGATATTCTCCTTGTTTTCACTGGCTTTGCATCTTAATTCTTAACCCCTTTCACCGGATTAAAACCTACGACAATTAAAATTTCATATCAGCAACATATTTTAAATGCACACATTGACACTTCCAAGAGTAACCTCATTTACTTTTATTCTACCTATTGGTCTAGTGGCATTTAGTCTCCACTTTACTCGAGACTCTTCTTGAGTGAGGATACCGCATGCAGAACACTTGATACAGATGCTAGTCTACGCAGAAACATAATATACCAAAACTAATGAGAACTTTTTATTCACCGTTTCTTTCTTTGTATTTAATTATACACGCAATGCAAACATAGTAACAATACACATTCAAGCAGATTAATACAGAATATAAATCTAAGTATGTGTTCAAGCTTCCATAGGCTGCAGGAAACTTAAGCGGTGGTTTCAAGAAATGGATAATCAGTGTAACCAACAACCGGATCAGATATGTAGAACGTATCTCTGTTGTACTTATTTAGAGGAGCGTTAAGCTCAAATCTTTTTGGCAAATCTGGATTAGCTAAGAACCAACGTCCATAGACAATGAGATCTGCATGGCCCTCTGCCACAGCTTTGTTCCCATCTTCCCTGTCAAAACCACCACCAGCAATGAAGGTGCCTTTGAAAGCTTCTCTCATGGGCAGAAGGCTGTCAGGGCTTTCAATTTTGTCTCCAATTGTCTTCATTCTTGGCTCAACCATATGGCAGTACTGGATCCCATATTTGTTCAAGGATTTGGCCATATAAAGGCCTAATGCTTTCGGATCTGAATCCGCTGATTCCATATAGTCGGCAAATGGAGATAATCTAATTCCAACTTTATCTGCTCCTATCTCATTAACAACAGCTTCAACGATTTCCAGAGCAAACCGGCAACGATTCTCCAGCGATCCACCATATTCATCTGTTCGATCGTTCACTTGGTCTTTCAAAAACTGATCAATCAGGTAGCCATGCGCCCCATGAATTTCAACCCCATCAAAGCCTATATATCAGAAAAGCATTTTCCATGTAGCCAAGATGTTACTAACTTAACATTATAAATCATATGATATTCTAAATCTAAACAAATACAATTCAAGCATCAATCTGGCGTGATCTTCGTTAAGTACATTTGGCTGAGTAGTTATTTATGGTCCATTTTGATTTCCTGCAAATTTTGATTTATATTTAACTTAAAAGATAAGTTACCAGCTTCAATAGCATTCCTTGCAGCAAGTCTGAAATCATTGACAATTTGTGGAATCTCATCTGTCCTTAATCGCCTTGGAGGTGTGTACTGAGCAACGTCAACGCCATTAGCTAGTAGTTGGGGGGTAAGTGGCTTGTCGGTACAAGAGATTGGAGCCTGCCCATTTGGCTGGAAACCTGAAAACAAAGAGAGACACAGAATCACAACCTGAACACAATAGATTATATGTTCCTGAAAAATCAGCTTTCCTAATGCTTCAATGGTCTAATTGATCATAAGTATTTTATGATAGAAGTGAAGTCATAAAGGTGAATAACAGAAACGCACCGCTGTTTGAAACCCGCCCCGCATGCCAAATCTGACAGAAGAAAACACCGCCTTTTGCATGAACAGCGTCAACAATCGGTTTCCACGCTTCAACTTGCTCCCTTGTCCATAAACCAGGCATATCTGGGAACCTTCAGATACGAAAGGAATAGAGATGTCATCCAACATTGAAATGAAGAAAGTACACACTCAAATTTATGGTATTCAATTAAAACCAATGGTAAAAGAAACCGGAAAGCTTCTCTTCTCAAAATTACCCTTGAGCTGTGTCAGAAACTCCACTGGCTTCAGCTATGAGAAGACCCCCTTCAGATGTTCTCTGAGAATAATATAAGATGGCATGCGGCTGTGGAACAGTGTTGTATGATCTCATTCTAGTCAATGGTGCTAAAACAACTCTGGAAAACACAGAGAATATAACTTATAGATACAGAGATGTATGTCCTTTATTTTTATTTATTTTTATCAGATTCATATGTTTTACTTATGAAGATATAGTCAGATTATCATCAACTTCAAGGATTCCCACAAGAATAATAAGAATAAATGATTGTTCTGCACAGGCAAGGAGCTAGGAATTTGACAACAACAAACAACAGAAAGCAGGACTAGTATTTTTAGCAGCTGTAGACATCAACAGAGACTACCCCAGAGGTTGCAAGACATCATCAATTCACAATCCAAACTCGAAAAGAATGCAGCATTTTGATATGTACTCCTCTTTATGCAACTACTTGTTATTTTTTCTTTGGTTTTTAGAAAATTTTAACACACTAAGAACTAATTAGAAAATGACAATTGGCTAGTTTTGGGTTTTTCTCTCCAAATAAGCCCTATAAAGGTTTTTGTATAATATGTCATGTTAGGATGAACCTATTCGTGAAAAGCCCATAGAAAGGCGCAAGAAGTGACTCAAATTCTTATTCTTGTTAGCCAACTGGGATTTTCCACAAATACCTGCTTCGAAAGTGGACTAAATCCCATTTTCAGCAGAACAGGCCATGCCATGGCTAAATTTGTGCACCAACAAAATGACCCAACATACAAATTTAGAAAAAATAGATAAAACAAAGCCAACATTCTTCAGCTTAATGCAATGTAGAAGAGATTTAAGTACCTATGAGAAAGGTTGAACTTTCCCATTTTGTAAGGGGTAAGGAGAGGAATTGTGGGAGGTTGAGCAGACATGTCAGCTATCAGAATTCACGTGGGTTTTGCTCTTGTGTTTGGGTTTTGGGTTTTTTGGCTCTGTAAATGAATGGAAAGCCAATTGGGGATTTATACATTTTGGTAGCAACTAGAAATCCAATGACAACAATTGGAAGCTGGTGCAGTTTTTTAATGCAATGATTGAGACGTTTGATGACGTTTGCAATTGCGCGGTGCTTAATGGAAAAACAAAAACTGAACTAAAAGATATTCAAATACATCAGCACCCACGTAAAAACAAAGCGCACTAAAACATCTTCTCAAATCGATGTTGTTGCTCATTCCCGGGCTACGTTTGCAGTAACTTTGTTGTTGTGGTTCTCATTTTTCACTTCCCTTCTGTCTTCTAGAATGAATTGTGATGAAAGTATCAGTTTCATCACAAATATATATATCGTTCTCATCATTCATTCATATGAATCGAACTCGAGAGCTCCTTCAATTAAGTGGAGACAAATAACACTACCAAAAGTTAATTGATACCAAAAGAAAAAGTAATTATAAAGGCTTATATGATTAAATTTTAATATTTATTAATCTAAAACTGCCCCGAATTCATCTAAGGGGTATGTGGAAAACAATAGTCTATTAAAATGTAAATAATTAAAAATACCAAAATAAAAAATAAAAAATTCATGTTTAACAATTTTTTTTTGGTACATAATATAAATATAGAAGAAAAATCTATTGGCACGCCTGGGCAGACTAGTGATTTGTAACGCACCACATCTTCCAGGATAGTTGGGGGTTGTGGGTCCCATAATTTGCTATTATTGTTGTTGTTTAGTTCCAACTAGACGTATAAAAGAACCAATTGGGTTTCAATTCATTCCAGAACAGAAAGCAATGAAAAACCAAAACACACAAAAGGTCATAGGCCAAACTGCAAGATCATAGGCCATAATTTGCAGGGGATCTGAACTCTGACATGGCTGCTCAACCTACCACAATCCCTCTCCTTACCCCTTACAAATTGGGAAAATTCAATCTTTCTCATAGGTACTTGCATAATCTTTTCTACATTATGCATTGATTGGGAAAATTCACTTTCTCATAGAATTTTGGTTTCGGTTGTTTCATTTTTCTAAATTTGTATGTTGGGTCATTTTGTTAGTGCACTACTTAGCCATAGCTAACAACAAATTTAATTTAGATTAGTGGGTAGTTTAGTCAGTTGGGTTGCTTGATATGTAGCTTTAGCGGATAGTTGGGTATCAAACTGCTGTATTTGGGCTAGTTACATATCATACTGCTGCATTTGGGCTTTTTAATTTGTTATATATCAAACTGCTGCATTCTTTCTGGGTTTGGATTGGATAGTGAATAGGTAATATTTTGCAAATTCTGGGGCAGTTTCTGTTGATATCTACGGTTGATAAAGTACTCTTTCCCTGAGTTCACAGTTGTGTAATGATAAAGTACTCTTTCCCTGGAGAAGGACTTGCATATCACGGGGATAGCACCTTTTTTTCCCGGAGAAGGACTTGAATTTTGGTTTCACTTGTTTCCTTTTTCTAAATTTGTATGTTGGGTCATTTTGTTAGTTAGTGCATTAGTTAGCCATACCTAACAAGAAAAATGAAGTTGCTGCTTATGTTTAAGTTAACCTAATTTGGTTTACTGGGTATTTTGGTCATTTGGGTGGCTTGATAGTTATATAGCAAACTGCTGCGTTCTTTGTGACTTTGGGTAATGAATAGGAATTCTGGGGCTGTTTCTGTTGATGTCTAGAATTGATAAACTAGTTGTCTTGCCTTCACAATTGTGTAATTGTCAAATTCCCAGCTGCTTGCTCATGCCCTTTTCTCCTAACGACAACATTCCTCAGCCTCGCGCTTGTATTTATAATTTAAAATGTCTGTGTGTTTTTCAGAGTTGTTTTAGCGCCATTGACTAGACAGAGATCATACCACAATGTTCCTCAACCACATGCCATCTTATATTACTCTCAGAGAACATCCAATGGGGGTCTTCTCATAGCTGAAGCCACAGGAGTTTCTGACACAGCTCAAGGGTAATTTGAAGTAGAGAAGCCTTCAAGTTCTGATGTTTGATTTTAAGTAACTAAGCTACATTTGAGGGTGCTTTCTTCATTTCAATGTTTGATGACATTTTTGTTTCTTTCGTATGCGAAGGTACCCAGATACTCCTGGTATATGGACAAAGGAGCAAGTGGAAGCGTGGAAACCCATTGTTGATGCCGTTCATGCTAAGGATGGTGTCTTCTTCTGTCAGATTTGGCATGTGGGGAGGGTTTCAAATAGTGGTACGTTTCTGGCGTACGCCTTATGACCTCACTATCATAGAAGAACTTGTGAGCATAAGTGAAAAATTAGACCATTGAAGCATCATAAAGCTGATTTACCTTTCATAATTCATTATGAAAACTCAATGTTTTCAGCATGATTTTTTTGTAGATGGAAGAAATTGGATATATCAAAATAACTCGGAATTTGATATATGTTTGAATTCATTATGAAATCTCATTGTTTTCAGCATCATTTTTTTAATGGAAGAAGTATATTGCACTGAAATAACTAAGAATTCAGAAGTAGCATAGCATGTGCAAAGCTTCACAACAAGTGAGTGATTATGATTGATGATATTGTTGCTCAAATGGCGATCAAATTGTGACATGTTAAGATCCGGACTTGGTGTTGATTGATGGAACCATTGTAATTTGTATGTTAAACCAACGTGTAGAATAACATGAAAATTGGATATGCTTGATTGTCTGCAGACTATTTCCATGCCCAATTGGTGTTTTTATTGATTGATCTTGAACTACCTGGACAAAAAATAGGACTCTTTTTCTTAAATCATAAGTATCAGTGATGCTTCTCGACTTAAACTTTTAAATAATCCGCATTACTCCTACTTTTATTGCAATTTGCGACAACTGATTCCCTCTTTGTGTGAAAGAGTATGCTGATGTGGCTGTGTTGTTTATTGTCTTGAGACGTCAGATTGCGATTCTATCTTTCCTTGTTTACAGGTTATCAACCAAATGGGCAAGCTCCAATCTCTTCTACTGACAAGCCAATACGATTAAATGGTATTGATGCCAGTGAATTCACACCTCCAAGGCGATTAAGGACCGATGAAATTCCACAAATTGTCAATGATTTTAGACTCGCTGCAAAGAATGCTATTGAAGCTGGTAATTTGTCTTTACGTTAAAATGAAATAGAATTTGTGAGAACTCAATTTGCTTCAGAGCTTGTGCAAAATGAACCATATTTTATCAGCTAAATGTAGTAAAGGGAATAAATGTACGTGAATACATATATTACAAGTAGTCATGCCATAAATATTCTATCTGCAGTTGTTATAGGGAGCAACTATAAGTAATTTTATGCAATGGCTTGAACTGAATTTGAACTTCCACATCAACCATTTAGCTTTAGTGGTTTTGAGAGCCGATATAAGAAAAAGGGAGTAGCTTTTGCTTAATGAATAAAAGGATTGGTTCATACTTAGCTGTAGAATTTCATGATTGTTTGAATTTTGTGAATCATTAATTGGTGTTGTAATGCGCCCTTCTAACTTTAGGGAGGTCAAAAACAGTATTGTATGAAAGACAGGAGCCATACAAGCAAAAGTTATCCGAGTTTTATTTTCAAAAAGTTGTATTAGAAGGATGGAATGAACAAGTCTTCTAGGCATATCCATTAATATTATTTTCGAAAAGTTATATGATATATCAGTTATCATCTTCTCCTTGTTTCTCTTTCTTTTGTCTTGAATGCATGAGGCCAAAGGGGGAGGGGATTCGAAGTCTGGCCTTGAGTGTGGGGTAAAAAGCCCGCTACCACAGTAGCTACAAGCCGCTGCTCATCTTCTCATTGTTTCAATTGCATGGTAACTAACCATTATTTCTTTTGTCTTGTGCACTGAAATAATTTGTCTGCTATATACAGGCTTTGATGGAGTTGAAATTCATGGGGGCCATGGCTACCTTCTTGATCAGTTTTTGAAAGATCAAGTGAATGATCGAACAGACCAATATGGTGGATCTCTAGAGAATCGTTGTCGATTTCCTTTGGATGTCGTTGAAGCTGTTGTTAACGAGATAGGAGCAGATAAAGTTGGAATTAAACTATCTCCATTTGATGACTATATGGACTCAGGGGATTCAAATCCAAATGCATTAGGCCTTTATATGGCCAATTCCTTGAACAAATATGGGATTCTGTACTGCCACATGGCTGAGCCGAGAATGGAGACAGTTGGAGAGAAAAGTGAAAGCCACCAGAGTCTTCTACCCATGAGAAAGGCTTTCAATGGTACCTTCATTGCTACTGGTGGTTTTGACAGGGAAGATGGGAACAAAGCTGTGGCAGAGGGCCGTGCAGATCTCATCGCATATGGACGTTGGTTTTTGGCTAATCCAGATTTGCCAAAAAGATTTGAGCTCAATGCTCCTCTAAACATGTACAATAGAGACACATTCTACCTATCTGATCCGGTTATTGGTTACACCGATTACCCATTTCTTGAAACCACTGCTTAAGTTTCCTCCAGCCTACGGACGCTTGAAGCCTTGAACACTCTACTTGTAGGCTTTGTTGTTACTTTTCTTTCACCATAGCATGTAGTTTATAAGAAACAAAGTGAATAAAAGTTCAAGGGAAAGTGGCCTTGGCCAACCAGAGATAGTAACATTCTTATTTCTAGCAGAACAGGCCATGCAAAAAATAGATAAAACAAAGCCAACATTCTTCAGCTTAATGCAATGTAGAAGAGATTTAGGGGGCGTTTGGTATCCTATTCAAATAGGGAACTCAAAACTTTGATTTTTTTAAAAAACAAGGAGTTCTTAAATCTATTTTTAAGATTAAAAAACTTGTTTGTTATGCAACTTGAAAAATGTTTTCAAATATTAAAAATTTGAGAACTTGTGGGATGTTAGACAAAAACTAAAAAAACAGATATTATTTGTTTTTAATAATTGTGGTGTTTTTTAGTTGTTCTCGAGTTTGAGTTTTTAAAATAGTATTACCAAACAGATTTTTTTTGTTTTAAACTCAAATTCTATTTTTAAGTTTAAAAAGTTATATTCAAGTTGAATACTAAACAAGTCCTTAAGTACCTATGAGAAAGGTTGAACTTTCCCATTTTGTAAGGGGAGGAATTGTGGGAGGTTGAGCCGACATGCCAGCTATCAGAATTCACATGGGTTTTTCTCTTGTGTTTGGGTTTTGGTTTTTTGGCTCTGGAAATGAATGGAAAGCCAATTGGGGATTTATACATTTTGGTGGCAACTAGAAATCCAATGACAGCAGTTGGAAGCTGTGCAGTTTTTTAATGCAATGATTGAGACGTTTGATGACGTTTGCAATTGCGTGGGAAAACAAAACCTGAACTAAAAGATGTTCAAATACATCAGCACCCATGTAAAAACAAAGCGCACTAAAAGATCTTCTCAAATCGATGTTGTCGTTTGACCCAAAAAATAAACAAATCGATGTTGTCGCTCATTCTCGGGCTACGTTTGCAGTGACTTTGTTGTTGTGGTTCTCATTTTTGAATTCCCTTCTGTCTTCTAGAATGAGTTGGGACGAAAGTATCAATTTAATTGATCTAGTTTTAAATCACTAGAATGAGCTAGTCACAACTAGGTATTAATTTCATCACAAATATTTATCGCTCTAGTCATTCATGTAATTCGAACTTGAGCGCTCCTTCAATCAAGTGAAAACAAATAACACTAGACTAAAAATTAGTTGATACCAAAAAAAAAAAGTAATCAAAAGCTTATATGATTATATTTTAATATTTATTCATCTAAAACTGCCCCGAATTCATCTAAAGGGACAAATGTGCAAAACATTAGTCTATTAAACTATAAATAATTTTTAAAAAAAAATACAAACAAACAAAATTTCATGTTCAACAAATATTTTTTGTACATAATAAAAATATAAATAAAAAAAATGAATAATGTTACTTTTATCACATTTGTATATCATATTCTCATATCATCTTAGATAGCAGATGAGGCGAACAGACACATGAATTCAATTTATTTAACATTTTCTTTTCTTTTATGATTTAATAACACTTTAAAAAAATACTGTTAATTAAAAATTCTTTATTAAAATACACTTCATTAATTTAATTGATGTGGTATAGAAATGTGGGATAATAATATGTTTAAGTGTAGCATACTTTTATAAAAAAAATCTATTGAAACGTGGGCGGACTAGTGATTTGTAACGTACCACATCTTCCAGGGAAGTTGGGGGGTGTGGGGCCCGTAATTTGCTATTATTGTTGTTGTTTATTTCCAACTGGACGTATAAAGACCCAATTGGGTTGCCTCAATTCATTACCAGAACAGAGCAATCAAAAACCAAAACACACAAAAGGTAAAAGGCCAAGCTGCAAGATCAAGACCATAGTAGGGGATCTGAACTCTGACATGGCTGCTCAACCTCCGACAGTCCCTCTCCTTACCCCTTACAAATTGGGAAAATTCAATCTTTCTCACAGGTACTTGCTTAATCTTTTCTACATTGCATTAAGCTGAAGAATGTTGCCTTTGTTTTGTCTTTCTTGTCTAAATTTTTATGTTGGGTCATTTTGTTAGTTAGTGCATTAGTTAGCCGTAGCTAACAAGAAAATTGAAGTTGCTGCTTATGTTAAACCTAATTTGGTTTACTGGGTATTTTGGTCATTGGGGTGGCTTGATAGTTATATAGCAAACTGCTGCATTCTTTGTGAGTTTGGGTAATGAATAGGAATTCTGGGGCTGTTTCTGCTGATGTCTAGAATTGATAAACTAGTTGTCTTGCTTTCACAATTGTGTAATTGTCAAATTCCCAGCTGCTTGCTCATGCCCATTTCTCCTAACGACAACGTTCCTCAGCCACGCACTTGTATTTATAATTTAAAATGTCTGTGTGTTTTTCAGAGTTGTTTTAGCGCCATTGACTAGACAGAGATCATACCACAATGTTCCTCAACCACATGCCATCTTATATTACTCTCAGAGAACATCCAATGGGGGTCTTCTCGTAGCTGAAGCCACAGGAGTTTCTGACACAGCTCAAGGGTAATTTGAAGTAGAGAAGCTTTCAAGTTCTGATGTTTGATTTTAAGTAACTAAGCTACATTTGAGGGTGCTTTCTTCATTTCAATGTTTGATGACATTTTGGTTTCTTTCGTATGCGAAGGTACCCAGATACTCCTGGTATATGGACAAAGGAGCAAGTGGAAGCGTGGAAACCCATTGTTGATGCCGTTCATGCTAAGGATGGTGTCTTCTTCTGTCAGATTTGGCATGTGGGGAGGGTTTCAAATAGTGGTACGTTTCTGGCATACGCCTTATGACCTCACTATCGTAGAAGAACTTGTGAGCATAAGTGAAAAATTAGACCATTGAAGCATCATAAAGCTGATTTAACTTTCATTATTCATTATGAAAACTCAATGTTTTCAGCGTGACTTTTTTTTTAGATGGAAGAAATTGGATATATCAAAATAACACAGAATTTGATATATGTTTGAATTCATTATGAAATCTCATTGTTTTCAGCATCATTTTTTTTAATGGAAGAAGTATATTACACTGAAATAACTAAGAATTCAGAAGTAGCATAGCATGTGCAAAGCTTCACAACAAGTGAGTGATTATGATTGATGATATTGTTGCTCAAATGGCGATCAAATTGTGACATGTTAAGATCCGGACTTGGAGTTGATTGATGGAACCATTGTATGTTAAACCAACGTGTAGAACAACATGAAAATTGGATATGCTTGATTGTCTGCAGACTATTTCCATGCCCAATTGGTGTTTTTATTGATTGATCTTGATCTACCTGGACAAAAAATAGGACTCTTTTTCTTAAATCATAAGTATCAGTGATGCTTCTCGACTTAAACTTTTAAATAATCCGCATTACTCCTACTTTTATTGCAATTTGCGGCAACTGATTCCCTCTTTATGTGAAAGAGTATGCTGATGTGGCTGTGTTGTTTATTGTCTTGAGACGTCAGATTGTGATTCTATCTTTCCTTATTTACAGGTTATCAACCAAATGGGCAAGCTCCAATCTCTTCTACTGACAAGCCAATACGATTAAATGGTATTGATGCCAGTGAATTCACACCTCCAAGGCGATTAAGGACCGATGAAATTCCACAAATTGTCAATGATTTTAGACTCGCTGCAAAGAATGCTATTGAAGCTGGTAATTTTTCTTTACGTTAAAATGAAATAGAATTTGTGAGAACTCAATTTGCTTCAGAGCTTGTGCAAAATGAACCATATTTTATCAGCTAAATGTAGTAAAGGGAATAAACGTACTTGAATACATATATTACAAGTAGTCATGCCATAAATATTCAATCTGCAGTTGTTATAGGGAGCAACTATAAGTAATGGCTTGAACTGAATTTGAACTCCCACATTAATATTATTTGTTATTCTTGACCTTCCGCATCAACCATTTAGCTTTAGTGGTTTTGAGAGCCGACATAAGAAAAAGGGAGTAGCTTTTGCTTAATGAATAAAAGGACTGGTTCATATTTAGCTTTAGAATTTCATGATTGTTTGAATTTTGTGAATCATTAATTGGTGTTGTAATGCGCCCTTCTAACTGTAGGGAGGTCAAAAACAGTATTGTATTAAAGTCAGGAGCCATACAGGCAAAAGTTATCCGAGTTTTATTTTCAAAAAGTTGTATTAGAAGGATGGAATGAACAAGTCTTCTAGGCATATCCATTAATATTATTTTCGAAAAGTTATATGATATATCAGTTATCATCTTCTCCTTGTTTCTCTTTCTTTTGTCTTGAATGCATGAGGCCAAAGGGGGAGGGGATTCGAAGTCTGGCCTTGAGTGTGGGGTAAAAAGCCCGCTACCACAGTAGCCACAAGGCCCTGCTCATCTTCTCATTGTTTTAATTGCATGATAAATAACCATTATTTCTTTTGTCTTGTGCACTGAAATAATTTGTCTGCTATATACAGGCTTTGATGGAGTTGAAATTCATGGGGCCCATGGCTACCTTATTGATCAGTTTTTGAAAGATCAAGTGAATGATCGAACAGACCAATATGGTGGATCTCTGGAGAATCGTTGTCGATTTCCTTTGGAAGTCGTTGAAGCTGTTGTTAACGAGATAGGAGCAGATAAAGTTGGAATTAGACTATCTCCATTTGCTGACTATATGGACTCAGGGGATTCAAATCCAAATGCATTAGGCCTTTATATGGCTAATTCCTTGAACAAATATGGAATTCTGTACTGCCACATGGTTGAGCCAAGAATGAAGACAGTTGGAGAGAAAAGTGAAAGCCCCCACAGTCTTCTACCCATGAGAAAGGCTTTCAATGGTACCTTCATTGCTGCTGGTGGTTTTGACAGGGAAGATGGGAACAAAGCTGTGGCAGAGGGCCATGCAGATCTCATCGCATATGGACGTTGGTTTTTGGCTAATCCAGATTTGCCAAAAAGATTTGAGCTCAATGCTCCTCTAAACAAGTACAATAGAGACACATTCTACATATCTGATCCGGTTATTGGTTACACTGATTATCCATTTCTTGAAACCACTGCTTAAGTTTCCTCCAGCCTATGGACGCTTGAAGCCTTGAACACTCTACCTGTAGGCTTTGTTGTTAACTTTCTTTCACCGTAGCATGTAGTTTATAAGAAACAAAGTGAATAAAAGTTCAAGGGAAAGTGGCCTTGGCCAACCAGAGATAGTAAGGGCCCGTTCGGTAATATTTTTAGAGCTTGTTTTCTGTTTTTGTTTCCTGTTTTTTCACAAAAACACGTTCGGTGCATCGTTTTCGTTTTCCCTCACAAAACGTTTTCTGAAAACAAATCTGACTTTGTGAACAAAAGTTGAAAATGAAAAAAAGTTGTTTTCAGTGATTTCATTTTCAGTGTTTTCCGAAGACACAAGAATGCATCCCATCAACAACTCTAGCTCTCTCTCTTGACAACCAATAAACCCACCAACAGGAACAACACCCATCTTCTCTGACCCAAAATAAACAAATCTGCAAATTAAGAAAAAAAAATACAGAGGAAGAAGAAGAAAAAAAAACAGAGACAAGAAGAAGAACCACCACATACCCAACTCAACCACCATCATCACCCAATCAAACCATCACAGCCATGGAAGGAAGGAGGAGTGGGTGTGGCTTGGGAAGGAAAGGAATAAGAAAAGAGGAAGAAAAGGAGAAAAAAGAAACGGCCTGGGGAAGGAAAGGAAGAAGAAAAGGGGAAGAAAGTAGGAAAGAGGAAGAAAAAGAGAAAAAAGAAGCAGCCATGTGAAGGAAAAGAAGAAGAAAAAAGGAGGAAAGAGAGAAAAGGAGAAAAAGAAGAAAAAGAAAAAAAGGAAAAAAGGAGATAAGGTAGTTTTTGAGCTTAATTTTTTTTCATTGTTTACAATAATTTTAGCCTCTAAAAATATCAGAATTAAAAAAAATTAGAACTAAAATTAGCAAAAATACACCTGAAAAACAATTGTACTACCAGACACGTTTTCATTGTTTTTGTTTTCTAAAGATGTTTTCTAATTAATCTACCAGACGCATTTTCATTTCCTGAAAATGCAAATTTGTTTTCTTGTTTTCATTCTCTGAAAATATTCTCAGAAAACATTCTCCGAAAACGTTACCAGACGGGCCCTAACATTCTTATTTGGTTGTCATTTTTCTGCTTTGACAGTGAATCCAGATTCATTGCATGGTAAGAGATGTAGCATATATATTGAGATTATTTGTTCGGGACGTTGGAAACTTTCAAAAAAATGGATGCATTTGGCATGTTATTATTTCTACTGCAGGCGCTGGTGCTTTGGATTGCTTGTTTTCATCGTTTTTCCTCATCTTTTAATTCCATTTTTTTAACAGGGTTAATTACTTAAAAGTTTAAGATCATCACAAAAGCCAACAGATCCATGGGTTGCTAAGAGTTAGAAAAAAAAAGATAATCTTTATTAAACTCACGTGGCCACGAGCTACAACACTACACTTGATACAGATTGGTCAAAGCAGAAGCACACCACACCAAATGACAATTTTACTATGTGGTGAGCTAACTTCTGCACCTTGATTATTGCACACTTTTTCTCTTCTCTAATTGTGCAATGCAATAAAAGTAAGAAGAAAACAATTAAGCACATTAATACAGGAACTAAAATATAGGAAGGTTCAAGCTTCTATATTCGGCTGGCAATTAAGCAGTGGTTTCAAGGAACGGATAATCAGTGTAGCCAATAACTGGATCAGATACATAGAAGGTCTCTCTGTTGTACTTATTCAGAGGAGCATTAAGCTCAAATCTGTTTGGTAAATCTGGATTAGCCAAGAACCAACGACCAAAGGCGATAAGATCTGCACGACCCTCAGCCACAGCATTGTTCCCATCTTCCCTGTCAAAACCACCTGCAGCAATGAAGGTACCATTGAAAGCCTTTCTCATGGGTACAAGACTCTGGGGGCATGCACATTTTTCTCCAACTGTCTTCATTCTCGGCTCAACCATATGGCAGTACAGAATTCCATATTTATTCAAGGAATTGGCCATATAAAGGCCTAATGCTTTCGGATCTGAATCCCCTGATTCCATATAGTTGGCAAATGGAGATAATCTAATTCCAACTTTATCTGCTCCTATCTCATTAACAACAGCTTCAACGACTTCCAGAGCAAATCGGCAACGATTCTCCAGAGATCCACCATATTCGTCTGTTCGATCATTCACTTGATCTTTCATAAATTGATCAAGAAGGTAGCCATGGGCCCCATGAATTTCCACTCCATCAAAGCCTATATATCAGAAAAACAATTTCAGTGTACCAAATAAATTTGTAACTTAGCATTATAAGGGCAGATTACATGTAATTAAAACAAGGACAAGATGATAAGTTGATACTGATTGATCATACTACATAACTTGACCAGATTCAGGGAAAAGTATACTCCTAGCAGACTTGTACATTTTGTTCAACTACAAAATTGCTTTTCAAGTGCCCCCTCAAATGAATAAAATTTCAGCAACAATGTTGATTTTCAGATCCTTACTCTTAAAAGGATGCACTAGGACAGCCATGACTAATTTACACAACTAGACTATTAAACCATCAAATCCTAAAACTTATATGAATGACATCACTCAAGTTGAATTGCAATGTGGATGGTCAGGAATAGTTGACAGATCCTTTTAAAGGGGGAGGTGAATACAATTCAAGCAATTATAAATTAAAAGATAATAGATAGTTTCTCCCTATATCAACAGCATATTGAGATTGAGCAACGATAGAATTCATCTAGCTTGAATTATTCTCACATTACATATCTAATCAGAATTCGAAGTAAATATATTCCGTTTACTACATTTGGTGGATTAAATATGGTTCATTTGCTTAACCTGAAATGCAATTTTGAGTTCTCGCAATTTTATTTCATATTGAACTTAAGGACAAATTACCAGCTTCAATAGCATTTCTTGCAGCGAGTCTAAAATCATTGACAATTTGTGGGATTTCATCTGTCCTTAATCGCCTTGGAGGTGTAAACTCAGCAACATCAATACCATTAGATCGTAGTTGGGGAGTTAGAGGCTTGTCAGAAGAAGAGATTGGAGCTTGCCCATTTGGCTGAAAACCTGTAAGCAAAGAGAGATAGAATCACAAATCTGAAAGAGTTCTGTTAAAGAAATATCAAATCCATTGATCAAAAACTGCCACCACAGCAGAAGCAGCATTGATAGTAAAAATAATGACCAATAATCATGATCAAAATATGCTCTTCAGACACGCAAACATATCCAACCTTCATGTTATTCTTCAATTGGCTAAGCATACAAGGTTGTCATCCACATAAAACTCAAATCATAACTATCCATAATTTTATTGCCATTGGACAAATTATCATCAGTAAAATCATTCACTTGTTTATTATGTACAGCACATAATAGATTAAGAAAGAAAAATCAGCTTTCTGATGCTTCAATGTGTTAATTTTTCACCTACACTCACAAGGCTAATGATAAAAGTGGAGTCATAAAGGTGTACGCCAGAAACGCACCAGTATTTGAAACCCTTCCCACATGCCAAATCTGACAGAAGAAGACACTGCCTTTAGCATGAACCGCATCAACAATCGGTTTCCATGCTTCCACTTGCTCCTTAGTCCATATACCAGGAGTATCTGGGTACCTTCGCATACGAAAGAAACAAAAAAGTCATCAAACATTGAATAAAGAAAGCACCCTCAAATGTACCTTAGTTACTTAAACTCAAACATCAAAACTAGAAAGCTGCTCTTCTTCAAATTACCCTTGAGCTGTGTCAGAAACTCCAGTGGCTTCAGCTATGAGAAGACCCCCATTAGATGTTCTCTGAGAGTAATATAAGATGGCGTGTGGCTGAGGAACATTTCCGTATGATCTTTGTCTAGTCAATGGTGCTAAAACAACTCTACAGAAGACAACCAAAACATAAATTATAAATACAAGCATCAAAAGCTTCCTAGCAAAGTAGGCAGTATATATTATCAGAAGAACTACACCTACTACATGACCTGTGAATTCTCCAAAGTCCATTGTTCATTAACAACTAAACAGAGGAGACAAATGCATGGTAGAAGAAAATGCTAATCCGGGATTTCGCATTGGCAAAACTACATTTGACAAACACAAAAACTACCCAGTCAACTAAATTTGACCAAACACAAGCAGCAATTTCATTTTTCTTGCAAGCAAACTGGGACTTTAACCAACCCTGTTTCCAAATTCTACGAAACCCAATAGCCCAAACCTCAACTCAAGCAGAACAAGGCCAGGCTATAGCTAATCTGTGCACCAACAAAATGACCCAACTTACAAATATACAAATACAAACCAAAATTCACAAACAAATTTACAAAAAATGAATAAATACAAACCAAAATTTACCAGTTCTTAGCAGTAAGTATCAATAAAATGCACAATGCAGAAAAAATTGAGCAAGTACCTATGAGAAAGATTGAACTTTCCCATTTTATAAGGAGTGAGGAGAGGACTTGAGGGACCTTGAGCAGCCATTTCAGAGCTTACTTCCTCTACTATGAGTAGTCTATGTGATCTTGCAACTTTGGCCTTTGCCTTTGTGTTTTGGTTTTTGATTTCTCTCTAAACTGGGAATGAATGGAAGACCCAATTGGGTCTTTATACGTTCAGCAGTCGGCTGGCTTTAACTGGGCCCCACATCTCCCCTTCCTCCTTCCGGGGAAACCTCTGGTTGGCGGATTCTTTTTCAAAGCCTTGGGCTGGCTTTATTGATTGAGATGTTTGCTGACGTTTGTAATTACGTGAGTGATGATTTTATTTTATTAATTTATTATTATTATTTATGTTGTAATTATATTTGGGATTGGGATTCGTTGTGTGGCGGAGCTGCCGAGTTGCCTGCCAACCTTGACCACCACACCATACCCATCAATGACATTTGTTGTTGCGACTTTTTTTTCTTTCTTCTTAAGTATTTTACTTTTGTCTAAATAATTAGAGCAACTCCACCGCAGCACCAAAACCGGGCAAAAGGCCCCCCAAGTTGGCCCAAACGACCTCCAGTGTGCGACATCAAACCCGGGCAAGCCCTGGGTCCCACTAGCCTGAGTAGGCCCAAGGGCAAGTTCCGTCTGAGCTTCAGCCCGAGTTTTGTGACGTCAGAGCGCAGAAATCAAAATTTTTTACTGTTGGCGCGTGAATTACACGCGCCAACAGTAAAAAAAAATTGATTTCCGTCTGAGCTTCAGCCCGAGTTTTGTGACGTCAGCGCGCAGATAGATTCCAACGGGCATGTGCCACGTGTCGCGACAAGAACGTTCCGATCGTTTTTTTCCATAAATCCGACGGTCCTCGTTTTTGTGGCTAAAAAAATTATAAAAAAATTCTGAAATTTTTTTTTAAAATACCAAAAAATTTTGTAATTTTTCCCTATAAATACCTAACAATTTTATTCACTTTCCACACCAAATCTTCATACAAACTCATCTCCTTCCAATATTTTTCACTTTCCACACCAAATTCTCTACTACAAAATTTCATTTGTGCAAAAATATAAATGTCATCTTCCATCGAAGTCGGAGGGTCGTGGACAAATGTTCGAAGAGGTCAAAATCTTGGCAACAAGGTAAAAAAATAATAATAATTTCCGTTTTATTCAATTTAATGTCTTTATATATATATATATATATATTTCTTGCATTTCCAATTTTATTTTTTTTAATAGATTAGTCAAGGCAAAACAAAAAAGAGGAAAACCATTACACATGGCTCCTCAAGTGAACAATGCCCGCAATCAGTTCTAGTGGTGCGTTCCGTATCAGAAATAATGGCATTATTACGTCCTCCAAAGGAAAATACTCCCCCACGTCGTGATCCGGTGGAACCACCTCCGCCAATGATGGATTTGTCCTTGTATTCCATTGTGTCGGACTATGAGGACCAAGAATATTTCAATTGTATGATGAGTGAGTAGGTATTTCAATTGTATGATGAGTGAGATGTGAATTTTATAATAAATATGGACACGTGGTAACCGAAAATTTTATCCGAAAAATGTTATCTTAAATTTTAAGTGAAAATTTTATAATAAATAGTGACATGTGATGACCGAAAATATAATCTAAAAAGCTTATCGAAATTAATGGTTTAAAGTATAAAAAAAATAGGAAATAAAGTACAATGAATAGTATTTGTCCTAGACTTTGCCCTCATGGGTGGAACCACAAATGCAAAGGCTGACACTATTCACATGAATAGTGGCAACCCTTGCTTGCCCTTGCCTTAGACTTAGCCCTTGTGGGTGGAAGTGCTCTTACATCCATGCGTTTTTTAGAGGGGCAGCTGTCACTTTTGCTCCGAGTTAAAGTTCAAATTTGTAAGGAATTTTCTTTCTATAAAAACTGTGATTATTATTTTGTAATCCTTGGGTAATTTGAATTTCATGTCAAATACCAAACATTAAATTTTATTTTGGTAGCTTAAGTGAAAATTTGACATAATAATCTATACTAGCCTGCGAAGGTTTTATTTATTTAAATTTATTTTAGAATTAAAAAAGATAATGGATAGTTGTGTTCATAAAAATATGATTCATTATTTGATTTGATTTTAATTTTAATTTTAATTTTTTTAATATGAAAAAAAGTGAGAATTTATCATATTATCCTCATTTAATTAATAATTTTTATTCTTAATGTTTAGATTAACCAAGGGCATTTTATGGTATTTTGAATGTTTCATCATTCTTAATATCCATTCACACTTTTTTCATATTAAAAAAATTAAAAACAAAATCAAATAATATGTCCTACTTTTATGGAACATAAGTACCTATATTATTTTTTCTTAATTTTAAAAATAAAATATAAAATCAAACCAATTGGCACATACGTGAGTATGTGCCAAGGGGCTAGTAGAGTTTTACATTTCACCTGACATGTCAAATTAAAAAATTATTTTATTACATTTTTATACGAATTATTTTATTACATTAGTGTTGATTTGTTTATTACTTTCTGAACATATAAATTGAAAAAATTAATGAAATAATGAAATAAAATCAGAAAGTCAAACATCCAAAAATAGCAGCATAAAGGAGAAATGTTATTCCATGTTGGATTTAACATTTTAATTGGAGTGAGTCTCGGCTATTTTTTCTACATGCATTTATATACCAATATTTCTCAAATCACTCTACATGCACTTAATTATGCATATTCCTTCCAAACATGGAACTAATAAAAGAGTAGTCCGTGTTACAATTAATCTAAAATTAAGCTAGGAACTAGTAATTAAGTACTGCTAGAGAGCTCTTCAAAACAAGTTAGGCAATATTTATATAGTGCCGTGGTGATCATTGATCATCTGCGATTGCAAAGGCTGAGGCCACACAACAAGGCCTCATGAAGTGGAGATATCAATGATATGTTTCTTCCTTGCAGCAAGTCGACCCAGCAGCTTAAGCTTGCAGAAGAAACACTACTATTATTAATAGCACCATCTTCAACCATCAAATTAGCACCAAGGTCGTGATATTTGGAGCTTTGTGGAAAAGACCCCAATGGAGGAGGATTATAATTATCGACGCCACCAAAGTTCTCCAGCTCTACTAATCCAAAATCTCCATTATAACCAGGCTCTAACTTAACATTACCGTAAGATAATTCAGAGTGTTGATTCCGACAATCTTGGCTGTTCACGGTGGTATTAGACAATTTACCCTTATCACAAATATCATTAATGTCAAATCCATGAGGAAATTCGATATTATTAGTGGTATTCGGCAGTTTACCGTTACCACGAATGCCATTAGTGTCAAGTCCATTAGAAAATTCAATATTATTATCGTCGGATACTTGCAAAGTTGGGCCGTTGTTGAAGTTATAACTATTTGGTTCTAACAATTCTGCCATGCTCTCTTCACCATGATCTTCTTTGGCAAAGTTGGGCTGAATAGTTTTTGTTTTTCCCTGGAAAGAATTAATATTCTCTTCCAAAATTTGTATATGGGTCTCTAAAGCCTTCGAATACTTATCCAACTTTGGTTTCTCTTTCTCATCAAAACCCTCCTCGTCGTACCCCTTCTTTTTTCCTTTACGCTTTTTCATCTTTCCTCCGTGTGAACATTTTCTGAAATCCGTGATGATTTCTCTGGCCTTCGCCGGGTCCTTTGGCCAAACCGAAAAATTACCCTTCGAATTGTAAGGAACCATGCAAACCCTAGCATTGCATAGTTTTTCAAGAGCCTCTGATTTCCTGTGCATTGTCGCGTGCCTCTTGGAGCCCGACATTGCTCCTTGATAAGACTCCTCTGCTGCCGAGAAACTATTTTTGCACTGTCGTTTGAGGTCCTCCGTTTTTCTGGCCATTGAATCCGCCATGCAAAAACCAGAAGAAAAAAAAACAGAGACACGCACAGAGGTTGAAGACAACGCACAAGTAAAACCAGAAGGAAAAGCTTGCAAGTAAAACAATGGAGAGTTTACGATAATATATAGGAAGCTATTGAGCTTGGGTTTTTCTGGTATATGTGGGAAAAAAATCTGTCTTTGATTTTCCTAATGGCAGTGGGTGAACTGGTTCTTGCAGCAAAATACAATAACACCCATGTACGGAGCAAAGTTTTGAGCTACAGAAAAGGAAAGAAGGAATGCTAGCTGCACCAGAAAACTCTTATTTTTTCCCGTTTTACCCTCCACCACACGACAAGGCATTAATTGTCCCACTAGACAAATAATAAATTGGGGTAACACAATTTGTACTCCGATAATTTTCTGTTTTTATAAATCAGGGTAATTATGTTGGTTGAGGTTTAAAAAAAAAACACAAAAGGACGATTATGTTATGTAACGATTTCCTAATGATCTAAAAATTGAGTAAGATTTATATATGCTTGTAATGGTTCTATGAAGTTGCAGAATGATAACATGTATGAACCATTTACGATTATTTTTAGAAAGTTACTAGGGCAGGATCAAGTGTTTGCTAAACTGGTTGTAAGGGTAATTTAAGAGTTGCTTTGGTGTATTAAATTATAATGAAATGGTCTAAAACAAATTGAACACGCAAAGTTTTTATTTTTTTTATATATATAGAAATTCTGGGATTGCATTTATTATTAAGTCAAAAAAAGTCACTAGTTATAAAAGGCCAATACAAATGAGCTATAAAGAGCAATACAAACTAGCGATCTAATATTAAAATTAAGACAATATGGTGTGCCTCCACCAACCATCATGCATGATTGAAAAAAACTCTTATATAGGCACTGAACTAAGATTGTAATGAGGATGGTGGTGGAGATTCGATGCAAATGCAGGTAGAGATCCGACGTCGAGATGCAGTCTCCTATTATAGATGGAGGAAAATCATAACATAGTGAAGTCAAAAAATGGACCTTTTGTCACTGAAAATGGGGGAAAAGAGGAGAACGGAGGAAGATACAAGGGAGAGTGGAGGAATTAAGGAGAGGAGAGGGAGAGGGGAGAGGGGAGGAAGAATATTGGCTTCCTCCCCCCTCAAAGTGAAAACGGCGCTAGGAGTGTGTTTTGGAGGATGAGAGCGAACAAGTATAATGGCTTTGTTTGATTGTGCACTACTAGAAAATCTTATTATAACCACTAGATAACCCTTGGCCTACATTCATAACAAAGGATCCTATGTGTGTCGACTCTAGGCATTTGAAATTTTGGTACTTTTTGAAGTGAATTAGATTTATTACAAATTCTTAAGTCCGTGATGTTAGTCAAATTACCAGAGTTAGCATAGTTAATTAATGACATGTAAATAGGCTATAAAACGAGTGCGGGTCTGGAATTTTATGGCATGAATCATAGGTTCTTTATAATGACATATTTGATTATGGGAGTTTCTGAATTTAGCATGTTTATTTATAAGGAACGAGTATTGAAATGATTTCAATTTCTGATTTGCCTGCATTTTCTAATACATAAGTCAAAATAAAATTTTTGTGGATTTCACCTTAAAATATGTTATCGAAGACGAATATCCTCAAATCGGGAATGAGATCAACTAGGGGGAGTAGTTGATCCAATTCCAATACCTTGATTTCTCTATCTAATTAATTCCCCAATTCATAGTTTTTTCCCATTTCATGATAAGAAAATGTAACATATATATTATAATATTTATGGAAAAAATTTAAGCAAGCATGGGTGCTACTGGAATATAATTATGACATATTGTGTTTTCCATAAACATTAAACTAAGTTCAGAAAATCCCATAATCAAATATGTCATTCTAGGGACACCATGATGCATTCATGCCCTATAACCAAAAACAAAAAAAAAAAAAAAAAAAAACAAAAACCTTGCGGTCCTTAATGTTCTAGAGTCGTTACCAAAATATAATAATAATAATAATAATAATAATCCTAAATTGACTTAAAAAGCCTTGGCTTAAATGTCAATTTTTTTGGGATAAAACTAAAGCACAGCCCAACTTAATTAAATAAAACAGACCTAAAGCCCAGCCCAGGCACAAACTACCGTAGGGTATGGAACTTCTCTCTCCCCACTTCTCTCTTCTTCAGTTCACTCTTCTCTGTCTTCTAATTTTCTCATTTCTGCCATTTTCGACCAAACAAACTTTTCTTTTTCTTCGGTTCTTCCTCTTCCTTTTTCAAGCTTCATCTCAATGAGGTTCTCTTTCCAACATACATAGAGCATTGCTTAGCTCAAGAGTTCAGTGCCATTTTGCCTTTGAATTGTAAAATAGAGCTTCAATTTCTTCATGGGTTAATCGACGACATTTCAAGGAAGATGATGGCAATAACAGTGAAGCCTCCTTCATCCCAATCACCATTGTTCAGGTACGTTTCGCAAAACCCAGCTTTGTTTCTCTCTCGGTTATTCTGCTCTGGAAGCTCCATTAACGATGACGTTGAGACTATTTTTCGCATAGTCAGTTGCTCGAACCAGTCTAGAAACTTGAAGCAAGCATTGAAATCAAGTGGGGTTTTTCTCTCAAATGATTTGATTGATAAGGTTCTAAAACGGGTTAGGTTTCAGCCATGGAAACCCTTTACAAGCTTTGGAGTTTTTTCAATTATACTGGGAATAGAAGAGGGTTTTATCACAGTTCTTTCTCGCTGGATACTATGCTTTATATATTAGGAAGAAGTCGAATGTTTGACAAAACTTGGGAGGTCTTAGTTGACATTAAGTATAAAGATAGAAATTTGATAACCCCACGGACTGTGATGATTGTTTTAGCTAGGATTGCTAAGGTTTGTTCGGTTAGGCAAACTGTGGAGTCTTTTAGAAAGTTCAAGAAGCTTGTGCCTGAATTCGATACAACTTGTTTCAATTCTCTGTTGAGGACTCTTTGTCAGGAGAAGAGTATGACAGATGCTAGGAATGTGTATCATAGTCTGAAGCATAACTTTACGCCCAATTTGCAAACTTTCAATATATTGTTATCCGGGTGGAAGTCATCTGAGGAAGCTGAGGGGTTCTTTAAGGAGATGAGGGAGATGGGTGTGGAGCCTGATATCGTTTCATACAATTGTTTGGTTGATGTTTATTGTAAGAGTATAGAAATAGACAAGCATATAAGTGGTAGAGCAAATGCGTGACGAGAATATATCACCTGATGTGTTCACCTATACTAGTATCATTGGGGGATTGGGGTTGGTTGGTCAGCCTGATAAAGCCAGAGATGTATTGAAGGAAATGAAGGAGTTTGGGTGCTACCCTGATGTTGCAGCATACAATGCTGCCATTAGGAATTTTTGTATTGCGAAGAGGCTTGGTGATGCTTATGGGTTAATGGATGCAATGATGAGTAAGGGTTTGAGTCCTAATGCAACTACGTACAATTTGTTCTTTAGGGTTTTCTTCTGGTCGAATGACGTGCAAAGCTCATGGGGTTTGTATGGGAGAATGATGCATACTGGATGCCTGCCAAATACACAGTCTTGTATGTTCCTGATTAGGTTGTTTAAGAGGCAGGAAAAGGTGGATATGGCATTGCAGCTGTGGAATGATATGGTTGAGAAGGGTTTCGGTTCTTATATATTAGTATCTGATGTGTTGTTTGATTTGCTTTGTGACTTGGGAAAACTAATGGAAGCAGAAAGATGCTTTTTGCAGATGATGGAAAAGGGGCATAAGCCAAGTAATGTTTCCTTTAGAAGGATCAAGGTTCTTATGGAACTGGCAAACAAGCATGAGGCCCTGAATAACTTGACAGAGAAAATAGCAGTTTTTGGCTCTTCAATCCATCTTCCTGGGAGTACAAAGAGCTCAGCAGAGACATCACGTTTAGAATCACTTCCAATATAAAAGTGTGTGGGTTACTAATCATGATTTTTTTGATGGTGTTGTGGAATTACTGATGCCGAAAATGTTTCTGATTGATATGTGAGAAAAGGTGCTTTGCATGATTGGGGAATTTGAGGCTTGCCATGGTGAAGTGTTAAGAGCATAGCATGTGGATTTGGAATTCAAAAGTTTCTTTTTTTTTGCTTGGGCCTAGTCTTGGCACTTGCGTGTAATGTCTGTTACAAGTTCAATGGATTAGATACTGTGCCCTGGCGTTGGTGGTGTTGATTTTTTTGTGGAAAGGAGGTTGCCAATTTATAGACTGGTTATGCTGAAATGTCTTACTTTGCAGAAACGTGGCACACCCTTTGTTACTTGTTTGAAAAATATTCATTTGTGCTTTTACTTGCGTTTAATACGGTGCAGTCAGACGGGCTCACCCACCCTGCAATTATCCTAACTGCGCCTCAGAACTGTTAGACAACTTTCTAGTTTAAGTCAGGTGAGGAATAATGTTTCTGACTTTCTTTGTACAATTTTGTTGTTGTTGCTCCTCTTCTTACATAAATATAAAAGAGGTGGTATCTCCTGTTGAAGATTATGAGTGACATGGGCTTGTGTCTATTTTTCCTCCATTTGAGTGATAGACAATTGTGTTGGTGAAAAATTTTATGGCTTGAGATTGTATGTCCAAATCGTTGCTGACCAGTCATGGTAAATTCTGTTCCTCCTCACAAAGCGTTCTTTATTCCTGCTAACATGATTTGCAGCTTGTGTCTATAAATTCTGTTAACATGATTCAGTTGAAATCCTTACTTTTCTTAACCCTTATCCTGCTAGGTCATGCTCAAACGAATCTTAGGTTCGTGTGGAAGTACCACAAAACATTCTTTATTCCTCACATCAATTCATAATTTGTGGTGCCTTAATGATCGACCAATTAGTGTTTTCATTGTTTCGTATTTGAGTTTATAAATACTGATTTTACTTTCATATGGTAATTTGACTATATTCTTCTTCGTCAGTAGGAGTATGAAGATCTATCTATGAAGGCAAATCAAGGCTTAATGTATCCTTCAGAGCCTTTCACCACCCATGTCCCTTGGGGAGATAGCAAGGACTTTGGGATGTTTGAACGCATGCAGTTATTCCTTAGCATTTGCAGTGGAATGACAGAGGAAGCTTCAGCTCAAAGTATGGGAAATAGAAGATCTACTTGCTGCTGTATGCCTAACCAAATACTATTCCAAGGGTTGTGAAAGCCCACATGTAGTATTTGCTACAATTGCTTTTCTGTGATGCTTGAACCAGTACAAAAAGTTCAGGGGATGACTTTACTACTGACAGAATCGCTGAGGCTTGTACCTGCTTCATAGGGACCAGGTACCGCGAACCTAACGGAATAAGCAATGTCCCATACCGTTCTTGGTTGGACCCCCAACCAGCGATTTTCATCTTCCTGAATTGGGATATCAAGGCTAGGTAGGCAAGTTTACAGATACTGCTGCATTATGTGTCTTTAAATTGTGTATATTTGCCTCTGGTTGATATGCTGCTGCATTATGCGGGTGAAAACTTAAGCCGACATTTTGGCATGTCTGTTTGTAACAAAAATGTAAAGTTCCTCATGTTGTACTCTTAAGATATTCCTTGATATAATTTCATTCGCCACAATTCAATTCAATTATATGATCAAGCATGGCCTCCATAGAGAGATTGCAATGAGATTACGAGTATAAAAAGACAGCTGCTTATAAGTTGATGGAAGGTAACAGTGATGCTAAAACCTTCACCCAAGGCCTCATTCGAAAGTTCTTGCTGAAGTTTTTTTATAGCCATTTTTGCCAAATTCACACACACGGGTCAATCCAACTAACACTCCATTGGTCTTGCTCAAAGTTTATTTGGGTTATTAAGCCAAATAAACAGCTCAATTTCTGTGTTTTAATGTGGCCACTTTCACCTTGAAAAAAAATAAAACCAATTTCATCCTTGTAAATAAAATTGACTAACTATGGTGTCAAACACAGTAAACTAAATTAATCAAATTAAAAATTCCTAAACTAAATTTGCAAAACTAAAAATATCTGAACTAAATTAGCCATTTTTAACACAGTTACTAAATTGATCAAATTAAAAATACAAAAACAAAATCGGTAAAATTAAAAACACCAGAACTAAATTGGACCAATGTATTCAATACTTTGAGCACTAAAAAAAGTAGAGATATTTCATTTCATTCCACGCAATATACTATCACGACTTTTTCTTTCTGGTTACAATATACTGTCACGACTTCGCATATTCCGAAAGCACCTTTTTCTTTTTCTATTATATTTTATGTTATAAAATCCAAAAATTTATAAACCCTAACCATTACATCGCCACCGCACATATATTTCCCTCCACAAACCCTACCCATCATATACATTTCACCTTAGCTCTCTCTCTGTGCAACGGCTAGGCTTCGAAGATTGGACATTATCGTTGACCCAATGGCTTTGGTTAGTCTTTTCCCTTCTGCATTTTGGTTTTTTTCATTTTATGCTATTATCGAACCCATTTTTGTTCTACCATGTAATCTGGATGTGAAACATTGACCATATAACTGGAGCTACTCTCTTACCGTTGATTTTGATTTACCCTCTGAAATTGGTGGGAGGCTCTTGCTTCATGGTTAAGTGATTCCAACATGTACAGAAACAAGAACAATACTCTAAAATGGACTCCATTTTCTTTGTTTTTGAATTTTTGTTTTTTACTGTCAAATGCTAATTAGTTTAATTACCAGTATCAGAATTGACACAGAATTTGTTGGGTGATGTTGGAATTGTATCTGATAAACAAAATGTTTATATATGTTGATCTACTTCTAGGTGTGCACGCGGGGAACACTAATAAAAATGGTTTCAAGGCACTTATTGCTGCCGAGTACAGTGGTGTCAAAGTTGAACTGGTGAAGAATTTTGAGATGGGTGTGTCCAACAAAAGTCCCAAGTTTCTTGAAATGAACCCCATCGGGAAGGTGGGCTTTATTTCTTTTTTATGTAGACAAATTCTATTTGTTAAAGTATATTTGGTATGATTTGTTTGGTTTTGTTGTGTAGGTTCCTGTGTTAGAAACACCTGATGGACCTGTTTTTGAGAGTAATGCCATTGCACGCTATGGTGAGGCTAGATTTTAAGCTTTTATATCTAGAAATGTTGTTATGTTTAAATCTAATTGTATGCTTTCATTTGCTGCAGTTACTCGGTTGAAGGCAGATAATCCTCTTTTTGGTTCTTCCTTAATTGAATATGTAAGTGATGTGATGGCCGTCTTGCACTGTACACCTCCCCCATTTATTACATGTGGTCCTTTAAAGCTTCCATTTATTCAATTCTGAATTCCCCCTTGGCTTATATGGTCAGAGTAACATGTTTGGGTTGATGAATGTTAAAAATCTACTGGTACTCATAGTGAGGTGACTTTGGATTTATAATTGGGTAAATTATTATGATTATAGGCTTAGGTTGCATGAATTAAAAAGCTTTAGAACATCCATTAGAGATTTTTACTGATATGATCTTCATTAGAATGCGAATATGGTTTGCATTCCGCATTCCGTTGAGGTACTGATGATTTTTACCGTTATTTTGTTGGTTTTGACAGGCTCATGTGGAGCAATGGATTGATTTTGCCACTTTGGAGATTGACTCCAATATTTTGCGATGGTTAATACCACGTATCGGTTTTGCTGTTTACCTTCCTCCGGTTAGGCATTACTGCATTTAGTTTTTTCATACAGTTATATACCACTGTTACTTTTATGTATCTAAATGGGTATATTAAAGCGATTGACACCCAATTTTTTTTATTGGCACAAAGGCTGAGGAAGCTGCAATTTCTGCATTGAAGAGAGCGCTAACTGCTTTGAATGCTCATCTTTCTTCCAACACATACCTGGTTGGGCATTCTGTGACGTTGGCTGATATCATTATGGCATGTAATTTGACTCTGGGATTTAGCCGGTTATTGACAAAAAAATTTACCTCTGAATTTCCCCATGTTGAGAGATACTTTTGGACCTTGGTTAATCAGCCAAATTTTCGCAAGATATTGGGCGAAGTTAAACAAGCAGAATCTGTTCCATCTATTCAGTCAGCAAAGAAGCCTTCACAGGCAAAGGAACCCACAAGACCTAAGGATGAACCAAAGAAAGAGGCCAAGAAAGAACCAGCGAAGCCTAAATTAGAAGAGGCTGCTGCTGAAGAAGAGGCACCCAAGCCCAAGGCAAAGAATTCTCTTGATCTTTTGCCTCCTAGCAAGATGATTCTGGATGAATGGAAAAGGCTTTATTCAAACACAAAGACCAACTTCCGTGAGGTTGCTGTAAAGGTGATTTCTTATAACTTCCTATATCTATGCATTAACCACATCTGTTTTTTTTTAGTACAAGTGATAGTATCAACCACATCTTGTTTTTAATTTGTCATAAACCTGCATAGTTCATGTGGTTTTGCTTGCCAGTCAGGATATAGTATTGTTATTGTGCATTCTTTGAAATGAAGTTTGTTTCTATTTCTTTTTCACCAACGTTAGCAACTATTTACTAGAGGATCAAAGTGGAATCCGGTCTAAACTATATCGAGGAACAGTATAATTTATCCTGGTTTCAAAGGACTGTATATCATATCAAGGATCATCATTACCACTGTTTTCCTTATACATTCTCTCTCTTATCTCTCTGTTTACTAGGCAAGCCATGCATTATTTTGTATCTGTTAATACAGGTATGAAAGGTGGATAATTAAGAATGCACTAATGCAGCAGACTGCAGCTGTAAATACCTTCAGATAACATTTAAGTTTTCTTCTGGATGAGAATCACCTGGACTCTTGTGATTTAACTACCTCTAGACATTCAGTTCTTAGGACTTTCTGTGATCGCTTCTCTTGTTAAAAACTCACTTGAGGGGCAAGGATTTTCTTTAATGAAAGATTTAAGAACTCTGGACACTTGTGCTCATATTTGCTTAAATATTGCTTTATATATTAAGGTAAAGTGGACAATTATCAACTTGAATATATATATATATATATTATATTTCACCTGTCACTTCTGTTTGCAGGATTCTGGGACATGTACGACCCAGAGGGTTACTCGCTTTGGTTCTGCGATTACAAGTACAATGATGAAAATACTGTATCATTTGTGACTTTGAACAAGGTGGGTGGTTTCCTGCAGCGGATGGATTTGGCTCGTAAGTATGCATTTGGGAAGATGTTGGTGATTGGCTCTGAGCCTCCATTTAAGGTTAAGGGCTTGTGGCTCTTCCGGGGACAAGAAATTCCAAAATTCATAATTGACGAGTGTTATGACATGGAACTGTACGACTGGCGTAAGGTTGACATCACTGATGAGGATCAAAAGGAGCGTGTTAATCAGATGATTGAAGATCAGGAGCCTTTTGAGGGGGAGGCTTTGTTGGATGCCAAATGTTTCAAGTGATGAGAGAAGTGTCCTAAAGAAGTAGATGTAATGTTTCAGCGGTTTCTTAAAATTAATCTTCATTGTGGTTGTTTTACAACGTTGTCTTCTTCTCTTGTTCTAGCCTTTTTGTGACATTGATAGCATCATGTATTTTGTTCTCCTATAACATTATCGGTTATATTAGGAATATCAATTGAACTTCGTTTAATTTGCAAGTTATGACAGATTGTTATTTTGTTATACTATAGGACATAGCAGCAAACTCAAAGCAAAGTTGCATGTCTAGAGGCCTAGCCTAGTCGTTGGTGCTTTCTGCAGTGACTTAGGCATTTCTAAGTTTGGGTGCTGGTGGTTTAACTAAAAAATTCAGTGTAGCCATGAGCAATTTGCTCTATATTCATTAGAGTTCACTTGTATGGATTGTGGCAGCCCCTCAGAATTAGTAGACAACTTCTGGCAATAGGAAAATGTCTAGATATCACTGTTATTCTTAGAATACTCATGATCTATGGAAAATTGGAAAAAGCCATTGCAACGTAGTTATCCTTATTTCTGACTGGACTAATTTGTGCCCCTTTGATATGAACTTAGGTGTCCTTGGATTGGAAGAAACAAATACATAGAAACTAGCCTTAAAATGGCACAGATGCTCTGGTGAGAAAGTATTTACAGCTACCTCATTTGGCCAAATAAATTGAGGTAATATGTTCATTGTGGAGGTATTTGAGCTTCTGCAGCATCATTCTCTTCGTAATTTCTGCCGCCGGTTAGTTTTGTTGAAGCACCTCATGGAACAGTATTGTTATGAGAATTTCTCAGTGGGTTTCTGGAATTTATTATAAAGTAAAGCATGGTGCTCATGGCTTCTAAACAATGTCTGGCTCTTATTCAACTTCTGGCGCATATGAAGAGAGCATTATTCAAGTGTATTGCACTCAATGTTTCCATATTATTATAATTTTTTATTTATAAAAGCATTTTATAGCATGTTTTAAGGATTGTGTTGCTTCTAGGTTTTGTGTTTTTATTTTGTGAATAAGATTCAAATGGAAGGCTCTTGACTGTCAATAGGTCTGCTCCAAGAGGAACACGCAAAAAACGCCCACCTCGTTCGTTTGAACCTGCTTTCTAGAATCATGTTGGTAACCTGCCATGCAAGGTGGATAATGCTCAACTGGAGCAGGTTTTTAGTGAACATAATAGCGTTAGTGGAAGCAAGGAGTAGTCTTTGATAGAGAAACTGGACAATCACTATAATGAAATGCTAATGGGATAGGTGGAGAAGAGAAAAGTTAGCCTAAAACAAGATTGTAACAATATTCGCTGGAGTTGGTACAGGAGATTGGAGAGTGACGGAGGCTGAAATAGCCTAGAAAGGTAGCTCTCAAGTTTGGCCAGCATACAGATGACAGACATATTGTGTAAAAGTTCTGTTGCAGGTTTGGAATTTATTTCCCAGCAAGAGCAAAAGGTTTAGCTAGCATAATTTCAGAGGAAAGAGCAAACAGAGGGCTGAAAATACTAAGATAAGATAACTAAGTAGGGCTAGATGACGGTGAGAATGAACAACCTCATAGGGCTCAGTATGTTCATATACTGTCACTTCAGTTTGATTGCTGTGTGTCTAATAGTAATATCAAGTTGAATTGAAGTTCTTGGTTTTATTCAACTATTTTACATGGGAACTCAGAAAGTAATCACTTAACATGCTTAGAAAACCAATCAATCATGTTGTTATGAGCCTCCTCTGCACGCTTCACTGCTGCTTCATCTTCGACATTGTACCTCACGGTCCAACCATGCTCAGCTTTTGGAAATATCTTCACATAGCTATCAATCTATGAGGAAAGAAACAAGCTTGTTTAGTTTTTAGACTGTAAATCAAGAATATGAACATTATAGAATGAGAGAATTTTAAATAGAACAAAAAAAATGAGCACCTCAGATTTAGCAGCTAATATCTCCTCAAATTGTTTCAAGAGTTCCAGTGGAGAATATTCATCAATCTCAGCTCCTAGAACCGCCATGGGAACTTGAACCCCTGTCAGTAGGTTTAAGTATTAATTGAGCATTTAAGTATGATGAGATTATTAGCTTAATCCTCTACAATTAGAGAGGCTGATGAGATTATTAGCTTTTCTTGTAGCCTACCCAATACAACTTTATATATTTGCCTCCAAATACGGAAAAGAATAATATCAGAAAATTCCCAAATATCATTATCTGACATGTCTATATTCCTAGATTAGGCTGTATTGCAGATATAGCATAATGCAAGTAGTATATAGTTTAGAAAGCATTTAAGCACTGGAGTCCATACCCTCAATATCATCCAAAGCAACAAATGAAGGATGTAGTAGCACAGCAGCTTGGACGAAATCAGACTTCGCGAGCTCCGTCACAACCTTGCCTGAGAAGAACGTTGAGTTTCTTTCTTAGTCAGCTGCAAAATTATGTCAAGTTTTATTTTTTATTTTTATTGTTCTGGCTAAGAATATCCATTTGTGAAGTTGTGAAAATGATGAAGCAAAAATAAAAATAAGCAAAAGAATAAAGAGCAAAATTAGAATGTTGTTTATAAGAAAAGAATATCAGACACAGCAGACAGGAGAAGCAACCACTCACCACCCCAACAGAATCCTGCAGCTCCAATTGCAGAATAACCTTTCTCTTTAAGAGCATTAATTATTGATTTTGCATCTTCAAATCCTTTATCCTAGTAAAAACACTTAGCAAGCTTCAGGCACTAAAATTTTAAGGACTCTATCAAAATATGCAGCAATATGTGGAATCCACTTAATTTCATGCAGCCAAAGATTAAAATTTGGAATAGCGACCCAAAGAATATAATTGACGCGATCATGAGTTAAGCTTATAATCAAGGCATCTATGAAAATGCGAGAGCGAACCGTTCCATGATCTTCTAACCAGACTGCTAGAGGTCTGTTATCGTATATAAACGGATCATCATAGAAGAAGTTTGGAACTACCACAAAGAATCCTGCAGCTGCCACTTTTTCGGCAAGCTTCCTTAAAGAAGAAAGCAGATTACATTAACTTTCAGGAAGTGTATGGATTATACACACATTATAATAGATGACTATATCAACACTGCAACACTGCGCTGGCCATAAATTGCCTTCACTGAATCATAATTTCCATAATATTCCATGTTCTGAGTTTGAAAAAGGACTTCCTATACACCAAAATCTCTTCTTTTCTTGATTCACCTTCCCCAGGAGATGCAAAAATTTGAAATCTTGTATCATCGGTTTTATAAGCCGTGTAATTTTGTTAACAAATTACCACCATAAACTTTCCAGGGCAAGTTGCAGATAACATCATTAGTCTCGAAGAGATTCGACATGTTTTATAGCAAATTCCATAAGGATTATACGGGGAGGAGAACATCAAATACTGTAATGAATGCTGATTTTTGCAACCTCTATTCTAGGAAGTTCGAAGCAGGACACATTTAAGACATAATTAATACAATCTGATTTGACAAGCTTCCTGATGCACTCCTATGAAACATTTGGAACAGAAAATTCTTTCTGAAGCAAGAGAAGTCACAGCTCAACGGAGCGCTCTTTTATCTCTAACTCATGCACATAAAGTACATCAGAATCCATTGATCAATGATAGAAAGTAATTTTAGAATTATACATACCTCAAATTCGGAGCTCGATATCCTGCAGGACAAATCAAATGTGTAAGTTCAGTGAATTGTTGACAAATCCAAGTTGATTATATGTTATCTGTTCTTCTCGTCTCCATTGTTAAACAAGTTAAAAAGAACTTTCAGTTAAAAGAACTTTCTACTCATCGCACTTTCCTTCTAATAGTTCCTTTCGACATGAAAAGAAAATAGGAGCATAACATCAGAATTTATAACAAAGAAGAGAAACTTTGAAGTGGTAGGCAGGTACCAAAAACATCAGAGACAAGAACAATGGCAAGCTTGGAGTCAGGGGAGCCAGCTGCGTAGACGTTAAGGCCTCCAAGTTTTTCAGCACAGTCTACTCCATAGCTTGGGTTGAGAATTGGTGGATTAGAGCAGCACTGAGGGCCTGCCATTGTCTCTGTTTTGGTAAGGCACAAATTTCAAACAAAAACAAAAAACACACAGCACAGTTTGTCTGGTGCAAAATTTGGAAGATAAAATATGGGGCTGAGGCAAGATAAAGGACTAAAAAGTGGTGTGTTGGGCTCAATCACCATCTTATCCAGTCCACCTCATATTTGTTTTTTTTTTTTTTCCTTTGATTACAAATTTAATACTTGTGTCTTACTCCAAGTCTGATCCTGATAACATAAATTATATGAACATGAAAGCAATGGTTTACAAACATGATGACATACTGAATCTTCAAGGAGTTATGTAAGATCATCTCATTTGCAATTAGTCAAAACATTTCATGATTTTTTATTTGAAGGATTTATGAATTACTACAATGATAAGAAAAAAAATTATCTGAACCTTTGAAAGGTGTTGCCCTTATCTCACATTAATAAAGAAGAAAAGAGAACACTAAAGAGGCTCTCATAGAATTGGTGGCTAATTGCTTGAACTCAGTCAATGCTTAACTTTGGCAAAATGTCTACACGTTATACATTTTTTTAATTTTTATCTCTATAGTTTATACTTCTCTAATTTTCTCTTTACGTAGTTTCCTCATTTCATATGCACCTTTTATAAGGATGACATAAGATTTCCATTTAAGTTAGTTTAGAGAATTAGTTTGACTTTGTTTGCAGTCAACAACTGCAGCTCAACACCATCTAATCTTTTAGGTCATGTTTGGTTCGCGAAAAAGTATTTGATGGAAAATCACTCCACATGTCTTTTCTAAGGGGCTGAGAAGTAGAAGAATTCTTTTTCATGTTTGTTAATGCTGGAAAAATAACTAGGAAATATCATTTAATTTCAGTTCCCATATTCTCTCGTCGGGAAATTTTTTCCAAACATGAAAAAAGTAAATAGTTTTCCAATCCAAATCCCTTTTTTTATTTTTGCAAACCCATCCTTAAAGAGTACCCATGTGTTATGCAAATGATTATATATATATAATTGCCCTGACGCATGCCTCTCATCTGTTGCCAAATAAATAATAAATAAAAATTAGACAAGGTGAGATTGCCAAATCAAACTACGTTATTGTGATCACAATTTTTTTAAGTTACATTGAATCGTTAATAACCGCATCATGTATAATTGGATAAATTTATTTTTGAGATTCGTGTAGCAAGTAAATCAAATCATACGAAATAAGGTGGTAATGGTAACCCCAGCACCAATGGTAAGCAAAATCCTTCTAAGAAAAGGAGAACCTAAGTTGGCTTATTCTATTGGTCAGTCAGGTCGCCACTAGCATTCTCTAGTTTGGAGTTTTGGAGTTGGTAGTGGGAAAGGCATACAGAGAAAGGTAACGCGTTGAAAATTCAACATTCAACGTTGAAACCTCTGTCCATTTTACTGGTTTATTAGGTTTTCCCGAGAAAAGACAGAAAAAAAAAACAAAAGGACAATTTTGTTTCAAGACATGAATGGATTTCAAAGCCGCCAAAGATCTCTCCAGTTCCAATTTCTCCTCTTCTCCATTGCCATCCCTCTTCGATACAGGTTTAGCAAACGACCCACCAAGTCCCAAGAATGGAAACAAAGCTTCTTCTTCTTCAAGTGGGTCTGTGGCGCTGAAGGCAGTCATTGTGTTGCTGGGTGTGGCGGCTGTCTTGGGCTTCTGTGTGTTCTTGTTCAAGATATGGCAGAAGAAGAAGAGAGAAGAGCAACACGCCCGTCTTCTTAAGCTGTTTGAAGATGATGATGAGCTCGAGGTTGAACTTGGCATTAGGGATTGATTGGCTTCAGGTTTGCCTTTTTGTGAAATCAGATCATTTGGTTTGTACATTTTATAATGATTGTGTTTTGTAGCAGCCTAGCTGGTGATACATTTCTGCCTATTGGGAAATCAATATTCTTCTTCTGTAATATTTTTATGATGCTTTATTGCTTTATGTCATTGTTGAAACTGGAAATTATACTATATGGAAAGGAAGATAATACCAAATCGTGGGTAGTTTCAGATCTGCTTTTGTCTGTGAAAATGCAGCTTTGGTGGAAATGTATTTGCCTCAATATGTAAAACACCATTCAACTTTTCTTAAAAGTTTAATTGATAGATGGATGTGGGGGTGATGATACTACAGACTTCATTTAGTTACCTCTGGCAAAGTACAGTAGACTGCCAGAAAAGATTTCAGTATTGTTCTTTCCTTTTCTTTGTTGGGTTAATTGAACTTGATGAGTGCTGAACATTTAAATGTGTGTGCGGTAGAATCTACCTATTTCTTTTGTCAATCTGCAATTGTGAAGAAGAATTGAGAGTGTTTATTCCTAGATAAAGGTTACATGAATAAAGGATACAAGAATGATTAGGACCATTCATAGTGGCAGATTTGTTCACTCTTATACAAAAGCATATCAATGATTTGAGCATGTCTAAGTTATGATTTTAAGGATGAGGGAGTTTGTGGACCTTAGAATACAAATCAAGGCACTTCACGAACATAGAGTTTGAAGATAAGGTGGTGGTGAATAATATATATGGATTCTGTTTTGTACCATGTAGAGCAATTACTACCAAGAGGTGTGCTCTTTTACTAAAAGCACAGTACTAAACAAAATTAATCAAGGCTGAATTCAGTACATTACCTGATAGTTCATTGTAATCTAGGTAAACAAGTCTATGGTGGCAGCTACTGTGATGTTTGATATTATGAATTATCATGGAATTTAATGTTCTTTTCAATTAATGGTATTTCGTTCGCTTGTCAGTCGTGTAATATCTGATAGTTAACTTGTTGGTATGCCTTTGCGTTCTGTGATTGAGAAACCTCTATGGGTTTTTAATAGCCTTTCCTTTTGTTTCATAGTCTATCAAAAGTGGGAGATGGAGAGTGGTTTGCTTCTGACATGTTATGCGGCATGCTGATTTTGTTTTGAAGTGTCATTTCCATCTATTTGTTTTAAACTATTGATAAGCATGTATAGTGACTTTGTGTATGTTGAGGGCTTGGTTTTGAATTTTTTTTTAGAATATGTTGAATTCTGTTTTCATTTATATGAATGATATGGAGATGGGAGATACCATCATTAGGTCTTATGTGCCCCTAGCGCATTTGGGAGAGGTGATGATGTCAGGATCTGGAAGATACTAAAGTTCGGTTTGAACTCTTACAATTTTGTCTGTTTGTGGACAGGCAACGGTGAGTTGTATGGATGGTTTGGGTTTTGATATAAAATGGAATCCTATATTCATTCAAAATTTCTATCATTGGAGCTAGGAGATTTACTACGAGGTTTTATATGCCCCCAAGGCATGTGGTGGAGGTGATGATGTCATTATTATCTGGAGGGTAGCTAAAGTTTGGTTTGAAGTGTTACTTTTTGTCTCTTTGAGGGATCTGGCCACCATTCCCTGGAAAGCAAAACTGGTGTTTCTTTTTAGTATTCTTTTCTTTTGCTCTTTTGACAGACACTAATTAGGAGAATCTTGACTCTTGAAATGTAATTAAGAGAGGGCAGGTTATTGTAAACTGATGTTGCATATGTACACAAGCAGGGGAATGAGTTGATCATCCTCTGTTACGTTGTCTTTAGCATGGGATCTATGGAGTTCTCTCATCTCTCTGTTGCACTTGCTTATAGATTTTAGCAGACCTATTTGTGGTGAGAGTGTCAGTAACCTTTTTACATTATGCTGAGACCTGTAATCATGACAGGATTTAGATTCTTAAGTGGTTTGTGCGCGGAGTGAGAATGTTAAAATTGTTTCATATTTAGAAGGAACTCTATGGAAAACATATTGTGTGAAGGAAATCCACCTAGTCGAGTTTTGAGTGCATTATTGACCATAAAGTTTCTTGTGGAAACAAGAAAAGTAGTGAAGGTTTATTAGTCAAGTAATTCTGAAAGTACAGAAAGCAGATTGAATTGATTTATTGTATACAACTCGTGATTGACTCATGATGGCTCGCTATTTGAATAAGTTAGATTGATGAGATTCAGGCCTTTGTCCAAAAGTTTCTACCTCTGTACATAATCCGATCCCGTAGCTTGTCAAATCAACATAGGCTTATTGCAACTAGGAATCTGCTTCTGAAACCGATTGAAAGCCTTCCCCCTTTCTTGTGAACTTTACATGTAATGGTAAATGCTTATAAAGTGCAATCACTTACTTGTGGTTAGTTTCCAGATTGGTTTCATGACCTTCTCTGTTGTATTAGGCTCCATGTTCACACATTACATATAGTTTTTCTTGTTAGGCAATTGTCTGTTTTCACTTGACTATTTTCGTGTCGTGCATTTATGAAATTAAACTGCTTTGTTTTGCATTCCAGAGTAGAACTTTGTTTGAATCTGTGTTCAGATTGGTTATTTAACGTTTTCAGTTTATGGTGTTGTTACTAGTCTTGCAATAATGTTTGACAATTTTCTTTCGTTGTATCTTGGACAAACTTGATATAACTCTATGAAATTTTAATGTGTGCCAGCAAGACAATTGTCGGCGGATAAGATATTTCCTCGGTGAGAAACGTTGCAATCCATCCATTGCCTGAATTTTGGTTCAAGTTCTTGCACGTCTTTACCATCAATTTACAAATGGAGGAGGATGTTGTGCAAAAACTTGATCCAAAATATAAAGGCAACCCGGGGTTGCATTGCAGTATTTTCGAAGGGATTTTTCTCCAAGGATGTCTTGCTGGCACATCAAAAATTGGTAGAATTCCAAGCTTTAACAGAAAATAATAATAATAACAAAGGCTAAACCCCGCATTTTCATCACAACTCACTTTAACTGATCTTTAAGCTGTAAACGATGAAGTTTCGTTGTGACTAGAGTATTGAAGAAGTTAGGACTATATGCAGGGACCCAAGGCAAAATCTTCAAATGGGATTGAACACAAAATGTGTGAGAGTGGCCAAATAGAATTCTTCTTGCAACACAAGGGATTTATAACTGAAGTGGTTAAGAGTATTTGCCTTTACACTCGAGGTTCTAGGCTTGATTTCCCTCTCCCTAAAATCGCATGCATCAAAATAATAAATAATTCTTGTTGCAGCTTGCGGCCTTATCACTCCCTAGAAGCTGTGCTCGCATTAACTCAAACTTTGCTATGTGCAAAGAGAGATTAACAAACTACATAAATTATGACAGATTGTCTACTGTAAAAAATATGACAGCATCAAACGGTAACCAGGCTACAATAAGTATTAGTACAAAAAGAATAGCTTTTTATATTTGTTGTAATGGAGCCCAAATGCCTAAAAGAAACCAGAGTATTTCCACCATTTGTCATGACAAAAGGAAAGATGAGGCAATGACAGTTACTATTCATGTGAATAGTGCCTGTCCTATCATTTTTTTATTTTTTATTTGTGCTTTTTCACCTATTGTCATGGCAACTCAAGGACAATGACTATTCCCATGAGATTAATTTTATTTATATGTATAAGATTAATAAATAAAAAATTGCTAAGTACGTATAAAAAAAGTTATGAATTTTTTTTGTACAAGGAAGGGCGTGGGATTTTTTTAAAAATTTATTTATTTGTTATTTTCTCTTTTTAAAAGGAAATTTCGAATTTTACCCCTAATATTGACAGAAATTTGGACGGACATCCAAAAAATTGATGGCGAGTTCCCAATTGACATTTTTATATAGTTTAAGTCCCCCAAAAAAAGTTTTAGGGTAAATTGATAATTATAGTACAGTTCAGAGAGCAAAACCGCACTTTAGCTCATATTATAACACTAACATTTTTATAACATTTGTTTAATTATTCTAAGAAGACAATAAATACTATCATTGAACATGATTTACACAAAAATGCCACTTGCGCTAGTGGTAAGGTGCTATCATTGGGTATTGGAGGTCAATTTTGCAAGAGCAAGTTCTACCCATGTGTGGTCCTAAATATATGTAGATTAGATCGATAAATATAGAGCATTACGTGTATAAGAAGAATATTTCTTAGGTTAATTAATTAATACTAAAAATCTATAGAGAAAACTCCATATTGTTTTTTAGCTATTATTTCTCATAGATACAATCGAACTTAGGCATTAGAAGGTCTTTGGCCAACACCCACTGGATGTAGTCTTTTACTCCAATTTAATTTTACAGGAATCGAAGAAGAGAAAGAAAGAAGTTCAAAAGGCGAAAGATCTTCAAGCTGATATTTTCCTTTGAGAATATTTCCACAAACAATAATTATGATGTTTAATGGTACGCTGACCATCGATCATTATGTGATTGGCATGTTGTGAACTTGTGATTATGTATAAGACAGACTATGTCCTTTTCAGAGATAGAGAGAGAAGAGAGAGAGAGAGAGAGAGAGAGAGAGAGAGAGAATGGATGGCGCAAAAAACGATGCCCTAGAAATGAAGGTAGTGAAAGCTACATGCATTCATTATGCTAAAGGCTTCCTAAAACGTATTGTTGAGTTATGCTTGCAATAGATGTTCACGTGGCCCAGCAGTTGGCAATACTGGAATTCCCTCTCATTACTGCCAAGTTACTCATAGCTCTTCTCTTGTGTATATACATTACACATATTTTCTGGTAATTTATAAACCCCTAATAAGAGATGTAATATTAATTTGACAGCCTAGGCCGATTGTTATTATTTGAAATAAGAAAACAAAAAGAAGCAGCTACTATTCTCACTCTCCTAGATGTTCATTATCAAGGTTGACCCCAATATTTTGAGTCTTTCAAGCACATAAGTATGAATCAAACTCCGATCTCCAGAGTGCACAATCATGTAAATATGTTGCACACACTCACATATATAATGTATGCATGTGAAAAAAAATTTGAGACCTCTGTGCAGTAGCACACCGTGCAGGACCGGTCATGTTAATTATGCATTTCAAAGTTATTATTATTATTATTATGTATGAACTAAGCATACTTACGTGTCACAAAACCAGTAAACCTAATATATATAGATCACCATTGATGGAGGATAGGGATCTTATACCAATGAGCATATAAGTGCTAGCAATCTGTTAGCTAATAATTCAGTACTATATGTTGTTATATATAGGCCTCTCGAGTCATATTAATGATGAATAGATCAAGAAGGATATATGGGTCCATTTATTGGAAGCTTACTTTGTTGATATATTTAGCAGAGGTGGCTAAAGACTTGAGTGTGGTCTAAAATCAAAGTAAAATGACCAAAATAGGACTTTTATTTATAAAATTTTAAATAAATAAAAAAGATTAGCAAAAGCTATATCAGCTTCCAGTTCCAGCAATATTTAGGCTCCCAAACCCTAGTTCGACAAAAACAAAACAAAATATATCAAAATATGTCTAAAAATGTGTGAGAAAGCAGAAAAGCTCACTTGAAGAAGCAGAAAAGCTCTAAGAAACAACAAAACATCTGAGAATTAGAACGCATGACCAGAAGTTGGTCTAGGTTGATTAATATTCCTGCTGGTTTTTCCTTGCTCTCGTTCAACTTTTTTTTCTTCTTCTCAATAGATATCTATGAGATATTCGAATTCGAGACGTCTACCAATATTATAGAAAAGATGAATAGCTAAGAGATAGTTGGTAGGACAAAAAGCAAAGTTAGGGCACTAAACGTGATTGTAACACAGACAACACGTCAAGCAAAATAGACCCGGCAAAAGGAGGGGCTATTATAAATCAGTTGAAATAGACCCGACCAAAAGAACTTTTCTGATTCAGAAGAGCATTTTTATCTATTTGGATTTAATATTACAAAATACAATGTAAATTATCTGGAATAAGTTTTTTATAATGCTAAAAAATCCAGTAAAAATGTTGATTTCGAATTGCATTAAGCATATTTTCTTAGGTCAAGTCAAGGACCATGTGGGTTCACTCACATATGCGTATGTAGCTAGACTTCCATTCCATTCATTAATTTGGGAAAAGATAGACTTTTGACGCGTCTTAACAATTGCCATGTATCTTCCCCCCTTTTTTTTGGATCAAATATCTTCCGTCTCTCTTTGTCAAGTTATTCATTGATCACGTATTTTGGTGCTAAATTGATTTTTTTTTAAATCCGTTTAATTGTAGCAATGGTTCCTAAATTATACACATGTAGTTACATTTTGGTTACTTAACTCCAAAATAGTTGTAGAGGTCCCCCAATTAGGTATCGTGTTGCACTGTTAGTCCCTATCGTCAAGTCTGTGATTTTTTCTGTTAAAAATGATGATGTTGCAATTATATGACATATTATTTATAGGAAAATGTGACTTTTCCATCGATTTCATTAAAACCAAAAACTTCTCCTTAAGATGCTTGCTAAGAAAGTTGTGTGGCATATCATTTCCAATTAACCCAAATTCAACGTTGAACCATATTAAGTTATGAGTTTTTATCATAAATCTTTGAATTTCTTGAACTTCATCTTAGTGCTCAGACTTTCAAATCAATCAATGTGCTCTTTAATAATTTATCTCACCCATCAATTTGGTCCTTAATATATTCTATCAAGCCCTTATGTGAAATTGATCATGTGACCAACTTTAAAGAAGTAATTTTTGTCAAAATACAACCTATATTTTCCCATAAGATAAAATGAAGGTAACTTCTTTTATCATTTCTCTTCTTGATAGAACCCCAATGTGAAATCATAAATAGAAAGCATGTGACATTGTTGAGTCAATAACGTTAGTTTTATTTTGTCAATTGGGCATGGATGCGCCATATTTTGATGAAAAAAAAACACTCCTTTAAAATTTGTCAAGTAAAATGACAAATGATCAGTTTTAACAAACATTTTGATGAAATGCAATGATAACAATAACGAAATTGATGTGTGCACCAAAAGATTTAAAGGACCATATTGATTCTTTAAAAGTTTAAAAATTCGAGTGTCATTTACCATAAACGCTAGTCACTCTTACAAGTCATTAAAAACACACAAATAAATATTGAATTAAATAAAATTTAAATATATTTCTCGCCATATATAATATGAAAAGAAAAATGAATGAAGAAAAAAAAAAAAAAAAAAAAAAAAAAAAAAAGAGTTTTTCAAGGAAAAGGTGATAGCATCGGGAAAGGACTGAAATGCCATTGCATGTGTAATAGTGCACAAAAGAATTGCATGTGTTGGAATCACAAAAAAATTAAGAAGAAAAAATATATGCATGCTTATGAGTCGTATGAGGAAAACTATCTTTTCAAACAAAATATAACCTTAAACTCATGCTAGAGGATGCTATTAAGCGCATGCATGAAAATTGCTCCTTTTTTTGGGATTTTTATTTCCTTTCTATTTCTTACACAGCTAGTGCAAACATACGTGGAAAGCACCATACCCTAATCTTCCATACGGTAATTAATTTCCATGACAAGTACATTTTTGCAATATTTCTCGAACAAACAAAGTACTGCTCTCTCTCTCTCTCTCTCTCACTGGGGAGAAGAGTCACAAGCATTTGATGCATATGGCATATTAATTACATAGATCTAGCCCTATAGATTCTTCAGGGGCATTTTAGTCAGGCTCTTCTTTGCATCAAATATATTTATAAATTGAACAAAACTTGCAGTTTATGGAGCGAATTTGAATCTGCAAAGCTACTTCAAATCAGCTCAAACTACCACATCTTCTATCCCATTTTGGAAAAAGGCCAACCCTCTCTCTCTCTCTCTCTCTCTCTCTCTCTCCGTCTCTCTCTCACATAGAAACATGCATACACACAAATATCAAAGTTGAGCAAAGAAAGAAAGAGGCTATAATTGGCGTGGAAAAGTGGACAAGGCTCTACACTTTGGCTTCTTTGGGATTAGAAATTTTCCGAAAGCTGAAGTGAACGGAGTGGAAGCAAAAGTAAAGGTCTGTTCTTCATTTTTAAGGCAAATGTTGGGTTGCAGATCATCTCCTATCCATAGAAACAAAAAAAATTATATGTTTCTGATGATTAGTTAATTCTCATCATATAGTGTATATATAATATATATATATATATGATCTCATAGATCTCTGTTGAAACAACAGAGAATCTTTTCCTTTCTTAATTTACTTCCCTTCTTCTTTTGTTTATTTTACCTTGAAAAGAAACTCTGCGGTTTAGTGTTCTTAAATCTTATGTTGCTTCATCTTTCAGACTAATTTCTTCACTTTTTTTCTGTTAACTTTTTCAATTACTCTTTGACTATATGTAATATGTATTTTCTTATATATATTGAACATGATATTTAGCAGGTCCTTCTATTTGATTTCGTCTTCTTCAGCTAACTTCTTGCTAATGCTCACAAGCTAGCTAGCTCAATGAACACAACAGATGCATTAGCTACTGATCTGTGTTTCTCTCATAAGCTTGAGAGAGAGAGAGAGAGAGAGAGAGAGAGAGAGAGAGAGAGAATTTCCAAGAAAAAGTTAATGCACCAGTATTAATGGTGTCATGACTACCACAAACTTGTTCAGTATGCTGTGGATTTTGGTATACCAGTTGATATTTATATATATATATATGGGAATACATAAATATTTTGGAATGTTTTCAGTGCTTAGTTTAGTCTTCACATTAATCAAACTGGTGTTTTCTCAGTGGCCTACAGCCTTCATATACTTCTCAGAGGGATCTATTTCTTCAAGATCTCCTGTCACCTTTTTGTTTGATTTCCTCTATTTTTCTTTTGTTATTTTTTTTCTCTGACACATTATTATGCTGTCCTTAATTTATACAGATGTTATATTATCCGATCTCCTGATTCGTCAACTTCTTCTTCTTCTTCTTCTTTTTGGTCAAAATCTTCTTCTTCTTCTTCTTCTTGATACATACAGTTCTTGTTCTACGCTTTTCCATATCTACCAAGTATTTTTCTTCTGAACAGTTCTTGTTCTTTTTGTTAATTTGGTCGTATATAAATTGTCAAGTTATAATGAAAGCTTTGAGCTTTAAGATCTGTTGGTTTCCCTAATTTCAGGCTTTGATCTCCTCCAATAAACCCATTAGAAAAGTTTCTTCCTTTCTCGTTCTATAGAGTTCTTTCTGCTGAATGTTTAGTTTTGCTTCTCTTTTCCCTCTGCTAGAGAATGTCAGAGGGTTCTATAGAGTTCATTCTGCTGAATGTATTAGTCATTTATGTTTTCTTTTATGTTCTGAATTCTTCTTAATCATGTCAATTAATTATACACATGAAACATGTTTTGAGGTTTTAGTAAGTACTAATAATGATTGAAGCTCAGTTTTGATGTGTGCTAATTTATTGTTATAGGTAGGTCTTCAAATTAAGATGGGGAGAGGAAAGATTGAGATCAAGAGGATCGAGAACACCACAAACCGTCAAGTGACCTTCTGCAAACGAAGAAATGGACTGCTGAAGAAAGCTTATGAGCTATCCATTCTCTGTGATGCTGAAGTTGCCCTCATTGTCTTCTCCAGTCGAGGCCGCCTCTACGAGTACTCTAACAACAAGTAACTAATTTCATCATTTGCTTAACCTCTCAAGTAATTTCTTCACTGGCGTTGATTAATTATTTTCACTTTGCTTATGATGATATGAGCAAATTGGACCCTTCTTTTAATTCTCAATTTGGAATGCATAAAGATCAATTAATTTGCACAATGCACACACACATGTATACACATATATATTTTACATCACCTTACAAATACAAAATCTTCAACTCGGGTAAGACTGGAAAAAGGAGTTCCTTTCTTCACTTGGTTGGTACACTGCTGCAGATGGTTATGATTTTCTGTGCCACTGTGATCATAGTATTCAAAGCCTGAGATTTTGAAGTACAGAGAGATGCACAATTATTACGTTCATTTTGGTTTTATTTGTTTTCTTCTCTCCTCTACCTTGGCTTGATTTAAAGGAATCCTCTAGTACATGCTGCAGTTCTATTTATATTTTTTTTCATATAAAGGAATCCCCTAAACATATATTAAAAAGGTAAATAAATACAGATTAACTTTAAGCTAATGTTAATTTTATATGTTATTGTTGTATCATTAATGTACTCACAGTTGTTTAAGACCAAAACGTGTAGGAAAAGAAACCAAACTTGACTCTTGCACCAATTTGGACCTACTTCCATGGATAAGAATCCAGTACTTGCCGGGTGTCGTTGGTACTTATTTTGCTTGAATTTCAGTGCTGCAAAATCTATAAGAATCTCCCATGCATGGCTTCCAGCAGTTGTATATTATTGGTGTATCATAATAACGTGTTGAAGGTCTTCCCTTTCCTTTTTCTGCTTTCAAAACCCTTCCTACCCTTCTGTTTGTCTTTATAAAGCTTTGAATAAAAATAAAAATAAAAGCTTCAACTTTTCACTTTGGTTTTCAAAAGGTGTTTTTTTTTTTTTTTTTTTTTTTTTAAACTTGAATTTTCATATTGGACTGGTTAGGGCTTTCTCTAATTTCTAGTTCAATATCTACCCCTTTGCAAAAGAACATGGAACTGTAAGTAACTCTCTGCATTTCTTCAGTTCTAGGGTTTCCGTTTTGATGTATGGGTGGCACGTGGCATGCTGCGTGTCAAGTCAACTAACCCATACTAGTCTTTTGACTCTTTGAGGGGTCGTTAATTAAGTGAACTGACTATTTTGCTGTCTATGATGAGTCTTGGAATGTGAAGCACTGTGCATATGTGTATCTGCATGCATGCCCATATTTCTTCAGATCATATGGGACCCACAAAACTACATCCTCTCATTACTTGAGATTTGTTCATTTATGATGTACTTTTCATGTTGATTTGGAGCTAATAATCTTTCTCAAGATCATATTCATTCATCTTAATTATTTTGTCATTATGGTTTACTTGGAATTATACACACATTCAAATAAAAATGTGTCTGCATCACTAACTGATATGATCCACTATTTTCCAATAATACTTCACTAATATGCACACAAGTTTTCAAGTATTGAAATATAATTAAACAAGCGCGTATTCGAAACTGGTTTCTATTTTTCGAAATTGATCGCTATGCAAAAATGTTCAATTATCGTATCGCAATATGCAAAAATGTTTAAATTTAGGTACCATAGCAATCGTAAATGCGGTCAGAGCAGGTAAGAGAAAATTTTAAAACACAAAAAAGAAATTAAAGGAATTAACTAAAATACACACACCTCTTTTTTCCTTCTGCTGATGTTTGTTTTTTTTTTTTTTTTTGGTTTCTTTTGTTTCGATAGAATCTGCTCTATGAGATTTCTTGAATTTAGACGTACACTCAGCGCCCTTTGTTGCATTGCATGTGTTTAATTTCTACATTCTTTCTGTTGCTTTTCAATGTCAAAATTTTCTTCCTATTCCTTTTCAGTGTCAAAATTAAATTATAGAGAATCTCTTGTCTGCTTGGCACAGTACTTAATCTCTCTCATCTTTCTGGGATTTAGATTTCTTCTGTCTTTCCTTTCCATCTCTAGCTTTGAGAATCTCCCTGTTTGGCTATATAATTTTCACCCTTTAAAAATTCGCAATTTTGAAAAATAGTTTATTTATTTATTTATTCATTAAGTAGTGAATGTATATGTGCATATATATATATTATATATATATAGCTGAGAAAAGAAATATTGAAAGTTGGGCAAAAAGTGCCTGTAGCTGTCACTGCCCTCCACAAAAGAATTGAACTGACTGACTGCTTGGCACAGGCAAAAAGTGCCTGTTTCTTATGCATTTATAGTGCTTCCTGTTTAATCTGATTCCTACGCATTGTGCCCTATATCCATGTCCCATCTCCACCAACATATGTTCTTTTAGCGCTAGCCCTTCAATGGTTTGACACCTTCGCATTGAGGTTGTTTTGCAATTAAGCCTTTGACTCCAAAACAACCAAAGATGCTCATGTTTGGTGTTTGGAGAGGGAAAATTTTAGTTGACACTTATGCTTTGGTAAAGAATTTGTTGAAGTTTATATATTTACCAAACATCGATAATAATGTATCAGATATACTATAGATTTATTTGATACAAGAGAATAACTATCCTAAAAAATGATTTTTCTTTGTCCGACGTTCCAACTCACAATAACTCAATTTTCTTTAGTTACAACACCATTATATCGACCATTTAGCCAACACACACAAAAAAAAAAACTTCAAAAATTAATAAACGGTAGAGTCTGGGCAATGTCGATCAACTTTTTTTCTTCTCTTTTTCATTCTTGTATTTGAAAAGGAAATCGAGATCTGCACTGCCTTTTGACACTTTCAACTTAAATATTTGGACATGTAGCAGCATAAGAAACACTATAGAGAGGTACAAGAAGGCTTGCTCAGATAGCTCAGGTTCAACCTCCATTACTGAAATTAATGCTCAAGTAAGCTATCTCCATCGGTATTCATTCCAATTGATATGCTTATATATTGTTTTAAGCTAATCACAATCAAGGATATAAATCTTTCAGTTCAAGTATGATATATTTGCTTAGTCATTGTAAAACGAAAATTAAGCATATTTGTGATTTTTTTTTCATGGGTGAGGGCTAGATTCTAGGTTCAAATCCTCTTGTAACAAAAGTGAAAAAGATTCAAATGCATAGGTTGTAAGGCTAACAATGTATGCTTTCCTTTTGTCTTGATGTAGTATTATCAACAGGAATCGGCAAAGCTGAGGCAACAGATTCAAATGCTGCAGAATTCCAACAGGTGATTCATGAAACTCGAAAAAGAACATACATCACACTTGTTTGCCAAATTATGACGTTGAAGCATAAAACCAACATTAATTGAGAATATAAAAAAAAAAGTGAACATTATTAAATGGAAATTCAAGAGTTACACCATGGCCACATGCATCAGAACCCTACATTGCTGTGCATCTCTTATATGTGGGCAACACCATATAGTATTGTAATCAACAGTCTAACGACGTCGTATAGATCTTATTTCCGACAATAATATCATGGTTGCCCTATTAATTTTACATCTCAAGGCAATATGATTTCGGTAATGGATGGATACAAATATTCTTTGCTTGTAGGCACTTAATGGGAGATGCCTTGAGTACTTTGAGTGTGAAAGAGCTAAAGCAGCTGGAGAATAGGCTTGAACGAGGCATTAATAGAATCAGGTCCAAGAAGGTATGCAATTTATCAAACAATTGATGAAAATCGAATGTGAAAGTTAATTACCCGAAAAAAAAAAATGCATGACAAAGCACAGCTTCGTCAACTTTGAAATTTTAATGCCATTTCCTAGACTTTCAGAGTCTTTTATGTGGTAGTTGATGTGTACTTATCGCCTTAATTTATTACGATGAGAACCTTAATTAACACATAGACTTTTACATTTGTGGTCCCAAAAACTCTGTGTGCACACATGCATATTCTTCCAATGTCAACTTTTCTTCTCATCTTAATGTTATCTTTTTCCTGCTATCTACCTCTTGAGAACAGCATGAAATGCTGCTTGCAGAAATTGAGTACTTGCAGAAAAAGGTAAATCCTCTCCTTCTAATTCCAGTTTATATGTGGCTACTTTTCTTTTAGAAGAATTTTGAAGCTTGTTGTGGAATGATGTTCTAATTTTTATTTTTTTTTTTACGCAGGAGATCGAGCTGGGAAAACGAAAATGTGTGTCTTCGAACTAAGGTATCGGAAGAAATTAAGTTTTGAAAAAAATAATTGAAAATAACACTCAAATTACTGCACTCTTCTCTGTTTTTAGCTCTTGATGTTCATTCCAACATGCAATATTTATGTCATGATCGAAAGCTTCCATATTAATATATGATATCTTTTTCCAAACTTCAGATTTCAGAAGTTGAGAGACTTCAACAAGCAAACATGGTTGGGTCAGAGCTGAATGCAATCCAGGCATTAGCTTCTCGCAATTTCTTTAGCCAAAATATGATGGAGGGTGGAGCAACCTACCCACAGCAAGACAAGAAGATTCTCCATCTTGGGTAAATATTTATATCCTTCTATCTGCATATCACTATCTATATATATGTTATGATTTCTACAGCATAAAAAGAGAACTTATTTTGTGTGTTTTTACTCATGCAGGTAAGCTTTTTGGAGAGAGATTCAGCAAATGCTAGCTCAATCTTATTCAAATAATGATGTGACTGCCTACTGTTTTTAGTAGTGTAATGTGTCCAATAGTTCTGGAACATTGCCATTTTTAGAAACTGCTGAAGCACTTACTTAATTAGCATATGCTTGCTGCATATGAACATGGAAATGTATTTGGAAAGATTGTTATATGACTTGGCTCAATCTCCAGAATAATTACTATTGTAAGGCTGGTAATTCAGTAAGTTTACCGTACTCGGCAATTGCAGAGCTTTTAATTGTGGCAGCGATGCATAATTGGTCAGAAATCAGTTGTTAATTAGTTTTGTGCTGTTAAAAGTTTCAGCTGATTAATAGAGGAGGTAGTCCTGTCTAGCACATCATTGTTATTTCAAGATATAAAGCAGGGGATCGGTCGGTTTTCTTGTGACTGGATGGCAGAAGGGCTCGAAGTGAGGTTGTGCCGTAGGGTTCAAATTATGCCACAATTCAAGAAGAGAGGTTGAATCGAAGTGATACAAATTTTGAATGGTTGCAATATCAATTCAGAAAAAAACACTAATTCCTCTATAATAGAACATGCAGCATTGTCTTTAAAATGAAGCCCATCAATTCCGGCATCCACCTATAATTGATCTCATGTTCTTCTTTTGACAATCCTATTATTTTATGTCCATGAGATGATCCTTACAGAACTTTACATTAACTTGTATCGCCTCTTCTGCCATCTTGTTAGTCTTAAAACAAAATCTTAAAGAAAATTATCTTGTAGTTGGTGAGTATCAGCGACAGAAAAGGCAAAAGGGAAAATGGCTATTCTTTTTTAATCAAAAGAATGGCACAGTTATGTCTATATCTCTTTTCCTAAGGCCCCTTAGGATGCCTGTAAGAAATGGAGACCAAATTCAAAGTTTTACCCGAGTTAAAGCTAGAAGATGAACTAGTAGTCACGAAGAAAACTTATCCCTTCCTAAACTTATTTAATACAATCGCAGACACCAAACGTGGTGATTGCATTCCTATATATACTTCATGACACGCTAAACGTAGCCTGAGGTTATCAAATTAGTGACATCTATTCCACGCCAAATCAACTTTTCCAGGTCGAAATTTTCAAAACATATCATAAACCTGCTTGCTGAAAATAGCAAGGATTCTCCATGGGTTAGGTCTGGGTCAAGTCAATCTTGTGGCAAAGATCAAAATGCAAGGGCCTTGTCTTGGATCGCCTTCCTAGCTTTCAAATTGCGTAGAAATAAACAAGCAAGCAAGCAAACAGAGATAACCATGAGATATAACTCATCATAGAAATTTTGAGTGAAAAGATAGGGTTTGATTCAGTTTCTGGTCCCATCTCAACCTTTGGATTTGACCGGCTACAAATTCCAGGGCTGAGAGGGGATGTACTGCACAAAAATAAAGTGTGTGCATTCTGCAACTGAAACATATGGCTGAAATTGTAAGCCAAACATTATAGACATCAAAGAACAAACTAGAGAAACATATAGGCATAAAATATATGTATAGGTATAAATTTGAAATTTTAAGCGAGCATCCTACAAATTTACATAAAGAGGATCAAATCATAACCAATATCAATCGCTGTCACAAACAGTTGCAGCAAACTCCCACATCAACCACGGTTCAATGAAGGAAGAGATTTGATATTTGATGATCACTCTCCTTACCACTTATCTTTATCAAGAATTACATTAAAGAATGGCACACTTGCCTTCACCTCTTTTACGAAGCTCTTCCTCTGCTCTCATAAGATTTTCTCTAAGTTTTCGAATTTCATCATCCGACCTCATCTGAGCCATTTGGGCATTCTCTTCTGCTCTCAGTCGAGCAGCTTGTTCATCTGCCAGCTGTTGCTCAAGCCTAATAGTGGTCTCTCTTAACTTTGACTCAACCTGTATAACAACATAATCGTGAATAAAGAAATACACCAATCATAGTGAACACATGTATGCTTATGTTTGTCAGGGCCCTGTCAACATTTCCCACTTTGCTAAACAGGATTCCTACTCCCCAATATTCACTACCTACCCCAAGAATTGAAAACAAAATAATACAAGTCACAGCATATAGAAATTTCATTTCATTCTATCTATACAATTAAAAAACATTTGAACAAATGACAATTATTCACACTAGACTCCAAAAACAACCAGATATAAAGCCAACCCTTGTTACACATGCCTTGAGGGTATGAAATTGATTTAAGGAAATCCATCCGATAGTTAAATCTTTTAAGTCAAGAAGAATTTCTATACAATTTAATAATTGTAGCTGACAAATTATGCACTATCACCCAAAACTCTTAACAAAATTAGATCTAAAGAAATTTTCTAACCAATATCACAGACATAGATACAACAGACTTGAATATAGATCATGTCCCAGGTAGATGAGATAGCTCATTAGTTGCTGGAGTTTGCATCCCCAGATCAAGAAACATGGGTAGAGGGAGGGGGAAGTGTGTTATTTCAATCAAATTTTGACAATTGATAAAAATATGGTGGACAACAACTATAACTGAATTCATTAAGCATATCAAAATTTTATATGACAGAACAAGAATCTTGTTATAAAATTCTGACAGTTCATGCTTATCCCAAGGACAATAATGAAAGATGTTTTAAATTAGTGAAGGCATCCTACAACCCTGGGCCTACTAAATTAATTCAGGACTTCAGTTATCTCCAATTAATATGCCAACACTTGTCTAAAAGGTACTGGCAAGGGGAAATGTGCTCAAAGGAAATCAGTGACTGCTAAATACCTCTTACTAAATATTTTAAGTTAAGATATAGGTTCTAATGGTTTAACAGGGGGTGGTCAATACTGTGATCACGGCACATAGACATTCTAGTTTTAGCCAAGTAAGAAAACTGTAGGAATTGTTAAATCCAAAAGCACGACAGATGAAAACTTAGAAAATCTGTTACCATCTCAGTAATTCGTTTAAGCTGCTCTTCATATGCACGCTGCATCTGATCCTTCAAATCCGATATTTCTCGTTTAGAATACCCCTTCAAGGAATTAACCTCTTCTTGTTGATCACGGAGTTTAATAGCCCCTTTCTGTCGCATACAATAATTATTTGATCAAGATATTTTAGAACAAAGTGACAGTTTAAGGAAAAAATTATTATAAATAATTATAGTACCTTCACTTCAGCGAATATCTCATCAGTGTACGGTCGTCCACCATTCTGAGCTATGACCTGGTTTACAAGGGAGAGAAGATGCTGCACTTGTTTAACCCTCTTACTTTCATCCTTAGTCTTGTTATCAAAAAGCACACAGCGATTTTCACACAGAACAAGAATTTCCTACATCAATCCAAGAATTGGTTAGATTTCTAGTACATGTTATCTTTATATTCAAGACAGCACTGGATTAAGAAAAGAAAGTGGAAACAAATTTTTACAAACCATATATGAAAACACAATAACAGACTATAATAATCTCTAAGAAATACGATTCAGGCAAGCTGCATCAGTCAATCTTCCCTTGTACCATGCTACTAATAGGAAATTTACTGCAATCTACATGCCAATAGTCATCTGAAGGAAAGGGAACTTCTCTAACATATTCTTGAAGTCCACTTTGTTAAGGACATATTTTATACAAAACCAACTTTGACATCCCCCAGCCCAAAGAAAAACCTAAACAAATACATGAAAAATGACAGCCCACGCAAAAATAATTTTCTTGGTCATTCATGTAAATTGTACAAACTGAAAAGGGAAGAGTTGATGAAAACTGTCTCAATTATGTAGCAAATAAATCCAAACATTCGTATAACTATGTTTGATGTAATATGTACGACCGTGTTAATAGTTTACATGCATCAAAGTAAAACGAGAATAAAGTTAAGGGGAAGCATGTATCTACTCATTCAGAAATGAACACTACTACTAATGAAATTATCATAATAGTTTATAGAAAAGAAAGAAAATAAGCCAAAGTTAAGGGACAAGCTTGAATGTTCGTGAGTAACCTTCAAAGGCTCTGGACATTCACGGCCCAAATAGTCTTCCAATGTCTCATCATTTTCTTCAAGGTCATCTCCGCCAGTAAAGACCACAATCATGTAATCAATAATTTTGCTTCCAAACAAAGTTTGCAAGCTACGTAGTGCAGCTTCTTCTTCTTGTGAAAACCGGGTCCTAACTGAGAAAGTTACAAGAACAGCATGGATTCCATCCTTGGCCAAATCAATGCATTTGACAATTTCTTTGCCAACAAAGTCTGACCTTGCAGAAAAATCAAAAAGACCTGCACCAGTGTACAACACAAGTCAACACAATGAGAAGAAAGGATAGCTTCCAAAGACCAAATACAACTACTCTATACATTTGCCTCCCTACTACAGAAAAGGAAAGAAGAGAAAGAAAACTAAAATAGATGTTTATAAAATTATAAATCAGCAGGATTTTACCAGGAGTGTCTATAACATTTACAACTTGTCCATCTCTCAATACAGCTTTCTCCAGTTCACAAGTGCTTGTAACACCAGAGGAGCTGGTCTTGGACTTGAAGGCCTTTCTTCCAAGAATACTGTTTCCTGTTGCACTTTTTCCATTACCAGTACGTCCAACTAAGACCACAGTGCGAACTGCACTAGACAGTGAAGGAAGCTCCCAGTCATCATCAATCGAACTTCCACCCATTATATAAAATCAGGATACCTAGAAGACACTTAATTCTGTCAACACTTCATAATGAAAAAAGTATGCATCACATAAGTGCTAATACTTGCATCCATCTTATAGTTGACAAAATCATGTCTAGAACTGTAGAAAACTGTTTGTATGGCATGCCCAATGCATAAAAATAAAATAAAACAAAGACTTATTTCATGAAAAGCTAAACCAGAATTCCAAAAACTCAGGGGTTATATCTCCATTTTTAGTGGAGACAAAATTATGTAAGTCACCTTTCATTCAAAACATCATCTTTTACTCTAAGAAGAAGACCATGATTTCAAAACATGGTCAATGAACTTTTTCCTTTGTGGATGGAAACTCTCTCTTTAATTGTACAAAGAGAGACAATGCACTATAATGCCAAATGTAACATGAATAGTAAGCCATATGTATTTCCATGGATCTACACGACAATTCCATATCTAAGTGACATTTGTTCCCACAAAAAAGGACAAGAAAAGCAAACACAGCAACACAATTTTATAAGCAATCGTAGGAAGTTCCACATAAAAAATTCTAAACTACAATTAAAGCACCACCAAAGTTACCCATATTTCACATATTACTTATTAATTCCATTTAAAACAATTGCAAACCTAAATACACGCAATTAAATTTGTATGCTGAAAATTAAGCAAAGGATCTTGACCGACTACGTTAAGTACCATAACCGTCACAATTCTATTTATGAAAAAGAAAAAAAAAAACCTGGTAAGATATTATTTTAACCACAATTAACCTTTGAATTCCATTGATCAAAAAAACAAAAACCTTTGAATTCCCGTATCAACATAAGTAAGTACAAAAGCAAGAGAACCATGATCAAAGCTTAACCCAAAACCTAAATCAGCCAAAGAGGCTAAGAAGAACAACGATCAGAAACACTGTTTGTTCGCCGACAAAACGAAGCAAAACTAAAACAAAAACAAAAAAACTATTTTGGATTTGCATCCTTTCAGATTTCCAAATCAAGAGAATCGTCTCGACTCTCAACTGGACGCAGAGAGCCGACGGAAGCAGAAAGTGTACAGTTCAAAATTCTCGATTCCTTTCGTTTACCTGGATTTTCCCGTCGACCAAACAGAACAAAGAAATTTTCTTTGAAAAACCAAAAAGGAAAAAGATTTTCTAAATACGAAAATAAGGAACTGTGAGATGACTTACTAGCAAAGAAAAGAAGCGCAGTCGCCGTCAGTGAGAGAGAAGATAAGAGAAGAGACACTGACACAATAAACCTCTATTGTAAAACGAGTTGAAGATCGCATAGAATTATAAAATGACGTGATTTAGATATCTATAATTTAAATATTTTGTAATTAATAATTTCAATGTGATTTCATGTACGTCGAATGTTGTAAATAATATGAGTTATACAAAAAACAAATTTCCGCTCAATAAAAATTGTAACATGACACTTTTTTTTGGCGGAAATTAAACTTAGAAATCTTAATCTCTAATTTCTATGATTTTTTTCGCATGTCATTTATTAAGTTTTGTACTTACGTTGACAAACAATAGAAATATCAAATTTTCCTTTTTCATTCTCAATTTTTAGCTAAATCTTGAGTAAATTGAACCTAAAACTGCGCATGCATGAATAAATGCTCCTAATCACTCGAGCTACTAGCCCTTTGTCACACAACTCATCTTTTATTTTTCTATATACCATATTAAACTTTCATTATAAGGTGTCGTGCTTTAGTTTTTAATTTTTTCATATATTGGCTAATTGGCCTGTGCTTTTAGTTTTAAATTTAAGTATATGTTTTTATAGTGAAAATTTATTAAATAATATGTAGCATATGCACAATTCAACTTTTATTCATGCTTGGATGATGAATTGGCACTACGTGAACTAAAAATTTATAAAATATTGGTTAATTTGCCAAGGCAATGAGTCCACCAACTTATTGAACCCCAATCATTCGATGTGTTAGTGTCAAAGACGAGCAATGTGGAAAGGCATATAGCTTGACAAAAATTGACGACCCAAAATTTTCAAATTGGGGAAAGGAAAATGAAAAAAAGTCACACCTTTGTCAAGACATATAAAAAGAATGACAATGGCAAAAATAAAGAACCACCAAAAAGGCTCACTCTATCATACCCCTGTCATCGTAGCCTGGACATGCTCAAATTTGTTGAATAAATCAACTGCTCAATTGCCTCTTTCAATTTGCTACTAGTAGTATCAGAGACATATTGGACACCCACAAACCTTTCAATTACTAACCATTTTTTGTTCACATAACGTAACACCACTGCCAGTTGCTCTCTTATTGAAATATCACGTGATTCATCTACCAATATAGAAAAGAATGCATCGCCCATATCACTAATAATTGCATCAATGGTTTCAGCGGCATAAGAACTGACAAGTTCTTTTTGAATTTTAGGAGCAATATACTTGAGATTCCTTGGAGCGTTCTCAAATACAACGGCACAAACTTTCTCATCATGATCGGCAAGAAATTGCAAAAGCTCCACATAATTACCCTTATTACTAGATGTTTCGCTTTCATCATGACCACGAAAAGGAAGACCTTATCGCAATAAATATCTAGTGCAATCAAGTGCGGCAGTTAATAGAATGCGATAATTACTACGAGCTTGGTCTGTTTGCTTGATCACAATGGTTTCAAACATGTTGCTTCTAATTCATTAAATCTGTACAATGTTGTGTAGCTTTATTGTGAAGACTTCCATCTTGTCCAACATGGTCCCTAAAATTCTCGAGTCCCTTCCTCCAATTTTTAAACCCTTTCTCAGTGAAGACATCGCTTCCAGCCTTTCCTTGTTTATCAAAGTCGCATTTAAAAGGATAACAATGAAGACAAAATGCAGCATCTTTTTCTTTACTATACTCTAACCAACAAATGAATCAAACCATTTCACAAGAAAACGTCGATTACTCTTCCCCATAAGTGTTTGAGGCATGTCATTTTGGCTTTTAGGCTGACAAGGACCTCTTTGCAGATAGGCTTTTCTGATTTGTTCTCGAAAATTGGGATTATAATAAGTTATTGGAGGTCTAAGTTCAGGGTCTGCAGGAGATTAGCCAATATTTCATCCAACTCAGTGACCTCCGATTGTTGTGGACTACTCGAATTATTTAAGGGAGGATGTGAAGTAGGTGGATTATTTGAAAGATGATTTGAACTAGCCAGATTATTTGAAGGAGGGTTGGAACTAGCCGGATTATTTGAAGGAGGATTTAAACTCTTTCTCTGAAAGTACCGTTCCATAACTGTACAATTAAAACAAAATAAGGGTTTTATATCTCTTACTATGACTAATTGACTATAATTTATCAATTAAATAAAGAAATAAATATCAAATTATCAATGAAATAAACAAATAAAAATTAATTATACCTCGAATAACGTGTCATGTAGCCTCTTCCTCCTTGAGTTTGCTACTGATCTTACTAATATAGAGAGAGCTAAATAAGAAAAAAAAATTATTAAAAAAAGAATAAACAAAATTGGCGTTTGCTCAAGAAGAAAAAAAATGCATTCAACTTACTTTGGATTGGTGTATTGAAGAAGGAAAAAAAAATGTAGCATTTTTGTGAGGCACACACACACTTTGATTAAATTGGGTGATATTATTGGTCTTTTATAAAGAGAATTCCCAATTCTATTTAATTAAGGAATTCCCAATTCTACTTAATTAAGAAATTCCCAAAACCCAATTGAATAAAGAAAACTCCCAATTAAGTAAGGAAATAGAAGCCCTTTTGAAAAGCCCACAAAAGCCCACGTGATACAATCATACAGAGCAGCAGTTTCCATGTTATTTATTTTTTATTTTTTATTTAAAAAACATGGTCCAAACGACGATGTCGTTTTGGCCAGGTTTTACACAAAAAAAAAAGCGGCATTTTAAACAGCATCCAAAACGACGTCGTTTTGGCCAGGCTTCGTTAAAAAAAAAGGAAGTGAGCGCACGCACCAGCAACTGCCCAGCTCCCAGACTGGTTTGCGCATTTCATCGAACACATTATGTGCATCGCTGGTCTGAAGCAGAGGTGCAACTCCAGCATCTATAATGGATATTTCCAGCGACCGGAGGTGCAGGCGCACCTCCTTGCGCCTACACAAGTTCGCCACTGCATACTACTCTCACCATAAAACGACTCAACCCTTACCATAGAACGACTCAACAAAAGGTAATTACACTCAATCAAGAATTATATAGTGATGGCCTAATATATGACCCTATCTCTTAATCGTTTGATCAAATTGATTAGCTGTTTGATTAAATTGGTTAGTCTTAACCAACGATTAAGAAATACGATCTCACATAAGGGTCATCTATTAGGCCCTCACTATAGAATTACTCTACAGTCAATAGGCCTTCTGGGTGCCAAGTGGGTTTGTTCTCTGTAAGCATCGCATAATGGGCCAAGCCCATTAATTAAACTGCAATTTGTTTTGTTGTGTGTAACCCAACGACCCAAGTTCGGATATCTTGTCGCGGTCGACCTGTTCTTGTGATTTTTTCTTTCTTTCTTTAAAAAGTTTCCTTTTTCCTTTCTTTTTAATTTTCCGGAGTGGGTTTTGGGTTTACGTTGCTTGTCTCATACTTGTGCTGGAAATGTGGTATAACTAGTGAGATTACGCGGAAAGGAATTAGCATCCCAGAAAGTGAAGCTGCAAAGGTAAAGGTGAAGCCACTGACAGAGTGATAAGACATTAAAAAGTTGTTCGAGTCCAAACAAAGATTCCCACTACGAACGACTTTGTTTGTTTGGTCTGCGTTCTCAGCCTCAGGTCTTATCTATAAAATCATCATCTCTCTACGACTTCGGTGTTTGGTGTGTCAGCTGATTCTTGCAAGGTGTTTGATCAAGCTGATTCTTGCAAATCTTATCTCCTCAATTGGGCACTTTCAAATTTCGATCTTGCATTGAGGATTTTTGTTTTGGATAGAAAAAAAAACAGAAAATCTTCATTTGTGCAGTAACTATGAGCAGCTGAATCTTAGTCAACACCAAGATATGGAGGTTGTTTTAGAGAAAAAAGACGCTGCTGATTGGGTTTACAGAGGCGAAGGCGCTGCCAATCTTGTTCTCGGTTACAGCGGATCCGCCCCCGCCTTTGTATGTTTCTTACTTTCTTTGATTGTTTCCAAAACACACAAAACCTGAGCTTAAAGTATGCACTTATCTTAAAGTATGTGTTTTTTCTTCCTGAGAAAAAGGAGAGAAGAATTTCTTTGGGCCGTTTGATAACCTTTTCAATTTTAGTTTTTAGTTTTCATTTTTTGTGTTAGAGTATAGAGGAAAAAGAGGGGAAATGAAAGTGAGAATGAGAGTGGAGATGAGATTAAGAGGGAAGATGAGAGGGGATGATGGTAGGGAGGAGTAACAAAAGTGAAAACAAAAACTAAAAACTGAAATCTCTTTGAAATTGTTTTCACTTTTGTAACTCCTCCCCTCTCATCCTCTCTCTCAACCTCATCCTTACTCTCATGTTTGAAGCTTATAATGATTGTACCTTGCTCTATGTAGATTGGGAAAGTAATGCGTCTACAGAAAGCTCCGATTAATGGGTCAAAGTCCATGAACAGTCCCACTGCATTAACCATGCATGAACGTCTTCTGTGGAAGGACACGGAGGACATTGTAGCTACCTCTAACAAAGAACTTGCTTGCCAACTGTTTGTGAAGCACATCATGAGCCCTCTATTGGGTTCCACGCACGTTGATTCTGGGGTATGTAGCTATCTACGCTTGTACTTGTATGTATTATTTCAAAATAGTTATGGTGGGCTTTAAGGCATTTTTTAGTTGGGTTGTATTTGTACATGGGGTATGTATCTATGTCCCGGTCCAAGACAGTGATTATGGATTTCATATGCCGTGTCACGCTGTAAGCTTTCTCTTATAAGGGGAAGCCACAATAGTGTTGATGGAAATACCCTCATTCTATGCAATATAGTTATGCATTTGGTTTTCCCGTGAAGTCATGCATGCATGTGGTAAGATGTACAAAATGGTTTCGTTCTTTAACCTTAAGTTAGAATTTTGGCAGATGCGTGTCCCTGCTTCCAAAGAATTCTTGGAGTCGGTTGAGAAGAACATAATTTGTCAGCGTCCTGCTTCTCGAGTTGACGCTGCCAAAGTTGACACACAATGTGATTCTGTGCTTCTCATGTCTGATCATTCTCTTTTTCCTCGTGGTAATTAGTGTCTCTGTTACAATTTTAATTGGTGCTGCACTTAAAGATTTAGAACTGTCTGCCTGTTATGGTTGCTAACACTTAAAAGCTCTCCCTTTGCCTTTTACTTTTCTAGTAAAAGATATGAGGTAATATCTACACAACACTAAAACTCAGAGAAGCAGGGAGAGAAACCTGGAGATAGCAGCATTCTGCTTAGAATCATAGGAAATTTGTATCTTGTTAAATGTAGGTGCACATATTTATCTAAATATTGTCTTGTGATAGATATGATCAGAAGTTTTCTTTTATGTTTTGTTTTATTTCTGAGACCTTAGGAAAAAGCTCTGACAGTCCAGAACTTAATAAATTAATAATTTGATTGTCACTTTTATTTAAGTGTAAATTTCAAAGAGTGATAGTTTATTCTTCTTTATTCATTTCAGGTACTCAAGAAGTTGAACCCTGTATATCTGTGGAGATAAAGGTGCTTTTCCCTGTTTGTGTTCTTTGTTTCTATTATGCTTGTCATGTAAACTTTTTTCTTGTTACCTTCACATGAGTAATACCCTTGAAATATATTTAGTTATTCCTTTTTTCTTTTCAATTGTTTCCAAAAATAGCCAAAATGTGGATTTCTGCCATCTTCAAAGTTCATTGATGAAGGAAATGCCATTAAACGGAGCATTACTCGTTTTCGGATGCACCAAGCTCTGAAGTTGCATCAAGGAGAGGTGTGCTTTTACTATGTTCTTCTCCTGGTCAAATTATTTACTACCCAGAAATCAGCCAAATGAGTTATATATGTTCAATGGGAATTCCATCTCATCTAATTCTTAGAACTTCTGCGCACAAATATAAGCAAAGAGTGTCCTATTGTAGTAATACTAAATGTCAATGTTTAATTTTGACCTGGATATGTCTAAACCTGTGTTACAGGTATCAGAATATAGTGAATATAATCCACTTGATCTGTTCTCTGGATCCAAGGAAAGAATACATAAAGCTATCAGGGATCTCTTCTCAACCCCGCAGAATAACTTCCGTGTATTCTTGAATGGTTCTCAAATATTTGGGGGCTTAGGCGGTGGTGCAGACAGTACTGATTTTGTCACTCGGGGAAAATTTGAAGATGCACTCAAGTGTGTTATTCAGGGAGGTGATGGCTTGCGCACAATGAGTTTTCTACTGCTTGTTGCTGAGACAGTTCATAAATCTGGAGTGTTGGACCGGCTCCTTGAGGTCCAGAAACTTGATAATCTTGACATTGATGGGGCTATCCATGCGTATTATGACATTGTTTCGGAGCCTTGCAGGGTATGTAGAGCATCCGGTAAAGAAAAAATGTCACAGAGATATCTTTCATTGCATTCCATCTCTTTGGATGAAAGCTTGAAGATTGTGAAGGATTTTTTGATAGCTGCTACTGCAAAGGACTGCAGTTTGATGATTAGTTTTAGACCAAGGAAAGATGGGAATCCAGGATCTCCATATAATAATTTGTATCTAGATTCAACCAACCAATTTTTTGATTACAAGGTACAGAGCTTCTTATTTTTTCGTTCTGACTGATTTTCATTCTTTACAAATTTTCTTCTCGTAATTTAATACCATTTCTTAACAGCTAGAGCACGTAAATATCTTATTTGAGTTGCATTTTCCTAGGTGAAATCCCCTGTGGGGGATATCTTTCCTTATGACATTAATATCATATTTGAGTTTCATTTTCCTAGGTGAATTTCATTGACCTGGATTTGAAACAGTTGAAGAAAATGGAAGAATATTATGAGTTGGACAAAAAAATAGTAAGCTACTACAATCAAATGGTGGAAACTGAGGAAAGACAAAAGAAAAATACAAGCACAATGGCTCTTAAAACTGCAAATTGAGATTTCTTGCTGTGCCATGGAAGATACTTTACTTCAAATTATGAGTAAGTGCAAGTCGGTTGATATATAGTATTTTCTGTAAATTATTGCTGTTAATAGCTGTATTTGTTTGTATACTTCTGGGCTTTTAGCCATTATTTCTTTATTTCCTTTGTTTCTATGAAGTTTTTGATTTGCAAGGTTAGTAATATAAGCAAGTCATTCCCATCCCTCTTCCCCTTCTCTTTCTTTGTGCCAATGATTTATCATATATAAGCTTTATCTTAGTGTTTGCATGTGGGGTTTGGTTGGGGAAGGGCTTTGTTTGTTTTGAAGAATGATGAAATTCTTTTCTTTGTTCTTTTTTCTTTTTTTAATAACTGGTTTGAAATATATCCTGGACTGCCGCTGCATGCATCATCAGTCCATGCAAATCTTTCATTTCTAGAATAGATTAAGCTACGGTAATTTTTATACTGCAAGTCTGCAAATGTTCCTGGGCATGTCCTAATTTTGTTTGAACTTACCATTCATTAGGAGGCAAATGCATTCAATTTAGATTGAGTTATGCATATTTACTGCAACTTTCTAATTGTATTAGCATAAACATGGCATGCTGCTTTAGTCCTCATATAGTTTTGTTGAGGCACGTAATCAGTGTTTCATGTTGTTAATAAAGCTCATAAAGACTAACGAGGGAAGTAGAGAATGTGATAAATAAAAAACCGTTGTATAAGATTGAGAAGTTTAATTGGAAATGAGGAGAAACTGATGAAACATAATTTCTGGGCTCTACAGGGAAAGTGATGTATCAACTAACTTCAATGTGATTCCATAAAAAGCCCACATGGCCTATTAATTCAGACAGCTGGATTTTCAAATTGTGGTATTAGTACTAATATAAAGAAAAACAAATGACCAGGGCATCCATGGTGTTTTCTAACAGATAATGCATATGTTTTAGCAACAGTATTTTAGGGAATCAATGAATTATCTAAGTTTGAACAAGCAATTTCTTGCATAGGCATTAATCTAAATTTCCAGTTTTTCTCATCAGAGTTCTTTTTGCGTTTTCTTTATGCTTCCTTATAGTTCTTCATATTTTTCAAGTTTTCCATTGTTGGTGCAGATTTATATTTTGATATCCTTTAATAAATTGTCAGGTAAATGTAAGGATCTTATAGTTTTGATTTTCAACAATGGAACCAAACACATTTAGTTTTGAGCAGTAACTTATGACATTTTCCACTCTGATGTACGAAGTGTGATTTGGAGTTTGTTTTGTAACTACATTGCCAAACCACGAACATTCAAAAGAAATGACTTGGAAGAATCAATGAACCTGATGCTGGAACATGTTTCTAGACCAGGTGTTAAGACTAATATGGAAGGTTCTGTGAAATCTGGTTGTTCAGCTTTGATATTTTGATCAGCATATATGTGGAATATAAAGGCCGTGGGTTGGCTACATCATGTGCTGAACAATGAGCTCCTGAGCTGTCTATAGGTCTCTCTCTCTCTCTCTCTCTCTCTGTTTGTTTGTGTGGATCAAATCCTGTTAAAGTTGATGATTCAAGTACGGGGAAGAAGGAATTAATACGTTCCAGAAGTGGGTCAAGTTTGCCCTCAACTGATCCCACTAGAGCTGAATTGAGAAACTGATTGCCATTACTATATCCCAATACATTGCGTAATGTTAGGTCTTCTTTATTTTCTTGGAGACATCCTGAGCTAAAACCTCATTTGTTGGTTTGTTCAAAATCTTTGTTTTCTTCAGTCAATGAGCATGTTTACTTCTAGTAACATTTGCTATAAGCTGACACACCCGTGCGTACAAACAGGCGAATGGGCAAGCTTGTCAGAGTCAGGCAGGTCTGCATCATTTTAACTTTGCTATAAAATGTCTCATTTCTTTCAAGATAAAGAGGATGTGCATTGTAGAAAGGTGTGTTTTAGTCTAGCATGGGATGTGTGTGTGTGCCCTCACATGGTAAATTCTGCATTTATTGCATATCAGAGGTCATAGGTGACCCAATTAGCAACCCTTCCGACTGGCATTTACTTCTAGCCAACTACTGACACTGTCATTTTGTACTCAACCAGCTTGTTTGCTAAGAATGCCCATAGTGCCGTGCTGAAAATATAATCAAACTAAATAGAGAGAGAGAGAGAACATTTTATATATAGCATCTTTGGATCTATTCTTCCTTTGTTATTAGCTTGTTCCAGTTTGCTTTCTATCATTATTTCTTTATTATGTCTAAGGTTCCATCTCTCATCTGATTTTTTTCTCTGCTATGTAATTAGTTATTGCCGTAGCACCATTTTCTGTGGAGTCTTTCACTGACACACACTGCAATACTTCAGATGAAATTTATATTTTCTGAGCGCACAAGTACGAAACAAAATCTGACCTTTACTCTTTTCTTCTGTTGCAGTAAACTGTAGTGTCAGTGGAACTGCTATGTTCCAAGTGCAGGAAGAAGTTGATGAAGTTAATAGCAACGGTAGAAGGGATAACTTCGATTGTCCTCGACCCATCAAAAAATATGGTGACAGTAACTGGGGATGCCGATCCAGTAAAGGTTATCAAGAAGGTGAGAAAATTCAGAAAATCTGCTTCAGTTGTGAGTATAGGTCCTCCACCTCCACAGAGTGAGAAGAAGGATGAGAAGAAAGACCTTGTTCCTTTTAACACCAAAGACACGTCAGAGATGGTACGATGTCTGGTATGTGGTTGTTAAAGATGGTTACAATTATTGTTCCATAATGTATCATCCTGAAACTTGTATGAATAATACCCAGTTGTATTTATTTCATGTTAAATTCACTCATTTCTGAGTTAATAATAGAGAAAAATGCAAAAAAAGAGGCTTTGGTTGTCAATGCAAATCTGTCTTTCAGCTGATCGTGTTATGGTCAATTTTCCAGTCGTATATATTCTGAAGTATATGGTCAGTTGGACAACAAATCTTGAGGCATATGGAAAGCCATGGCTGGTAATTTTGTCCTCTGTAACTTTAGATGGCTTAGCGAAGCGACCATATTTCAGCAGCATTTTGCTGCATATACAGTAAATATGATTGTTACCCTAGCAAGTACTAAATATTCATTAGTAGCCCCCGTCACAAACATTCAACAAGGTCTTCGTCAAGTGTAGCCTGTTTTCTAATAAGAATTTATGCTCTCTCTCTCTCTCTCTCTCTCTCTCTCTCTCTCTCTCATTGATGGATGAATTTAGTTGGGTTTGTGTGTGAGGTTCACTCAGCAAAACACATAATTGTGTGAAGATTTCCGACAAAATGATGATTGGTTTTTGGTATATGGACTGGACATTTGATATGATGTATACCTAAAATAATAATTAAAGATAAGCATTTGTCTTGTTCACAAATCAATGCCGTGAAATGAAAGCTCTTGCCTTCCAAGGTTTGTTTTGGAGGAAAATGACTTTGGAAGATATGGTCACGTCACATTTTAGATTTTCTTCACTTTCAGACGCTTAAATGCTAATCAATAAAGCCTTCTACACTGAAATAATCTATACACATATATAAATCGCATAGCCGCCCGGCTATACTATATTTTTTTGAAATTTTTTAAGAAATAGTATAGCCGTGCGGCTATACTATTTTTAAAAGACAATTAGGGGAAAACTGAGTATAGCCAAATATATATTATTTTTATTCAATAATATGTGAGAATTGTGTGTATAATACGTGAATTTTATAAATTACACATGCATCCGTCGTATGTGACCTAATTCCATATACACCACTTAGGGTTGTGCTTTGTTAGTTTGTTTCTTCTTCATGTTTCTTACGTATTTGCTAGAGTCGGACCACTATGAGGCCCGTTAATGATAAAGTTAGCGTGCCCATTAACGGCCAAGTCGGCCTACTGAATGGCCCAAAAAAGACAAATTCGGCCCACTGAATGGCCATTAAAGTAAAAAATGAGTCCTTAAAAGCCTACAAGGACAAAGATGCCCACCAAAAAGGACCATTGGAGGCCCGTAAACCATAAAATAGACCTAATACGAGCCCATAAACGATAAAATAAGCCCACTAACGATATATAAACGACAAAGTAGGCTCACTTCAAGAACCAATAAACAATAAAGTAGGCCCACTACACTGGCCATAAACGACAAAATAGGCCTACAAGGACAAAGATGCCTACCAAAAAGGCCCATTGAAGGCCCATAAACCACAAAATAGACCCAATACGAGCCCATAAACGATAAAATAAGCCCATTAACGATATATAAACGACAAAATAGGCCCACTTCATAGGCCAATAAACAATAAAGTAGGCCCACTACACGGGCCATAAATGACAAAATATGCCCACTAAAGAGGTAAACGACAAAATAGGTCCACTAAAGAGTCCATAAACAACAAAATAGGCCTAGTAAAGGGCCAATGAATGACAAAACATGTAACATCTGGTATTGGATTTTAACTTTATTTTCAAAATTTTAAAAGGAATGGATGGTTTTGCCGTTTTAAAGTGGTTTAGAGGCCACTCTTTCTTCAAGACTGATTTTGCCATTTTAAAGTGGTTTACTCTCCATTGTGTGGAAATCATTCTCATGAGTTTGTAGACATGTACTATGCGTAAATTAGAGTCAAAGAGTTACGATCAACAAAAGTGCAGTGACACAACCATAATTTTTAGAAAAGTCATTTTTTTTTAATTTTTAAAAAAAACCCACAACTTTCTCTCTGCTCACTTTTTCTTCGCTCTCCTCTTTCCCCGATTCTAACTCGTCTCTTGAGAAAAAATGGCAAACAACACTTGAGGAAAATTTCTGGCACCGTTCGATGGCGGCACGCAATGAGATCGGTAGGGAATTTCTCGTCTCCAATTCACAAACCTTTACCCCACCACCCCTGTTCTGATTAACCTCTGTAATTGTCAGATTTTGGAAGGAGAATTTTGGGATCTTTGCACAGTTGATGCCTCCATTTCAAAGGCTATTCTAGTGAGCTCCGACCACCCATGGCCATCATTCTTCTTGGAAAAGGTGCGCCTCTCCTCCCTCTACATTTTCCCTAAGTTAGCCAATGTTGTTATTGGCTATCACCTACGTCGTGAGCTCGAGAAGCTCCACCAAAACCTTCACGAGTTTGGCTATTTTCAAGCCAATTCGGCCACTTTTTGGCAGGGTCGAAGAGTAAAAGTTGTTCTCCTTAAAGTGCTTGTGCGAGTGGTATATTGGGTTGTTGGCGATTTGGACTTTTTCGGTCGCCAAAAAACTCCTAAAGCCACAAAAGGTGGCACGTGAGCCCTTAGTGGCGGCATACTTTGCTTTGTAATCGTCTCTACGTTGTCTCGAGCACAAAGATAAGCTTGGATTGGCTAGATTTCGTTGTTTGATCGGTGAATGGAGTTTTGCCTATTAGGTATTGATTAATTGGGAAGATTGAACCGTTGGATTGGTTCCAGCTTTGGATATGTTGTTTCGCATAGAATAAGAGAAGACACCTAACGTTCATGATCTGGTTCGATTTGCAGCCTCACATAGAAGAAGATAAGATACCTAACGTTCATGATCTGGTTCGATTTTGTTAGACGCTTTCTATAACAACAGCACCATGTGTAATTTCTCATTTTGGTTCTAATTTGAGAGAAAAATCAGATCGAACCGGACTGTGCCTACCCATATTCTCTTACATAAAGTTCTTTTGGGCTTTCACGAAGAGGAGGTGTGTGCTTCACTGGATAAAACAAAATGAGAAGGTGACTCACACAAAGTGATCATCTTGTCCTTAAATTTGATGAAAAATGTAACATATTATGACGTTAAGACCAATGATGCTAACAAAAGTGGAATTTAGGATCTAAAGAAGTCATTTTTAAAGTTGAAGGATCAAAATGTGAATGAAACACAATTTCAAGGCTTATTGCTCTCCTAAGGCCATCTCCAACAGTGGGCTAAATTTAGCCATTTCACACCCAAGACTTGTGAGAACCTGTTTTAAATAAAAAACTATATAAATTATTATTTTAAAGAAATATTCATACTACATATTAATTATTTATTAATATGAATTTTCCTTATTTAAAATTTATTGTGAAGACTTATATGTTATTAAATCTTAAGCATAGTATGAGATTATTCCTTTAGTTGAAAGATGACACCATTCTTGTTTTCCATGTCTAGAGATTTGGAATTAGTTTTAATCATATCATCATTGCCATGCCACCTTGCATGCTAGTAACAAGTGGTGTTGTGATGTTATTGGCCAAAGGGGGATAAGTCACATTACTATAATCATAATTGTCATGTCACTTTACATGCTAGTAACAAGTGGTGTTGTGATATCATTGGCTAAAGGGGGATGAGTCACATTAGTCCCTTACTTTTCTATCTTATCTTTTGGTGGTTTAAAATATTATATATATAAATAATTTTTTGGTTGCATCTGTTGCCTCTCCTATAAGTATCAACCTGCCTTACTTCAATCATTCATTCCAATTCTTTAGAATATATTTCTACCATGAAGTAGTGTTTAAGAGAGAGAGAGAGAGAGAGAGAGAGAGAGAGAGAGAGAAGAAAAAGAAACAAGATGAAGAACGTGTGTGCTTGTCTTGCAATATTTCATACTTATCATGATGAGTGGGTTATGTAATGTGTTCTAAAAGTTCTTCTTTTGTGATAAATGTGAAAATCATAGATTTATTATATTTACAAATCTCTCTCTATTTTCAAGTTAAACATGTCTAGTTTGTGCAATATTTCACACTATATATATTTTTTGAAGTTTGTGTGAAGTATGTACTATTCATGGAACATGAGAACTTCAGTGACGAGGTATCCGAAGGATAAATGTACCAGACAAGGACATAGGGCAGTGAGGCTGATATGGGTCACATGCTGGGTACAATTTGTGAAGGATAACCAAGATATGAAGTAATGATATGATATGATTTGGATTGTGTATCTTTTTATTATATTTTCTAGAGTGTGTAAAATGACATTGCTTGACTGGCATATTACATAATCTACTCAATGAGCGGTGGTTTGCTCATCCCTCACATATTTTGTTTTTCAGATCAATTAGTGAACAAGACAAAAACGAAATCAGAGAAGTTGGATTAGTTTAGAGTGATAAAATTTTATTTATATCTTGTACACTTGTAAGACTATTATTTTTTTTATATATAAGGGTGTATTTTAACCAATTTTTCAGTATTTTTATTTTGTTCCGTTCAATTCATGCACCCTAATTCAAGAATATTTTTTATTCTCGGATCGGGTCGTGACAAAACCCATCTTCAACAAATGGGCTAAATGTGCTATGTCACAAGACCAAACCCGGTCAACAGGCCAAAGGGGTCAAATGATGGGCCAAATGTGGCATACTTATTGGGTGGGCTATATCTTATTTTATTATTTCTTGAGTAGGCCAGTTATTGTTTTAAAATTAAACTATTGTTGTTGTTTTTTAAATTAATGTTTTAGTTTCTTGGTTGGTGTTGTCGTTTTTAAATTAATTCTATCTTATTCAAAAATATTTTCTTTTCTAAATCCTATCCGAAAATATTTTTATTTTCTAAAATAAATTTTAAATATGGTCATTTTAATTGAATTATTTTAATTAAATTATCCAATATATTTAAAGAATATACTAAAAATTAATAAAATATTAGGGGGGCTATGATTTAGTACCAATTTGGCATTACTTATTTGGGGTGATAAGTGATTTTAAAATTTTTTTGGAAAGTATAGCCCGTTTGGTAAACTATGAGAAAATTATTTATTGTTAAAAATTGTTGTGAGAGAAAGCTATAAGGGAAAACAACTAATGAGGTGCTTTCATTTTCTGATTATACAGTAATCAATTTCAAAGATGCGCTGAGTTTAATGATTATGCGACAATCATTTTCTAATTATGTGAGAATTAGTCCAACAACACTTTTAACAAAAAGTTTACCGAACGCCAAACTGCTTTATCTCACAGCTGATTTCTCTCACAGCAAATCTGATAGCGATTATTTTTATAGCACAACAATACTAAACTGACCCTTAGCCTTACAGTGTTGGAGATGTTAAAAATATAGCCAAATACTATTTCTTAACAAATTATAAATAACGGGCTAAATTTTATAGGTGGGCTATATTTAGCCCTTGCCTGCTATAGATGGCCTAAGAACTCCAACTTCGGCTAAAGGGCAAAGGTGTATAAGGCCATCATGCTCCAGGCTTGGGCTGGACTTTCTACACTAGGCCCATCCGCTGGTCCTGCCTTCCCAACTTAACCCAATCTTCAATTTTCTCGTTGAATTTAATAGAGGAAGAGAAAAGAAATTCACGGAGGGAAGAGAAAGCGGTAAAGGGAAAAGTACCCAGAAGAAAAACTCAGAAGATTGTTTTGTGCGAATGAAAAACTAATCGGAAGATGAAGGACCCATTGGTGAGGACGAAGGTGTTAGTTCGGCACTTGCCTCCGTCTCTGTCTCACTCCGATCTCCTTCAGCAAATCGACCATCAACTCGCTGACCGCTACAACTGGTTTTGCTTCCGTCCGGGAAAGAACAGGTTAAGTTTTTTCTATATGTTTGAGGTTTTAATATCTTTAATATTGTTGCTGTGGCTTTAGAAAATTTTGGCCAGGCAAATTAGGTTTAGGATTGCTTTGTTCTTATTTTTTTTTAAATTCCAGAGGGGGCTGGTTTTCCATCTTTGTTTCCCTTAAATGTGGTTGGGTTTTTATTTATTTATTTTTATTTTTATGGGATTTTTTAGTTGGAGCTGTTCTTTTAATAAATTTTTTTACTGGTAGCATTCTAAGTGATTGTTCATTTTTTTGCGTCTGAAAGCAAAATTTGATTTTGATCTTAAAAGCAAGGAAAACCACTTCAAAATGCATTTCTTAAAATTTTTTGTGGCATGGAGAAATTGAGAGTTTGTGTAGAGATGTTTATTTCTTGTTTGCTTTCAAGGGGTTTCTGAAACAAAAAGGTTTTAGGCATTTTATATTAACTCAAATGACTATTATTTATTTTTGTGGGTGTAGTTTGTTGAGTTTCAGTTGCTAAATTTTTCATAAAAGCCAGAACGACTTGTGTATTTGGATGGATTCTCATGATACATGGAAATTAGGTTTTGGAACTTAGAAGTTCTAATAAGGTATTTTCTCACTTCCGCGTTTTCTGTTAAAATAATGTTGCAGCCAGAAGAATCAGAGGTACTCTCGAGCCTACATAGACTTCAAGCGGCCTGAAGATGTTTTCGAGTTTGCTGAATTCTTTGATGGACATGTGTTTGTTAATGAGAAGGGTAATAAAAAATCAAATATGTTTATTTTACCATGTTACAAGTATCTAGAAATTTCGTAGCTTCAGTGAGAATTTTTTATTTAACGAGTTATTGTATATACTAATGTTTCTTTGTACTTTCATGTATATTAAACTTCAGTAGAAAAAAATTTCTTATGGGGACACTGATTGATTCTTCATGCACCGTGGTGTTAGAGTGTTATTCTTATTTTGTTTTTGAAGCTTGAAACTAGAATTATTATTCTTTTCTCAGGGTCTCAGTTCAAGGCGATAGTTGAATATGCACCCTCACAGCGAGTTCCAAAACCATGCACCAAAAAGGATGGCCGTGAAGGGACTATATATAAAGGTGCTAAGTTAGGACTCATTTGGTCGGATTTTTGTTTTAGACGAGGAAAGGGAAAAAAAAGAAAAAAGAGGAGTATAAAACAGAGATGAGAGAGGCAACAAAGAATAAATAGATTTGAAATTAAAAGCTCAAATCTGTTCATTTAGTTTTTATTTGAACAACCATTGTATGCTTTCTCACACCGCTCATGTCTCTTCTTTTTGTTGTCTCCCACCCCCACTAAAGAAAAAAACAACTGAATACACAATGGAAACATTTCAAATGGGAATTTAGTTCTCAAGTAATAAGCTCTTATGATATCTGGATCTGACATAGGAAATTTGTTGGCTTGTATGACTAACTGCTATATAATTGACATATGTAGATCCTGATTATTTGGAGTTCCTAAAACTTATTGCGAAGCCTGTTGAGCATCTTCCCAGTGCAGAAATACAGCTGGAAAGAAAGGAAGCAGAACAAGCTGGTCAGTTATACATTTACCAACTCTATGTACATGTCTTATGACTGTAAAAATAATTGATGATTTTGTCACTTTTTTCTTCTTAGATGACCACACACCACCTTCATATTCATACTAGAAATGTATGACGCAAGACCCTTCAATCCCTGCCCCCAAGAAAAAGAAAGGGGTTGAGGCAGTACCTTGTTTTGTTCAGTTTATTTTTTATTAAGGAAAAACTAGTTTGACTAGCATAACTGCCTCTAGATATTTGGCTGTCTAGTTTCCCCTCTTCTCCTTTTGCTTGTGATGAATGATATTTACTGAAAGGTAAAAGTTGGTTGTCTCAAGATTTGAAAGTATTCCTCTGTTACTTTGTTAGGTGGTGCAAAAGAGCCTCCTATTGTTACCCCCCTCATGGAGTATGTTCGTCAGAAACGAGCTATCGGAAGTGGGACCCAGGTAATGGCACAAATTTTTTTCTTCCATGTGTTTGTGTGTTGAAGAATACAATTTTGGGAAATTAAATGATAAAAGATTCATTTCAAGAGCATTCTTGTCAAAATCCTAGGCTCTTGTGTAACCTTTTGACTGACTATGGAGCCCTATATAACAGACTAATGACCAAGAAATTCGTTAGTGATCACCTTATCAAATAATCTCTAATTTTATAATGAAATTACGAAACCATCTAATGAATTACAGTAGTTGGATCCCTACTTTTATGTACTTGCCCGTGCACACTTGCCTGTGTTTGGAAGTGTGAGTATTTACCTACTGAGGAAGAGTGATTGGCTTTTTATTTTTATATGCTAGCCCTTAACACGTGAACTCGTCTTTGAGAAAAATCTTAGTTAAAAGTAAGATAGATCACTGTGGTGGTCCAGAGGTTGGTACTAGACAGAATTAGATATCTAGCTTTTTTTGGGGTATTTTTGTCTAAGCATTTTTCCTTTAGGGATTACATCTTGACTAGGAAGAGTTTTGAGTAATTGTAACTTAATTTTGGTACACCACGGTAGTTGCTTTTTGCTTAGGTACACTTCTTGTTCAGCTTTTTACCCTCATTCTCTCTTTTTCCTATCTAAAAAAAACAAAGAAAGCACAAGGGGCTTGTATCTCAAGTGGTTAAAGAGCATGTACCCTTGCACCCGAGGTTCTAGGTTCTTTTCCCCCCTCCCCCAATATCGCTTGTATCAAAAAGGGAAAAAAACTGAAGAAATTGTGCCTGTAAATACAGTGGAACAAATGAGGTGTTAAGTTTGCCCCGGGGGGTGGGTAGCAGATGGAAATGGAATTCTTGTCTTTGTGTTTATGCAGGAACTTTCATATTACAACCACATGAATTTTTGGTATGTTTTAATGATGAACAAGGGCAACATTGTATATTGATAGAAGTCTAATTACTGACTGGTAGCTCATTTTAAATTTTCCCTGCTCTCTCCCAAAAAGAGAAGGTGTGTTTCTTTGAATCCAATGAATCCAACCCATGAGTGAGGGGCGCATGTACACGAGACTGGACGCTTTATGTTACAATGAAATGAAAACACAACACCTTGGGAAGTGTTTGATGGGGTCCAGTGTTTGACATCATTGCAGTAAAGCAAGAAATGGTCACGTGATATGAGTTAGATGGCGCACTAATTTTCTTTTGACCTTTTCATCTAACAAGTTTGTGTTATTTCATTAAAAGGTGAAATGTAAACTTTCTTTCCTGTATCTGGATAAGTCTGTCTTTATATTTTTATTTATCTAAAAGTCCTTTGAATTATCAAATTTTGTGTTTGATAATAGGTTTCATCAGTTGTTCGGAAGGTTAGAAGAAGAGCGGGGGCTGCATCTCTTAACAAACGTGGCTCAACTTCTACAAAACGGGTCTCTGAGAAGAAAAAGGCATGTAAATCAGTTCTTATATTTTTCATGAGATGCAAAATATATTTCCACGAAATAACTTTTCAGTTGATAATTTTTGAAAATATTACATTTATTTGGTTAATTTTCTCAGTTTCATCACTTACGTGCAGCTTTGAGTCTTTGTGTTTACCAGTTGACATATTACCATGACATGTACCATGTGACATGGAAGCTTAGGGAATCGCTAAGCTCAAGTTACTTTTTTTTAATTGACAGTACATATTAAAGGACAGTGCTAAACATACAAGTCGAAAAGACAAGTCAACTTTCACTGTGGTCTCCAGGCGAGAGGATCAATTGGCCAGTTCAAGTGGAAAAGAAACCTTAGAAAATGAAATTGGTACTTAGAATTCTTTCATTATCAATCATTATGTTTTTTTCTATGAGATATTTGCTATTAAAACTATTGATGACGATGTATTGATTGGAGGAATTTCTGCCTCTAATTTTAGTTCAGAATTGGCCCCTATTGTTAGTACCATTTGGTTGCAAGAAATTTTTTCCGATGGTATGCGGTTAGTGGTTATAATATTTTCTGATGTGATAATGTTTCTGTATTTTTTAGATAGGGTTGTCAATGGGTCAGATCAAAGATCTGAATTTAACTTAAATTCAATTAGGTTAAACTATCATACAGAACAGGTGTGATGGTTGAATTAGATTCTAAGAGTCTGATTATAGTTTATTAAATTCGGGATTGGGTACAATTGATTAGAACATTAGATTAAGATCTGAAATTGATTTTAAATAGCCATTGATGAAGCGCAAGATATTTATATGAGATTTTATGTAAGTAATATTTTTTTAGATGGTTGTTTTGAAACATTCAAAGTTGATTACTTGTTAATGAACATTTCTTGATGCTGTTATCCTGGTTGCCTCTAAGTGTGTGCTTATTGCTGGTTGTAAGTTTGAATAGGCTAAAAGATGGGTTGTTGACAGCTCTGCAAAATTAACTTGGTGCAGAATGAAACATAAGCTATCTTGTAAGTTGATTTTGTCAAAGTTTTGGTAAAGTTAAAGTTTCTACAATCCAGAAAAAAAAAAAAAAAAAAAAAAAAAAAAATTCCCACCACCTCATAAGTAGATTATTTCTATTGGCTGGTAGAGTCCATCATAAATTTAGAAGAGAAGATGTAAATGTGAACATTATGCAATATCGTCACTTCTTAATGACCATTATACTGGATTATAGTATAATTTTGAGGTAATGGTTTCATTTGACTGAAATTTGAGGAAATGAACTTTCAATCTGCTTGCACAGGCCAAAATAGATACAAATGGAAAAAGAAAATGCCCATCATTTCTTTGTATTTTTTGTCTTTATCCTGTGTTCTTCATGTTTGCTTACTTTAAATTTCTACTATTGAAGGTACTGTTTCGGGATTCCCTGTGATTGCAGACTCTGGAAAGAAGAAAATCCTACTCCTTAAAGGAAAAGAGCGTGAAATACCTTCTGTAAGTTCTCAATTTTTTCAGTTACCTAACTTGGTTGTTTCTGTTATTTCTGAGCCTTTTTTACTATTTAATACTTTATTACATGGACATTATCTACCATTTTACCACTCAATATATCATTTTGGATATGCTGTAATAGACTTTTTTATTTCCCTAGGCTCCTGAAGGTATGCTAACACAGGGGAGTGTAACATCCGTTGGAAGTTCTGTTTCAGCTGCTCCAAAGCAGAACCAAAGGCGTGAGGCTGGTGGAAAGTTGATCAGAAGCATACTTTTAAATAATGAGGGACGCCAAAGTCAAAGTTCAACTGAAATTCAGCCTCAGCAGAAAATTCTAAGTCTGAACTCTGACGTTAAGCGGGCGTCTCGGCCCTCGAATGCAAGGTTAGGGTTGAATGGTCAAGTCGCTAATAATGAGCCTAACTCAATGAACTCTGAAGGGGATAGAAAGAGGGCTACAGTTGATAAATTTTCAAAAAAGGACCTGCATGGTACCACTAATGTTAGTGAGAAGCAAGAAAAACATACAAGAAACAAGGATAGACCTGATCGTGGTGTTTGGGCTCCTCTTCGTCGTGCTGATAGTTCACATGCTAGTGATGAGCATTTGTCATCCATGCCACAACGTCCTCAACTGCTCTCTGATTCCTTTGAAGGTAAAGGCTGTTGCTATACATGGATATTCAGGTGTTTGTCAGTCTATGGATGATCTATTTTTGGAACATGATTTTTGGTGTTAAATCATCCTCTTTTCAAATCTTAAGCCTAGTCATAGGGTGGAATTTTGTGTAGTTGTCATCAAGGAAATGTTATACACTCACTGTTTATGATTTTCCAGTTTCCCATGGAGAAGTGAAGGATGATACCTCTTATGGAAGCAGGACTGGGGAAGTTATAAATCCTACAAGTGGACGTAATAGTTCTCATGTAGAGAATGGTTAGTTAGATAATCAAAGCGTGACACTAGCCACCCTGAATTTATCTGATGTCATTTATTTATATATTTATATCTTTGAAATAACATGTGATTTTATTGATTACCAGTCCTGTAAAAACTTTTTTGCTTTGTCTAGGTTCACAAAGACATTTTGGTCGCCGTGGAAGTGCCCATAATATAAAAGATGATGGTTCTATAAATGTAAGTGAGGGAAAGCCATCTAAAAGAGGTGCTACTGTTCATGGTGCCCCTGAGGTATGCATCACTTGTCATGTAGGTTGCCACATTATTTTTATTTCACCTTCATTTTATCAGAAAGTGGTTGACAATCTTTCACTGTTTGCTAGCAGAAACAAGTGTGGGTTCAAAAATCATCTTCAGGTTCTTAGAATAACCAAGGCTGGTATGTCCTCATTTACTTGCATGTTTTGCCTCCTTCTTTTTCTTGCCTTAACTTTTTCTACACTTGTAGACAAAAGAAACTGCACTAGACTTTTCTGCTATTTGTTTCATGTCTCAGACGGGTTCTACAACTCAAACGCCCACAATTAATGATCAATCAAATTCATATTTTATGTAGGATATGGGTGAATTGAGCATTTAGGTAATTTAGCAGAGGCAAAAACAATGACAAAACAGAAAGTAGATGGTAAAAGGTGCCTTGGCTTCACACCAAGGAGTCTCCAATCTCTGGAAAATAAACTTTTCTCCATATCTCAACAACTCAACTCTATATTGAATTACATAGAAGGGTATTTATAACAATCTAACCCTAGAGTGAAAAGGAAAAATTAAACTTATTCTAGGAAAGAAATCCTAATCCAAATAAAAAGGGTAATCAAATCTAAATCGTATTAAATAAGTAAACCAAATCCTAGTCAAACAAGAAATCCTGAATCCTTCAAAGGGAGTCCTGTTAACACTCCTATATTATTGGCTTTCCGGACAATCATCATACCCTTGCTTAACTTATTGATTTTCTTGTGTAGCGAGCGTACCAGACTAATTTACTCTTTCAGCGGTAAGAACTTAAGTATAGAAAACTTAGAAAACAAGTTAAAAACGCAGAAATCATCCATTGCTCCAAAATTGCCGGATTTGAAGACCGAATTAAATAATTTCCTCTTCCATCTTTTTCATTTGTAAACCCTAATGGGTTGGACAAAGATGTCCTCATCAATGTTGATATCATTGATTCAACTTTCTATTGTAGCAACTCAATATAGGCCTACTTTCTTGCCTGAGTATGTTAATATTTAATCATCATGGAGCACATGACCTTGGAACTATTCCTACTGTCTAGGAAAAGGAAAAGAAATTGGGTAATAGTAACATAAATTGCTTTTGTGTTTAGCCTTTGTAGTTTACGTTTCCTCGAGTGATGGACTGAGAACTTCACATATAAGAACTAAACTCCTTGCATCTCCTAGGCATTTTTAGTCTTCAAAGAAGTTTTATATTGCTTCACATATCTGAGAGCATTATCTTGTATCTTATTTTAGGGAATATTCTCTGTAGTCTTTCCATCGGAGTGGACTCAAAGCTAAATATTTTTAAGTTTGACAAAATTGACAATCTACATCAGGTTTTCAGTGATGTTATTGCACTCAAATGGTTTATGAGGACACTTGTGGTGGTCATGGAGGCACATGGTAGGGACATATAATTTCTGGAAATACGTGGCAGAGTGGAAGTAAGGTGACAGATTGGGGAATTTTATGTTTATAATTCTTAGGATTTCCATGGGGATGGTTTCTAATAGCCTTCTGAATTTTAGCGGGAAGGAACCACTAAATGTGCCTTGTACTGAATTATTTGTGTGGCTGCAAGTGAAAAGGAAATTATGGCACCGTATAGGGGGGCAGTCTATTTTATACTGGTGATGGCTATATCACTGGTCTAGCGTTTTTCTTCACTCCCTTGGTGTTTAGATATTCTTTTAACTACTAAAGGTCTGTTGCAGTTTGCATGCATGGATTGTGCCACTTTGGCAGTTTCTAGTAAATATATTATTACTTTCTTTAAGGGTGATGATGGTTGGGGGGCTTTTACAATTACGAGTATTACTGCAGTCGATAGCTGTTGTGCATTGAAGGAGAAGAGGAGTTTTATTTTGTTTAATGTAAGTTTATTTGTGGTTTAATGGTTTGGTCTGCAAAAGCATGTCTTTGTGCATTTTGGGTGTATAGTGACAGCTGTTATATCTTATCTGCGATGAACGACCTTGTCCCAATTGTCTCTGAAAAAAGATTTGGTGGATTATAATGGTTTGCTGCCCTGTTGAAAACAGATTCTTTCATTCAGTCAGAACACTAAATTCCTCATATGTCCCAAGGCAATCATCTCTGTTATCGTGGCTTAAGGCCTCTACTGAAGACATCGTGGAAATGAGGGCTTACCTTAAAGGAGAACTTTTGGTTGGGCCAAATTAGGGTATGTCGGTGTGTTATTATTTTGAAATGGTTCCTAATCATGGGTTGCAATCTCACATGATCTTTTCTTTTCATTTTTTTGGCCCCTCACTTTGTAGACCAAATTTTCTTATGGTATGATCCAATTTGTGCCGGATGGACGGATAGCAGCATGCTCATTTGGAGTGCTGAGTTACGAGCCCTAGGGACAAGAGGACAAAAGTCTTGAGAGATGGTTTGACTTTTATCTTCATTGCATGACTTTATCGTTAAGTCACATGTATAGTTTAACTAGTAAAGTATTTCTTCAGGGGAAAATACTCCCAAGTCCTGAATGTTGTGATGTATAAGAACCTTCATGTCTATCTACCGACCGGTGATTGTGAACAATGTAACATAAACCAAGGAACATTTTGGTAAAGATAAATTATGTACAATGGTTATTTTGTAATTTTAGCCTAATTTTCTTTACTGATTGTGAACAGTGCAATGTATTAATTTGTTCACGTACTGATTATTTGGTAAAATCAGTTCGATAACCCCATGAGTCTCGCTCATCACATGAATGGAAAACTGCCACCAAATTTTCTCAAAAACTCTTGGCTGAAAGCTCTAAAAATGGTGGATGGAGCTCCTCGCATAGAATTGAGCTAGACTGACTGATACTGACTCCGTTGTAAAGGCAAAAGCATAGGTAAGCTAGCGGCAAAGCGAATGCTACTGTGATCAATTCAGAGAATAGAGATCATCGAGTTTGTACAAGCTTTTCTCGGCCTCTTTAAAAGATTAGCTAGCCAGGATGATGAGGAATAAGGAAGTCAGATGATGATGATCAGCACGATCTTGATGAGATCCAGAAGGGTAGTTAGGATCGTGGGAATAATAAGAAATTTATGAAAAAGCCCTAGTGGCTCTTTGTTGGGACTGCTGCAGGCAATCCCAATATTCCAGAAGGGATGAAAGAGGTGGTGGTTTTCCATTCCTGTGTATTTTTTCAGAGATTTGTTGTTCCACTTCGATTTTATGCATGGTCATTTTGTTATTGAAAGTGGAATATATGTCCAATACAAAAGTGGATTAACATTCATACACAAATGTATTAATAGTCATAATAATGTATTAGCAATCATAAAACATGTATTAACAGTCATAAAAAGTGTACTAACAAATTAACCGTTAATACGCATAAAATTTTAGTTTGTTAGGTGGGTGATTGCCGATCCGATGAGAACTGTTAAACAACCACTAGCTCCAAAAGCTTTACATTGGACCATTTGCAAAGAAGGCTTTGGAGCTTTACATTGGACCACTTGCAAAAAAGGCTTTAATACCATGTTAGACGACTGCTAACCTCAAAAACTTGAGCTATTAAAGAATAGGCTGACAACGTATATGAAGCATACAATGCAAGGACAAGGACCACTGTTGTAAATTCAAGCTTCTTGAGCTTTATCCGCAACAAAACACGAGCATGACTAGATGAGATTGCTTTTGTATAGTGTAAATTAGCATTTCCTTTACCTATATACCAAGTAGAAATTGGATATAAGCAATTGGGCCACCTTGTTCTACATACAACCATGGCCGAACATCATAGAACTAAGCAATCAGCTACGTTTTCGTTATGTAACTCAACGTAAAACAAAGGAATACAATTTCTGATATTTAAAGCTATGGAATCTGAGCAATTTCCACCAACATTTTGTGCAGTGATTGTGGCTTTGAGAAGAATGGGCAGTGGTCACTGCCTTTTATCTTGAACACTCCCTCTGGTGGGTTTTCCCTCACTAGCTTTTCTTGGACATCTGGGGAAAGTGCCCGATCATCTAATGTTTGAATGAAGAACCGCCGGCTAGTTCCATAGTTTTTGGGTGACAATGACAGTTTTTCCATGATCGGGCCTAGTGGGATAGGTCTCATGGAAACCATGGCCAGAGCAACATCCTGGAATGAATTAACTGCCGTTATAGAGATAATGTGAATGGAAGTTAAATCAAATTAAGAATAGATGACAAGAAACCGAAGTATCTCAATAGATTATACCATGGTGAAGAAACCCAGGAAGACCACACAACTTAGATTTTATGGTGTAACACTAAAGGAGACTGACCATCATATATTGTTCTCAAAACAAAGACTCAATGGAACAAGAAAATAAAGTTTACAAAAGTAGAAGAGAGTTAGAAACGAAAATATTATGTTTGTTTTGTTAGTTAACAAATTTTTAAGGGTTACAGTTGAACTCCTTAAATAAGGAATATCTAGCTGAATCTGAAAATAAGAATATGTGAATATCAAGCTGAATCTGAAAATATGATGTGTGCGTGCGCCTGTGCATGTTTCTGTCTTAAATATGATGGGGAGGTGAATCAGATAATAAGGGCAACATAATAGCATGGATAGTAAATGACAAATTTTAATTAAGTAGGACTCAGCTTTCAAAAGTGACTACATACATCTTTGAGGAATAATATATGTTGATCTGGAAATATAAAATGTGTGTGTGTGTGTGTGTGTTTTAAAATAAAATTTCACACCCAAGCCCTTGATGGAAAGTGGATATAAAATGCTGGGAAGGTGAATCAGAAAATAATGGCAACAAATAGTTCGGATAGTAAGCAACAAATCTTAACTATTTAGGACTCAGCTTTCAAAATTGACTAGGTACATCTGTGAGGCATCATAGATGCTGATCTGGAATCAGATATGAGACAGTAAAGATATGCTATTAATTTATGAACCCTTCACATGGTTCTACTTATTAAAGAGAAACAGAATGATTGAAATTGATTCTGTCGTTATGATTAGATAATCAATACAATCTTGTTGCTTAAATACAAGGCTATGCAAGTCAACTGAGAGATGCCAGGTCAGCAAACAATACAATGACCTACGGTAGAATCTAAAATGTACAAACTAAAGTCTGTAGAGCACTATTTACAAGAACACAATATTACATGCCTGTCCTACCTGTATATAAGTCTTTCTTCAATGGGATGGTTCTCGCTCTCAATTTTTTAATGCAAAAACTAAGTCAAAGGAATATTAAATATTTGTTTCATGAAGATTACACATGCCCGCTGTGTTGATACAAGTACCAACTACCAATAAAACAAGTTAAGGACACAATACAGATTTCCATGATTTTGATTGATCTAACTACAAAAAGAAGGCGGTTAAACATGTTAAACATATCTGGACACAATGGAGGTATCGTGGACTTGTATAAATGTAAAAACACTGCACTTGCATTCTCACTTCTATTTGCATGTTCTCATCTTACTTTCCATTATATTTATTTAGCTCTGCATTTTGTTTCAAATCATTTAATGGCCACATATAATATTCAGCTACACATAGTATTACAAAGGAACTGCATAACTTCTACAAAAATGCTGCTTCCTGTGAGGAAAAAATACTAAGATAATATTAACCATGAAAAACTTGGACAAAATTATCTGCTTTAGTTGAGAGTTGCAACATACCTTTGCAGGAGATTGATTGAAATATAACCCTTTCATCTGCTCTTTCTCAAACATGAATCCTGTAGGAGGCTTGTCTTTTCCATTCCCATGAATCAAAAACTTTGACCCTTGCATAAATTGTTCTGCAGAACCAAGCTGCAATACAGATTTCCTTCTTGAGAACACGAAAATCAGAGGGTATAAAGAAATTAAACTGCCAAGGGGAAGAAAATGGCTTGCTTGAAAAAGGAAATATAGTTTTCTTTTAAGTTACTATAAGAACCTTCATTAATTATAAGAACATAGAGATAATTTTTCTACAAGAAAGGTGTGGAGGGTAGCATTCCCAATTTATATATTGCAAGACAGTCCAGCATGCTACAACGTGAGACAAACTGTCTATCATGACTGCGTATTCATACGTATGATTCTGTATGATATGGGTCTGATTGACAGTCTGACAGCATAAGGTGTTAAACTGCCTGCCTACCAGGTGAACATTACCATATATGTATTACGTGAGACAAACTGTGAGACATTCCATCATGCTACAACATGAGACAAACTGTCTATCATGACTGCATATTCATACGTATGATTCTGTAGGATATGGGTCTGATTGACAGTCTGACAGCACTGCCTACCAAGTGAACATTACCATATATGTATTTACGCGCACAGACACCCACCCACGGATGCATGCACACACCCATAATGGATTCACTAGAAGCTTGGAGGTTTATTTAAATTTTTTACACAGATAGTTTTGCACGGATGAAAGTAATATTTTTCAATGACATTGTATTCAATGCCTATGGTGTGACGAAATAGTTGCAATAGCTTGGAATTTTTTGAAAAGGAAGAAGCATTTTCTGTTGTTTAGAAGTACTCAGTGGCATTATGCTGCATGGTCATAACTTTCAGACAAGACCAACAAATTCTTAACAGATGTTAGCCTTAACCAGTTTATAATAAATTACCTCTTCAGCGAACACATCAAACGGTCTCTGGCCATCAGACACCATAGTAGCACAGATGAAAATTGCTTTTGAAATTTTCTGCGAAAAGTGCTCTAGTGCATAAGAAACACAGGCACCTCCATTACTGTGACCAACCAAGATAACCTGCACGAGAATTACATGTATAAATTTGACAGTATGTTACATGCTTAGTGTAATGGAATGAATAACATCTCAGCTTTTAACCTTTTCATCCTCTTCAAGATTTTCTAGATATTCAATCAATGGTTTTGAATATTCTGCCAGCGTAGCAACAGAGTTAGTATCTGTAAGATCAATACCAGAACCCTTGAGATCAAAGGTAACCGGAAGCAATCCTGCTTCCTCTAGTAGAGCAATTGTTTTGTACCAACACCATGCTCCAAACCCTTCTCCATGTACCAGAATAAATTTTTTTGTTTTAATATTCTCCAAAGATTCTGGTACCTGTAAAATAAAATGAAATCAATAATCATGGAAATCATTCAAGGGAGGACAAACTTGAAATGGTGGAGGACCATATCTTAGTAACTGATTACTATGCTCAAAGTTGCTTGTCTATATGAATCTATTGGCTACTAAAAAAAGCAGACTAGCAACCAAAACAAACGAGCAGCAGGAAGGTGAAAGTTTTATGGATATTGGGAGTTGTACAAAAAGATGTTATTAATTAACATTTCCTAGAAGAGAAAAACTGTACTTTAATGGATTACATGACCCGGTGTTGATTTTGAAAGCCACAGACCAATACTCTTACAGTTATGACATATTTACAGCTCAGTTAAGGTCAAGGTTATAAAGAATTTCAAATACAAACAACACAGGGTTAAATGAGTACACATTTCTACAAAATTGAAAATACATCATACAGAAAAAGACATAAAATTTATGAATAGATGCCTTCACAATCTTGCTTAATGAGGACCCCCTTGATAAACAGCTAAATCTTTCAAGAATGATGGCTTTAATATGAACTTTATCTATGTTATATACATATTGGATATATAATATGAACTGCTTTCTGTTTTTATAGAAAAATCTGGGTATCCTGAAAAGGAACATAACGCTGTTTAACAGTACGGTGGTTGCAATGGTAATTGGCAAAAACGGACTCAAATGGTCCAACAAGCTACATAATATAAAGATCTCAATACTATTTAGACTTCATTCCAGGCTTTAGCACATTTTTCACACTCACTGCCATTAATAATGGTTAAATACCATAAAAGCACTGATCTCAACTGCCTGATAAAATATCTAGAAAGCTCCCATCTCAACCACTCAAACTGGAGTGAGCTGATCAAGGGTTATAAAGTTGGATGACTCTTAAGAAAAAGTGTTCCCAAACACACTTTTTGTTCTAGATACAGGAAAGGTAAACTAGAGAGATCATAAGACTGAGTTAGAATAATATAATTGCCAGATCTTTGACAGCACAATCATCTAAGAGCACATCCTTTTGAGATGCACTTTTCAAGCCATCAAAATAAAGAAGTAGAACAGTTCATTACCTTTTCACTTCTTTAATATTCATTCATAGCTTTTCTTTAAATTGGTAATTTAGTGACTGTTGATTTCACATTTGATTAAGCACTTTTTAGCTTTAACCCAAAGCTACTTAATCATTAAAACCCCCTTTTCATCACAGATCAAATCATGACAAAGAAAAAGTAATATGGATTTGAAATCAACTTTGAATCAAAACAAAGCACACCTGCTTCCCATTAGCGAATGGATCAGCGAGTCTCCTAGAGCTTGTGGACCCAATTCTTCTAGACATGGATCCGTCAAACCTCTGAGACAATTGGTGCTGATGAAGAGCCATAGACAGAGCTTGCCTGTGCAAGAACTCTTCCTCAGCCAGCAGTTTCCTCTGTGAGCGATTTACTCTCTTGCTTCTGGATCCAACATCTTTAGTATCCTTCTTTGACATGCAAATAAATCGATTACCCATTGTCGGAAAACAAGTTCTAAGAAAAACCCACTAATCCTTTCTGGGAACTTCCACGGAAAACGGAAGAAAGTTAGGAAATTTTCCCGGAAAATGATGTCTTGTTGAAGAAATATGACATTGTCCGCGAAGATGCAGTCTTGTATGTCAAAGCTGAATTTTCTATTAACTTTTTACCTCAGAAAGAGAGGAGAGAGAGAAAAAGATTAGGTGAGGTGAGGTTTGAGAGGCAGGAGAGAAGTTGTTGGGTACAATAAATAAGAATGTGCGATGTGCAATGAAAACCAGGAACACTACTCCCCAACTGAAATGAGAGCTATTTAATGCTTTTCTGTTTCTTTCAAGCGTTCAACGGTAGAAGACTTTTCACTTCTCTTTCGGTTTTTGTTTTCTTATTTTCTTTCCAGAAGAGTCAGTGTCAGTAGAAAATGGAAATTCTGTCTCTACAGAGCTCAGTAAAAAGCAGAGATGGAAGCAACTTCACTCTCTCTCTCTCTCTCTCTCTCTCTCTCTGTGTGTCAATTGCCATGGTAAAATCTCTGCAGCATATTTCTAGTTATACTTATACGTTGCAGGGGGTGGGGTGGTGGTGTGTGCGGCGTGCCTCGTTGGTATTGAATGCTGGATTGTCATTTAGTGATAAAACTTATAGTAAACATAAGACTTCCGCGCGAAACTAAACACATGTTGACCAAAAATACTACAAAAGATATAATCGGGTAACCGAAATAATGGGCTGATGTGGACATGTGGCGTCCATCTGTAGTGCCACCGTGACGCAATATACGTCCTAGATGGTGACACGTGAAATGCATGTTATCAGCTCAATCAGAAAATAAGGAATATTTTTAAGTTAAGGCTTGAATCAAATCCTAGTTATAGAAATAAGGGCTAACGACTAAAGAAACCTCGCAGATTTGGGTAGTTCTCAATATGGACCCCAATGCATTAATTTTATCAATTTACACCTTTATATTTGCAACATCGTTCAATTTCATCATTACTTTAAGTTGACTGTGTAGTCAATCGTTAAATGTTGACGTGTCTACTGTGAAACCCACCTACTAATCAACCAGTTCCTAAAAATATTATATAAAATAATAAAATAACCAACCAATATTAATGGATACCAGTATAGTGGATGAAGCCTCCTCTCCATCCTCTTCATCCTGCTTCTCAAATGATGAGATGTACGATTTCTGCGGCGAAGACACACGCAAGACCTTCACAGGCCACCTCTACTGGAGATTAAAACACGCCAGAGTCGACGTCTTTATTGCTGATGAGAATAAACTAGGAGGACCAGAAGAACGGAAGAAAGCAATTGAACAGTCCAGAATCGCTGTCATCATCCTCTCAAGGGAGTATGCATTTTCCATAGGGTGTCTTGTGGAGCTGGAGAAGATCATGGAGTGTAGAAGAACACTGGGGCAGATGGTTTTGCCAATTTTCTATCATGTTGATCCTAAAGATGTCGGGAAACAAATCGATAGTTTTCTAGTGCGCTGCCATGGAGTTAAAGATTGGGAAGAAATTATGCAGTCTTGGAGAAAGTCTCTAATTGAAGCTGCAAATTTGTCCGGCCTTGGAGTTAAAGATTGGGAAGAAATGATGCAGTCTTGGAGAAAGTCTCTAACTGAAGCTGCAAATTTGTCCGACCTTGTTTTGAACAGTGAGGGGTAACTACTTACTTATTTCCATCTCTTTGTTTCTTCTGTTCTTCTTTTTCTTAATGTTTTTTCCCGACCTATTTTTTGCATACCACCACCATGCAATGTTCCAATGATTCCTTTTTACAATATTTAAGTGCCAAAATCATCTTTGGTTTTAGGATCACTGATACGATAATTTATAGACCCACTCTCTTTCTTTCACAAGTGTGGTCAGATTTTTTTATTTTTAAATATATTTCTATTAGTGTTTTCAGAAGTTTACAAAATCTTGGATAAATGTTGAACTAATACATTCAAATCTTATTCAATCCCAAGCTCTGTAGTCATAATGAATAAGATAGTAGTTCAATTTAATCTTGCAGTGGCCTAATAAATCTTACTTTTGCTCAATTTTGAATTTTAACTAACAGGTGCGGAGGAGAGTTTGTCGGAAAAATTGTTGGCGAGATCACCAGAAAACTGAAGAGCGCATGCGTAGACGTAGCCACCGAACAAGTAGAATTAGATTCTAGCATGCAAGAGATCAGTAATGATGTAAAGGTTCAAGTTGGAAAAGACTCTCGCTTGCAAGAAATTAGCACTCATTTAGATGTTGGAGGCCCAAAAGATGCTCACATTCAACTCCAAGGCCCACGGCCCTCCGCTCTCAAAGTCAACAAAGAGTCGGTCAAGATAAAGAAGTGAGATAGTTCATAGTTTTTAATGCTTTTTTTTAAGGATTTCATGTAACTTCCGTAAACAAAACTCAAAAAATTGTTTTGAGTTCTTGGGCATTCCCTATTTTGATAATCTATTTTATACGTCAACAAGATTTTCTTTGTTTGTCATTTACAAAGCCAATTTAAACCGGACATATTGATTGTATAAACTTTTATATTATTTTATTTTATACTTGTAAGTCTCTTATTGACTAATAACTAGATAAAGATGCTAATAATGATGTTTGATCGAAGTTATTAATTTAGGTGATAACTATTAATTTGCCGCATAAAAACTATTAATTTGATAGCACATTGAATTTTGATGACATTTCATGAAAATGAAAAAAAAAGAATTATGTTATCGAATTATTGTTTTGTTGTAATTCGACTAATAAAGTTGGAAAAAATGCAAAAGAGAAAGGATCAGCCGTGTAAAACCCTTCTAATCCGAACCAAACTGCCGTGTACAAATTGGAACTTCACTTTCGACCAAAAAAAAATTGGAACTTCACCCATACTACAGAGAATCCAAATCATAATTTAACCCTTTGGGTTAATTGAAGGCGCTTTTTTCACCCCCCAAAAGGGAAAAAAAGGGACCTTTTAAAAAAAACATTTTGTTTTCCTGTTGTTGTTGAGTTTTGATAGCTTTCTGTCCAAGACGCAGAGTAAAGGAAGCCGCTGGGAAGGAATAGCGAACCCACCTCGAAAAATCCCAAATTTGCATTTTCAATATTCAGAAAATTCCCAAAATTAGTTAGGGCTAAGCGAATATTGAACTGATCGAGCTCGGATCTCATTAATCGTCCTCCTCTTATTTTCCTCTCATCAACTTTGAGTAGAAAATTCCCATTTTCCTGGTAAGTTTGATGGAAATCTGATTGGGTTTTTGTAGATTTTGATTTCTTTTTGCATATAATGAGACACCAGATTCAATTTTATGATTGAATGCTCTGCCTTGGTTTCAGATATATCCCATTGACTACAAAAGGGGGTGATTTGCTGAAGCCGACCATTGAAGTATTGCTCTCTCTCTCTCTCTCTCTCTCTCTCTCTCTCTCTCCCTCCGTGTTGTGTTCAAGTGCTTTGGGAGAAAAAGCTTGGTTGAATCGGTCGTAGCTTAGGTCAAAGGAGGAGAAGTACGAGAGAAGATGAAGAGGGTCTTCGGTGTCAAGAAAGAAAAAGAACCTCCGCCGTCTGTTGGAGATGCCTCCGAAAGGGTCCTCTCTCTTTCTCTCTACTCTTCTAGTTTATTTCCTAAAGCTATTGTTGGGTATCTCAGAATTAGGGTTGGGTAATCAGGTTTTTATTGTTCTTTAGGTTACTTGGGAAGAATCCTGGATTTTTCAACTTGTATTCTTTTTTTGCTATAATATGTTTAGATTGGTAATATGGGAAACATTAACAAAATGCATAATTGCCAAAATGGGTCATGAACAATTTTAAGTATTGCCAACTAACTGGTGTATCCATCTTATTACAAACCCATATTCAATATCAGTTGGGAGAGCCAGTTAATGATAAACCCTACTATGATCAAGAGTGAAGATTTAGTCAAATCATTTTGACCAGCTTTAGAATCGATAATGGTTGTAACTAATTTGATGCTTGGTTTCCGAGCAAATCTTGTTTGAATATTTCAGCTTTACAATTTCTGTTGGTATTCCGCTAGAACTGTTGGGTGAAGTAAACATTATTATGTAACAGATTAATAAAAGAGGCGAAACAGTGGATGAGAAGATCAAGAAGCTTGATATTGAACTTAATAGATACAAAGAGCAGATCAAGAAGACAAGGCCTGGTCCTGCACAAGAAGCTGTTAAGTCTCGAGCCATGAGGGTTCTCAAGCAAAAGCGAATGTAAGTGCCCCCCTTCATGTTAATGGTTTATTGCTCCTCTATGTGATTTATGCTTCCTCGTATTTTGTTGCATGCTTCATTCATGTGAAATCAGTCAGCAGTTTTATGAGGATTTGGAAGTTGGTTTATTTGGACTTTTCAGAAAAGCTTGGTATTTGATTCGAATCTTTGAAGAAGGTTACGACTGGGGAAATAGGAAGAATGGTTAAATATTTTTGTGACATCAGAAGGGTTAAGAATGGACACTTATGTGTTGGACGTAAGTGGTTGATTGAAGACTTGGAATGATATTGTTGGAACAAAAATTCACGTAAACATGATGAGCAACTGAAGTGTGAACAGTAGTGCTAGAAGGTTATGCTCCAGTGGAATACTAAGTAGGCATGCATACAGATGAGTATGTGCATGTACTTAGATTTTCTAGAGCGTGGTGTAGCTAATTGAAGGCATAAGGTTTAAGTTTTTGCATTGTCTGGCCTCAAATAAAAAATAGAATCTTTTGCATCGTGAAATGCAAAATTTAGGTCGTCACTGGGATGTTGAAACGAGTGAGATAGGGTTACATTTATGCAAACACATTTTTTTCATTTGCCATTAATATTGGGATCATTCTCTTTGGCATCCAGAATTTGATTGATACATTTTGCAAATTGTAAGGGGTATGGTGAATATAGTGTATGACTCAATTTCCATTATCCTTTTTTCTTCAATGATTTGTTTTAATTCATTAAATTTCTGGACACAGGTATGAAGGACAGCGTGACATGCTGTATAATCAGACATTTAACCTTGACCAAGTGGCCTTTGCCTCAGAGGGTATAAAAGATGCTCAGCAAACGGTATGTCTTTAGCTGTTAAGTTTTGTGATTATATTCACATGTTTTTTATTGAGTGTATACGTATAAGGATCTATTAGTCTCACCATGTCCATGTGTTGGATTGTTTTGATTGTCAAATGTGAGGATTGGAGGATAATACATGTTGTAGCTCAGCATAACAAATGACATTGTACCACGAACTTTTATCTTTTTATTGGTGAAATTACACCTTTAGCCTTGAGGGCTGGGAGTATGAACCCAGTCTTTTTTCTCTTTTTTTAATGACATGTATTTAGATGGATAAGATGCCTTCTTTCCTCTCGTAAAAGGGGGGAAAAGGATAAGTAAGATGCCCAAATTAATGAGGTAGTTACTGATTTGCAACATGTTGGAGAGTCACTCTATGCTACATAAAATTTGGTTGAACTGGGGCTATACTATATTCACCTTAAAATTGTTGGTTTTCCTTGGTAGCGCCCCAAGGGGCATAGTTCAAGGCTGTTGAGGAGGAGCTTTTTCTGTACCCTGATTGGAACCTGCTGCCTACCTCATGAGAGGTAGGAGATGGACCATTGGTGTATAGGGAGGGTTTTTGCTTATAAATATGTGATTGGTATAAGTCCTAGATTCTGTTGTACTCATTCCTGGTATCCATTTAGATTTCTAAATGTAGATTCCATGGAGGCATATTTTCTGCAGCGAGTAGATTTTGTTTGGAAATTAACTTTGATATGTTTTACACAGATGACAGCTCTGAAATCTGCCAACAAGGAGCTAAAAGGAATGATGAAAACGGTGAAGATTCAAGATATTGATGTCAGTAGCAGTACTCTCTTCTGTTTTTTGTTTCCCATTGCTTCCATGCTTTGTACATTTGAAAGTATCTCTTACTGACATGTGAATACTCGTTTGCCATAGAATTTGCAAGATGAAATGATGGACCTGATGGATGTAAGCAATGAAATTCAAGAGACCCTTGGTAGAAGCTATAATGTTCCTGATGACATTGATGAGGAGGATCTTATGGGTGGTAAGCTTAGAAATCATTGAATTCTTAAATATTGCCTACAGGTTCCATACAGAGAAGAGAACTTTCTGATTAATTTCACCCAGAGGCTTGGGTGAAGTAAATCATGCAAAGAGTGTCAAAAGCTGATTTGTGATTTGTCTGCATGACAAGTTGTAGGTTCTGAAATAAGGGATTTAGAATATAGGCTAGGTGAAACTTTCTTGTTCATCTTGCGCGCAAACTTTTAGGTGACTTTACTTGTTGTCAATAGTACTGCATTAGGACCTTTTGGGGTCTCATATAAAGCATCAATGCAAATGATTCCATGTTCTGATGCAATGTTCTTCTGTTTTTAATTGCCCAACTGTATTTCAATCTTGTCTGCAGAGCTGGATGCTCTAGAAGCAGACATGGGTTTGGAAACCGAAGCCGATGGCGTTCCCTCCTATCTCCAACCTGATAAGGAATCTGATTTAGATGCAGAGCTCCACTTGCCTTCAGCACCCATCGGACAGGCAGCAGCTCCAGCGGGCAGATCCAATGCCCAGGTAAAAGTGTATTGAATTTGTTTGCTGAAATGCACACTTGCCTTATGGTTAAAATACCAATTTTTTTGAAATTTGAACATTGTTTCTATCTCATGTGAAAATGTGTGTTGAACAAAAGAGGCAAATCTTCGGCCTCAGCTGCCATCTCTTGTCATTGGAATGATTGTTTATTTACTTGGGTGGCAGCACCGGGTGGAGGGGAGTACTTACTCCACTGGCCACATGCCACCCATCATTGTTGCCTTGTGCTAATTCTTCTTTAAAATTCACTGCTGGCAGGCTGAGGACGAATTGGGTTTACCAGCTGTCCCTCGGGCGTCACTTCGTGGTTAGGGGTTGTGCATACGCTGTATCTTGTGCATGAGGAGTTGGATGGAGCGACCTCTTTATAAACGTATTGTGCAGAAGTGAATTCATTTAGTGTTCAAATTCACGCATTGTGATTGGCTATTATATACATGAAATAGTTTGGTTTTCGACATTTCAGAATAAATATTACATTTGGAATGAAAGCGGAAATCACACAAGTTCGTTATTATTGAGGCTCAAGACATCTGAAGACTAAGAAAGATAATCAGACAGGTTCAGTATCTTGACAAAGATTCTGGACACCTGAAAAAAAAGATAAAATGCGCCGTGGCGGAGGCTTTCGTTGCTTGAAAAATCGGATAAGCCCTTCAATAATTAGATTATCAAAACCAGAATGACTACCAGAAGAAACACCAAATTTCAAACCATGTGCTTCTTACAAAATCCAGTAGGAATGGCTTACTAATCCGATACGGATTAGGAGGAATTGAATGTAATAATGCCATGAGAATTACGAATAACATAACCAGCAGCGTCTTTTCCATTTTGATGGACATTCTGAATGTTCCAAAAGTCATACATAATTTGTTTAATGGAAGTAATGGTACCAATGGCATGAGCGATTTTGGACTGAAAAATTAAACGATTACGTTGCAACCATATCTGCCAAGAAGTTTTCTCAATAGTTAAAGTGTTCAAGATTTAGGATTAGCATTTAGAATTTACCTTGAAACTATAATGAAAATGAGGGTTGAAATTACTTGGTTTTGGACATGGTGTAAAATTACCACAGAAAACATACGCCATGGGTCCAGACTCGAACCACAATATGAAACTCAAGTCCCACATTTTAATTCCAATCACTTAAAAGCCAACTATATTGCTTCTCAAATGTTGGAAGATGTTCAACCTTCGAATCCCTCCCCCATTGATTAGAAAAAACCTCAACAAATTAAATCCTAATCAAGGTTTACGTTTTGTGACAAGAAACAGAGAGCTGCTGGGACAGGTTGTGAACAAAACATATCATCAGCCGCAGCACTAGTCATCCAATGAGATTTCATCCCTAACCAAGTCTGGCAACTATCATCTAACAATTATTGTAATCAAGTGTTCTTCGTCGACAGTCATTCGATTAAGTGATTGACAGAGGAAATCTGGTAATAAGGAAGTACATTTAAAGAGTTCATGTCAAAGTTCTTCAAAGAAAGCAGGAAAAATCCCTCAACTTGAGCAACTATTAGGCTCAGATTATTCCATACGAAATTTGAACGGGAGGAGAGCACATCTCTAACATCCACTTCTATGCAGTATGGCCCTGTACAAAAGGAAATTTACAATCAGTTATCCGGCACAATTTTTCGTTTTTCTTAAACAATCACTCTCATATCCCAGCTGTGTAAGAAAATACGAAAAGAGGTATCAAAGCTGAGAGGTATGTAAGAAGAATAAGCAAAAGAAAACAAAATTTTGATATAAACTTGAACATTTTAGTGGAGAACTACTATAGATCACGAGACTGCACGCTGGAGTTGATTTACATAATACTTTAGAGCATGCAGACTCAATCAAAAGCACATAATCAAGCTACCTATACATAATCAAGCTACCTATATTTCAACTTCACACAATCTCATAACAAATTCTGTCTGCTTGTTGAAATTCAAGGGGAATGAAAATATAGCATATCCTGGGAAAGCACAATATGGTTTTAAATATAGCAAAAGTTAATTTATCTTATTTCATCAAGTTTTTTACAAAGCCGACCACTTTTAGCACCCATGGTGATGTGTGAACCCTTTTCCTTCATGCAAATAAAAAATTTTGAGCAAATTGCAAATGGAAATACCATATACCCCTAATGAATAGCCACACACCACTTAACCCAATCTTCACTTTCACTCACATAAATGTGGGTCTCACACTCTCATCATCTCACCCTATAACACCGACACTCATCTCTATCATAAACCTCAAACTCCCAAAGAACCACACTCCTGCCAAGCTCCACCGTGAAAGCCTCTCATTTTTAGCAACCAAAAAACAAAGGTATATAATAATTTCGTTTTCTTATATCCGATGGATATAAGACGTATTTGAAAACAATTAAGTACCTATAATACCTTAAACACATCCAGGGCAACATATATGTGGGTAATATCTATAGCACTGGTACCTACACAGAATTCTACAAATAATAATAATTGAAGGCTTTAAAAGGCAAAGTCAAAAAGCACTAAATGGAAATTTCACATACACATGCCAGGTCATTCAAATCATGACAGATATATTTTTTTGAGAAGAAACAAAATTTATTAAGCAAAAGAACACGGAGGTGGATAAGGAAACCACAACCGAAGAACAACAACAACACAAAAAGAAACAAACAACATCAACCCCTCCCAAAATAACAGGGAGGAACAAAACCAATAAACCACTGAAACAACACACCCCCCAACCCTCAAATAACCACTGCTGCCATATCCCTCAAAATAGTAGAAAGAGAATAATCTTTAAAATCTTCAGTAACAGAAGCCCACAAAACTGCCCAGTACTTAACTCTATCCCACAAATCACGACAGAGATATGAAACTAGAGTTTTAGCAAATAGGAAAAGGTACTGACCGAGCTACGTCTTATTTGGTGGACTTAGGATCGTTCTTGGAAGAAGTGTAATCAGGAGGTGAATAGATGAGGGCGGCGACCATGGCTCCAGGAAGAACCACATACTTGGCCAACACTGCAAGCTTTGTCACTAGTGGCTCTCCCCTCATTAAGGCCATTTCTCTGCTTAGCTCAGAGCCTGTAAAACTTTCTGCCACATTTCAACAAAACCGTCCAAAGAATCACACAACAAAACTTAAAATAAAACAAACACAAAACATAACATTTTTCAGAAGCTACAAATTTCCACTTTCTAAGTGTTTTTCAGCAACATAAGAAATAAAATTTTCTTTTAGGGTTTTGTTTTCATGGCAACCAAATGCATAATATGCAGAATATGCAGATCGTACAGCCTTCGATTAATAAAAACTAAATAACAAAGTTAGATTATAAACATTATAAATAACAAATACATTATCACAACTGAAAAATCAGCATCCCATTTAGAGTCCCACAGGGGAAAATGTAAGAGTTCATGTCTGAACTCAGTGAACGTGTATACAACTCAAACACTAGTTCTTAGTAATGGCCTACAAACACAAATTATAACATATAAAATTATTTCCTTCCCCTTCAGTTGGGCATTAGAAACAGAACAGAACACTAACTTCTCATGGAAATGTCTTCAAATACTTGTTACATAGGTCCTACATGTACACACGTTGGTAAGATTGGAACTTACCGACCCAACAAAAGATCACTCAAAAAGGAAGTTCAAAATAAAAACCAGATTCAGCAAGGAACCAGAAAATCAGGGCAAGCCTAAAGAATCCCATTAAATCTTAAAAATTTCAGCCTTTCTAAGAAGAGAATCTAGCATGAGTACATGTTTTTATTATCTAAAATAAAAACTTATTTATCTTAAGCCATCTTTACTCAGTGCTACTCGACTGTAATCCTCATTGCCTGGACACAGGTACGAGTACAACGATACGATATGGTGATACAACAAATGTCCAAAAACTAGGATACGAGTACAGCAAGGATACGACAATTAAAATAATGTAAATATATATTTTAAATAATTTAAATTCAAAATTGGTTATAATGAATGAATTGGTTATAACTCCACATCATGAGCATCATTAGCACTAGACGTGCCCACATCCCCCACACTACCCATTTCTTGTTCGAAAATATCTTTCATAAAAGAGTTTTAATTTCTTGTTACTCGACAGAATCTGGACAGGATTTGGATTTGGTTATAATGAATAAACTAACTCTAATACATCTGCAAAGTAAGTGAAGGAGCAACAAGTTAACGTGCGTTAAGACCTGGTGGAGCAGATGCAGCAGCAGAACTTTCAGTGGAGAAGAAGAGGTCCTTGTGAAATTTCTTTCTTCTTTCTTCTTCCTTCTGGATCTTTGAAATGGTTGGTGCCGCTGTTTCTTTTCAAATGTGAAAACCTAGCGTTTTCCTCTTTCTGTTGAGAAGAATAGGCTGGGTGTGAACTGGCCAAGTTCTAAAATTCACATTTCGACCCCATATTTGTTATAATATTAAAAAAGACCACATAAATTTTCAAACAATTTCTAAATAACCAGTAGCCGTATCTTGACCGTATTGGGACAGTTTCCTGTGAGTATCATTCTGTATCGACGCCGTATCCATGGTCAGCAAAATACTATACTTCATTTCCCAGCATGTATTGAAGACGTATAGTATCAGTATCTATATTTGATACCTCCCCTGGCCAAAGTTTGAAGTATCGGTGCAGTATGGTTCAAACTTAGAATTAAAATTATAAGTTATTCTCTGTGGTAAAGAATCACCTCATCATTTCAGAAAGTAGCCAAGAAGGTTGATTTTTACTTAGCTTTTGCTGCTACTCTATTTTTTTTAATACAAACTTTTGTATTAATAATCAAGAGGATAAGTTATCCTTGATCGACAACAAAAAGAAAACCTGCTCTATTATAGGCAGAGTTAAAAAGACGAAAGACATCTAAGCTAAGCTTTTGCTGCTACTAAGTTGGCAATTATAACTGTCCAACCTTATAAACAAAATCTACACCAATTTTTTCTGTTGAAGTTGAAGAAGAGGACACAGCTATAGAGTTGAAGATACTCAAGTTGCAAGATATGATTGAGAAATCATTTCTATCTATTGGAGACTATTTGTCAATTATTATATAATTAATTTACACATCGAAATTTGAGAAAATTAGAATGCAAAAACATTTGTCATTGTTATTTGAAAGAGGGCATGACATTATCTTTGGATAATGGTTTCTGTACATCTTAAATACGCCCCTTGCAGTTTTTTATTTTATTTATAAAAACAAAGTATACAGCTTAAAAATATAAATCTCAGTTATGACACAAAGTACCTCTTGGACAAATAAGCACTCTTAAGTAAGATCTGAATTGATCATTCAATCATCGTGCAGATGACCTTTCACTTGATTCTTACTGCCACCCAGTGAAATAATTTTGTTTTCAGATAAGCAGACTTTGTTTTGTTCTTTATAAACCAAAAGGAAAAGAAAAAGAGAAAGACATCTAAACAATCCAAATCCTACTGTTTCATTTTCAAGTATCAAAATAAGGGAGTGTTGGACATCTAGCAACCAAAAATAAGCTACATCCCATAATCAATGGGTAGGCAAGGGAAGCATTAGTTTGGTTCGAGCCCCAACCGCACACTTGAACCTATAAACACAATCCCTTTTGGGCAGTTTTATCGGTTTGGGCAACAGATTTAACCCAAACAAATAATTGCAAATGTGTGATAATCATTAACCAAAAACACACTGAAAAAATCAATCCTTACAAATCAAACACAAGAACCAAAAACATATAAACCAGATACAACAGCATATATACCAAATAATACTAAAAAATTTCACTGCTCGATGGGTGAAAGGGGCAAGAGGGAGTTGGTGGCGGCCAATTTTCCAATCAATACTAATAATGAAACAAAAATAAAAACATGCTTGCTGATTTTCAAATTATAATCAAACAATTTTCAATTATTCTTTTTTCCTCTGGTTAGACCAACAATATTTGATTATTCACGAAACCCATAAATACAATAGGAATAAAAAAAAAAAATTACAGCATACACTTACCGAGCAAGAGATTGAAAGGAGGGAGCTGGGACTGAAAATGAATGATGAAGATAGAGGGCGCACAGTAGAGAGGGCTCTAATGGGTTGGACCGAAAATGCAAGATCAAGTGTCGAGAGGCTTGCTCTTTCTTTTCAGAAGTGCGGGGAGGCTCCAGAGTCCAGAGACTGGATCAAGTATTTGGGGAATTCTATTTGCGCCCCTAAATTTGCTGATCCCACCCCTGAATAATTCTTTTCACCCAATATTTCGATTTTACCCCTAGACAGAGTTTTAAGAAAATAAATTGAAACCATGGGAATTCTATTCAACTTGTGATTTTTTATTTAACGGAAGTTTTAATGGAATTACATGTAAAAAGTAAATTGCTACATTTTGTAAAATTGAAGTGATTAATAGTAAAAATTGAAAGTTCAATTAGTAATTGCGCACATAACTAAGAGTTCAGATAATATTTACAAATATTTCTAATTTTTATTTAAAGACTCGTGGCTCTTTATATCAATTGAGGTGTGAATTTCACATATATGTAGCATCAATAATCTAATAGAAGTTTTGATGGAATTATGATAGGGACCAATTTGATGTATGCTTACTTTGTAACGTAATTAGGACCAAAAAAAAAAAAAAAAAAAAAAAAAAAAAAAAAAGGACCAAGATAATTTATTAAACCAACTAATTGTGATTAAAAGCGAAAAAATAAAAAATCTTTTCCAACCCAAAAAAAAAGGGTTGCCTTCTTTTAACCGGGTAAAAGGAACCGGTTGCCGCTGAATTTTTTTTAAACGCGTCTCTTTCTCTCTCGAATCCCTCTTCATTCTCTTCTTCATTCGCAGTCTCAAATGTCGAAGCCTCAGCAGCCAATCGTCCTCTCCGACGAAGAAGAAGAAGAAAATGACCAGAATGTCCTCTCCTCACCTCCTCCATTCCAACCATTCCACTTCTCTAATAAGAAACGCCGAACCGAACTCTACCCCTACCCAAACCTCAATACTCAGACTCCGGTTCTCGTCCTTGACGACGACGACGACGACGACGACCCCACCAGACCGACACGGAAGCCACCGGGCCCCACCTCACCCCGCTACTTCGAGGTCCTTGACGAGTCTCCATGCTCGAAAGCCCCTTCCGACTTCCAAGCTAGCGTTTCAGATACCCCGCGCAAGTTCTCCGGTTGGTTGATTGATTGATTGGTTTCTGTTATTATTTCACGCATTTTGTTTGAACTAGGGTTTCTGGGCTTACACTCGATTTTTGTGTGCTTTGTGGAAAATGCTTAGTTATTTGCCATTTTGGTTTTTGTGTGAACTTCTTGTTTATGTTTTGTTTCTTAATTGTTATGGTTGGTGTTTAATCATATTATTTTCTTTTTGTTGGTTAAATTGATTCAGTTCATTTCAAATTTTTGTTTTGTTTTGTTATTAAATTTTTTATTTCCATCATAATACCTGTTATGTATACAACGACATCCCGATCTGGCCAAAGCCTATGTAAAGATTATAATTATTTTTGGGTGAAATTGGGGCAGAAGCCTATACGAAGATGAAAACATTACTAAACAACAACAACCCTATCTTGGCATTTCCACATCAATGTTCTTTAATTCATTTTGCCAAGCAAGTTGTAATCCATAAGGTAGTCCCCAAAGTTCTGTCTCCATACAGCACCAATATTTACACTAAATCGACCCAACCAGTCACCATTAGAATCCCTTAAAAGACCACCTGCAGTAGTTTTGCCCTCACCACTTTTATAGCTGCCATCAACGTTAGTTTTAACCCTACCAGCTTGAGGAGAATGCCATTTAAGTTGCACAGTTTCTCTAGCAGGCTTACAGTTCATAAACAAGTTAGCCTCATGCCACTCCTTGGCAAATTGAACTATTATCTCAGCCATAATAACTGGAGGTTCATAACTAGGATTAATGACATGATTACAACGCCATTTCTAGACATGCTGTAATATAGCAAAAAACACCAAATTCCAAGGCAGATTTTGTACAAAAATACCTTACTTTTCAAATTATGCAGCAGCCATACATCAAAAGGCCGAGAGAAAGTGCGAATTACCTCAAAAGAAACATTATATCACATTCCATATTGTTTCTATATTAGTTGCCATTACTTTCACTATTATTACAAACTTAAAACTTAAAATTAAAAAAAAAAAAAAAAAAAAAAAAAAAAAAAAAAAAAAGCAGCAGCAAGGAAGTAAGCCTCACTAGCTTGAGGAGGCTAGAGCTAGAACCATGTCAGCCTTCTCAAGCCAGTGAAGCTGGTCTTCTTTGGCCAGGTCGGCATTGCCTCTTTTCTTTTGTATAATTTTTGTTAATTTTGAATTTTAATTTAAAGAGTGTTGAGAAAAAGCCTTTTATGATTTATTTAATTTTCTAATAGAATGTCGTAATATAAATGGCAACTAATTTGGAAATAAACTTTCGGGTATGAACAGAATCACCCTGTGATTTAAATATTGTTGAAAATTTTATTTTAGTTTGCAAATGTTGAAGTTTTTTCACATGTATACTGTGTTTTGTTTACATTCAGGCATTAATGACTTGGTATTTCTGGAATCTGATAATGAGTCTGAAAGTGGTTCTGGAAGGGAAAGGGGGAAGGATAACAAATCAATTTCTGGTGGTTTTGGTGTGGTGAAGGGCTTAGACTGGAGTTCCAGATTTGTCAAATCCACATCTTCTCTTGGTATGTTTTTCGTGTATCTGTCATACCTTTGGTTTGGTTATTTATCAGCTTAGATTTCAAAATGTTCAACAAAATGACTCTACTCCCTGGAATATGTTTTTCCTTTCAATATGGACACATACGTGTTTATCAGGACATGACTATCTAGCACATATGTCTGAGGACTGTTCTGCGCAACCTGTTTCTTTGCAAGATGATTTTGATATTAATCAGGTACAATTGATAGCCTGGTCTATGATGTTTACTAATTATGTTTGATTGTTCAGAGACATGCATCTTGTTACAAGTGTGTTTTGTTCTGTTAATTTCTATGGGGCATTATATTTTCTAAATGTAGGCAATACATGATTCCTAACCTTAATAAGTTTCAAATTTGTTATGATATGGATGTCAAGACTAATTGATGAAGACATTTCAGAAGGGACTGGTGAAAATTTAGTGAAAGAAGTGTTGATTGAAGTGAAAGTTATGAGTGTATTTAAAAATTTATTAAAATCTAGCAACCTAAAGTATATTGTTTTTTGGGATAGATTTTTGGGTACTTTTTAAAAAAATAAATAAATGAGTATCATATTTCTTTGGATAAGAAATCAAATTTATTAGTAGGCTTGTTAAAATATAGAGTTGTGGACAAGTTGTCCACTGCGTACAATACAAAACCAGCAAACAAAAGTACAAAAAACATTAATGAAGACTATTATTAAGTGAAGCCCTCCAATGCAGAGAGCTAAATTTTGAAACTTGGAGAAACCGATGGTGAAAGTGAAGTTCAATACCTTATTCTGTCCCAAAGAAACTCTTCCCTCTCTTTTCTATTAATTTCAAAATTCCTTTTGTTGCTTTCCAAACAAACCACTGGAAAAAAATGCCAGTACCCAACAGTTTCAGATTACCATTGTTTTTCTCCCTCAAACTACTTATGACTCTAAAATGGAATGGATCTGCAATCGGGTGGAATAACCCAGCTCAGTTCCGCATCCTTAAGTAATCTCCTCCACAGATGTACAACATAATGAGAACAAGTTTTAGCTCCTCTGCATTTGCCTTTACTGAGGAGAAAGGTAATCTGTACTTCTACAATTTCCTCAATTAACAAGTTTTAGCTCCTCTGAATGTTTTCTGTTTGCTGTTTTGCTGATTTCATCTTCACATTGACAGTCTAGTAGTTGCACCAGTCTTGCAGCATAACAATCATCTTGTTATGTCTAATATCTCTTTTTTCCCCTCTATTTGTTGAACTGGAATGTATAATAATCAAGAAATAAGCTATTTTGGACAGTTTCTAGTTGTTTGTCATTTGTTTCTGTGGCCCTGTGTTATTCAAACTAAATGTTATTATATGTATAGACTATTCATGAGACGTCAAAATTTTTTGATATTTCGTTGTGTTCTCATTTTTAATGAAGGTGTGGTGTGCTATCTTTCATTTGCTGCTATCCTTACATTTCACTGGGTGTTTATCCTAAAATGTATGACATGCTGAGATCAGGTACTTGATTATCCTCCTGACAAAGAAAATAGAATGGATCAGAGGGGCAACATTGTGAAACAGAGAAGAAAAACTAAAGCTATTACTGATAAAAGTATTAGAGACGAAGCAATGGGTAGAAGGAAGATGGCGAAAGAGGAAAGGAGATGCCTAATGGAAGAAAAGAATCTAAAGAAGCAAGTAAGTTGCTATTTACGGTCTTTACCCAATTCTTGTTAACAGAAAAATGAAATAATCGAGATTAATGAAAAACAGCAAGAGAAGTTGCAAAGAGCAGCTCTGAAAGCTGAAACAGCAGAGAGGAAAAAGTTTCAGAAAGAACAACAAAAGTGGGAAAAAGGAAAGTTTGCTGTGAAATCCATAGTGGCTGAGATTGACCTTAAAGTAGTGGAATTGGGGTCAGTTGGAGGTGTGCTCTTCATATTCTTCTCTTTCTTTTTCCATATAACATCATATCTGGTAGCTGAGATATATAAACTTTTGTGGTAGGAAATCTGCTATCAAGGTTTGCTGAAAGAGGGATAACATACCGTATAACATCAAATCCAATTGAAAGATCAATTGTCTGGACCATGACTGTTCCAGAACATATTTCACAGGTAATAAGTGTATGAAATTGAAGAGTTTTGTAAGCTCCGCCAGTATAAAGTATTTTTCTACTAGCATTATCTCCTAAACTTCATAATAGGAAAATTAGCTGGAATTTGATTTATTTTTGATATTTTCTGTTGATGGTTTAATTTTATTTACCTGCCCCCCCCCCCTCCCATAGATCATAAATGTAGGTAAATTCATTTTTCGCATAAAAATATAAACCTGATACCAAAGGTTTATTGTGAGTGTGAATCCTGTGTGACTTGAAGATTCGCTCTTAAAGGATCATGATATAGTGATTAGTTACTGTGGTGCATCTTCATGCATTGTGTGTGTAGGTAGGCCAGGATCATTATTTTGAGGATATAATTTTTAGCATATATTAACCTCACAGAGTGCTATTATTTGTAGCATATATTAACCTCAATATCTAATTGCAGAGTTCTCCTGAACGAATAGAGATTCAATATGTATTGCTCGTGTATGAAGCTGAAGAATTTTGTAACCTTGTCATCAATGAATCTCTTTTGGACCATGTTTTTAGTGTTCGAAGTCGTTATCCATCCTATACAGTGTGTTATCTTACAAATAGGTTGATGGCATATATTAATAAAAGGTGAGAGACCAATGAAAATCGGATTTTACCATTGTGCATCTGTAGCTCATTTTAATTATGTAAATATATGTATTATATCCTAGTGATGAATTTTTACCATGCCATTTTATTCATTCATCTTCCGAAACTGTTCTATGTATTCTTCTTAGACGGATGCTGCACAATTGTTATCCTGATTTAGATAAACAGTCTGCGCATGATGTTACTAACATCTTTCTCTTATACTGTTCTTTTATTTTTCTTGCAGTCTAGGTTGCTTCTTCACTATGAGCATGCCTCTTTGTTTTTGTTTTCTATCATCAATGTGGTTCTAAATTCATCAATACCTACTAAATTAAGTAGAGAACAAAAACCGTGTTATTAATGTGGCTCCTAAGCTTAATTGCTTAAGGTGGTCTCAGCCCTCTTTATTCTTAATAAGTAAGTCTGCAGCCATTTCTTACACAACATAAATGAAACATCAAATTTAGAAATACGAAGATTTTAATTTTGTGCTTTTGAACTTGGGTTCATTAAACAATTTGATGATGGCTCCACAAGCTGATTATCTAAGAACTTGAATATTCTTTTTCCTTTAAGTAGATAATTGGTATTTCATTCAAATGGGAGCGAGCAATAAGTAAAGATGAGCTGATTTCCAGAAAAGTCAAGCTTTTTTTTTTGGATGTTCATTAAAATTTATGTACCTTTTGAGTATTATCAATTGATTATAACTACCTGTTGAACTCGTGTTTTGTGCTATTGTTGAAAAATCATATGAATTAAATGACTATAACATTGAAAGGATCTATTTATTTTGTGTTGACATTCAGTCCTCTATACTTGCTATATGAAATATACAATTTTTTGAGCTTTATTTGTTACAAATACACAATGTTTCCTCATTTATGCCCATAGGAGTTGAATGCATTTGTCAAAAGCATGTGTTTTGTCACATTTGTTGGACATCATAATTGTACTTAAATTGTCTCACTGTCTTCAGATGCAGTATGAACACATTGGTTTAGAATGTAGTTTTTCCTGATAGATTATCAATTTGTTAGTTATTTATTTCTCGATGCAAGTTTACCGTCTGTGATGAGCCTGGCAATTGACATCTCTATTTTCCATTTTCCTATAACATAATAGTTATTTCTTAGATTATAACATAATGCTTCATCTCATGGAATTGTTTACAATGTTAGGGAACAAGAAGTGTACAAGAACCTAACAGAGGATAATGATTGGAGACGCCCGCCTGTTGAGGAGGTTGAACTACTAACAGAAAATGCTTCAGATTCCAACACATTAATGATTTCTGGATTTTCATTCATGTCTTGCAGAATAGTGGATCTGTTTTTTTAATTAGTATTTTGACTTCTTCCTTTTTTTACCAGGTGCTGGCAAAATTGACCACTAATTTTTTTAAAGTACATTCCAGGCAGTGCATAGATGAGGCTGAACTTGCTGAACACATTGTTGGTTTGACGTGCAGCCTCTCATCCTGCCAATTTAGGTGTTTGATCCATTTGTTTTTCTAATGAACTTAAAACCTTATAATTGTTTGAGAATGCTTTAAAACACATATCCCAGGGAAGACAGGTTTTCTAGTCTCAATATTTGATATATGCATCTACATTGTACACTTTTATTTTTTGTTCAAGACTTTGTACGAGGTTCACATAGCTTCACGCAGTTTTTTGAACATTGAAATTCAGTTTTCGCTCTGGTTTAATGTTAACTAGAAATAGTTGTGTTTTCAGTAAAGTTTTTATTTCTATGTAAAAAGGACAAATTCTCTCTCTCTCTCTCTCTCTCTCTCTGCATTTTCATATTTTAACTGGTTACTGTTCTGATTCTACCTTTCCTTTATGAAATTGCAGAAAGAAGTTAACGAGACTGGACGTAAATGCTAACGGACCTCTTATGATTAAGGACTGTGTTGACCGGAATATAATTAATAAGAGCGCATGGTGAGTAGTATGATGTTAATAGATAGAGACCAGTGATAAGATGAAGCTTTCTTCTACGGGCCTGAACTGAACTGCTTAATCATTGTTCCTGGCACCAAGAGTAACTGTAGTATCAACACATATTTTAATCATGTCCTATGGTTGTGTGGTTCTACTTGATATTTCATCCAATGCACTTTCTTATTTCCTTGAGGGGCATTTGAATCTTTGACTTCACTTTTTGGGATCAAAGAGTCCAAATCCAGCTTTTATGACCCTGTGTTGCAAGGAGCACTATTTAAGTTTCAGGAGATCTAGATATAGGCTGATGAGTTTCCTTTGTGACTCTGTCTATTTGAGGAGGGTTTGATATGACAGGAAGGACAAGGGGAACCGTGATGAAAGTGAGAGGGTTGAGAGAAACCTACAAGCCTAGTTGTCTAGTTAGTTGGGACAATCTATCCTTCCTACAAGCCCTCCTCCAACCACTGCCTCAAAAGAACCATGGCCCCCTCAACTAAAATTGGATTTCTGGAATTCCACATATATTTATGAATTGAATTTCAATTAATCTCCCAAACCCTAGCATGGCTCTCAACTACAGATGTCAAATCACTTTTAGCAGACATCAGGAAAATATGTTGTTCAACAAGCCTTCTCTGTACAAAATACAAATTAATTTGGTTTGTCTGTTTTTCACAAGTTTTTCATTACTCTGCGGGGATGTTTATTTTATACCTAATACTAGTTTCTGCATCCAGGTTAAAAGCTTTGGTAGCTATCCCAAAGGTACAGCCACGGTTTGCTATTGCTATATGGAAGAAGTACCCTACCATGAAATCTCTGTTGAGTGTTTACATGGATCAAAATATATCGGTAAGTATAATATGCTTCAACTTGCCTGAAATATAAATGAACATTTGTTGATTGATCTAACAGTGTCTTCATTAGACCCATATGCACTTCAATTTAGGCGCATTTGGTTTCCCAGGAAGAAGTGAACGGATTTATGGCCATTGACAAGTCACAGATACATATTATCTTGGAATACAGTTTTCTAGAACGTTTTGCTCATCAACCTAATGGGATGATATTTGACAATTTTGGGGACCATTTTATAAATTTACATTAGTTCAGTTGATTGCTGCTATCGTCTGCAACGGCCTCCATTTTGACGATGAATTCTTTCTGAACTGCAGTGCTAACATCTAGTTTCCTTAGGTGTCTAAACACACCCTTTTTGTGTTTTTCCAACATTAAATATATATTATAATTTTTCTCTTTTGCCCTTTTCATTTTCCATGGAAACTAGATGGAAACCTTCCTTAATAAGTTAAAAGCGTGAATATACTGTAGGTCCTGTAGGAATCTCAAGGGCTTGTTTTGGAGATGTGATGGAGGAGCAGCATCTACAAGTCTCTCTCTCCTGGTGAACTTGGGCCCCGCTTACCACCTATGCTAGGGTTCTAATTAGTTTGGGATTTAGGTTATATTTATTGTCTTTTATTTCTCTTGCTTAGGGTTTTATGTTTTATGTTATGTGATAGGTGATACTTACAGTCCTAGTGTTTTCAATTAGTAGCCATGTTAGTTTTTAAAGAGAATAGGCTAACATTTATTAGGTACTTTCATAATTAAGGCTAGCAGGCTAGGGGTGCTGTAATCCTAGTATAAATAGCCTATTAAGAGACTTTGTATTCGAGTTTTATTAATTTAATTCCTGAAATCATATTATAGAGTTCCTGTAAGAGTTGCTTTGCCCTAGAACTCTTATTTTCATTCGAACTGCAATTTTATTGCTTTATTTCACTATTTTTCTGCTGTTCACAGCTGGGAATATTTTTTCTGCTGTGATGTGACGCTGTATAGCCAGGAGCTTAGTATCTTTTTCTGGTATTTGCTGAAACTGAAAGAAATTTTCCACCCTGAAATTCCGACTAGCTGCTCTTGTTTTATTTATGAAACCAACTTGTTGATCTTGCCCACCATTAAAACAGTGAAAATCAAGTTCCACACACTTTGGGGTGTAGGATTGTTGTGATCCATTTAAATGGGCCCCCTTAGTGTTGCTATTCCCATGTCATTAACCATGAACATATTTGAGTGCTTCATGATCAGAGATAGTTCATGAACTAACCTTATTGAAGACCATAAATGATAGAGGGTACTTCAACCTTCAGCTTTTCCAATCTTGCTATGCTCTAATACCACTTTATAGGACCCATGGACAGAGTTTCCTTTGCAAACTAGCTTGCGAGGGACGACTGCCCAAAGATGTCCGACTTTTCCAATGTGGGGAGATACTGGGATCTTGTCATTGTCACTATCATCCTCCCTTTTACCAAACCGGTTTGAAGGGATTTTGGCCAACTTTAGGTTCAGCTAGTTCTGCTTCCTGAATAGCCATTTATGGTTTGGGCAGTGCAGATGACTACTGAGAAATATGTCTGATGACTACTCACCATTTATGCGGTATAACCATGAAATTCTGCTATATGTTAATTAGGATTATGGTATGCCTGTTCTATGTCACTGTGAACAAAGTTGCTTTGATTGTATCTATAATTTTTTTCTTTGATTGAGTTAATTGACGCCTGTCAAAGTACACTGATTTGGAGGGTTAACTTGCAATGTATATTTAGTTGAATATGTCCCCTCCATGCTTTTGCAGTATGCATTGATATAAGATTGATATTTTATTACATATGTATGTGTATATATATACCATTTTTCACAAGGCATACTTGCATCCAGCAGCATGTACATAGCTATACCAAGGCAGAATTCAACACTTTTTTGTAGATTCTATTTACTTTGTTTTTTTCTCTATTTTCTTGGTTGCTCTATATTGAAATGACAGGTTCATCAAAAGGAATTTCTGCTGAAGGACTTGATAACTGAAGGTTTACTTCGTGATGACAGAAGAATAGGTGAGGTTTGTTCCAAGAGAGTGTACAGAATACTTATGGCACAAAGTGGATCCATTAAAACTGATGATGTTGAGGATGGTGCTGATTTGTTTAGGCTTCAACTGGCTTAAATAACTCTCCAGATTTGTCTATTACTTGTGTTCTGCAGTAGCGCTCTGATTTCTTTTTTGGTAAATGTTATTTTCAGAGCCTTAAGTAGTGGTTCTTGGTGTGTAAAGTGGAACTCATTAATGTCAAGGAAAAATGTAAATATTCTCGCAGTTTTGATATATCAAAGGGAAGAGGATTCAGACTTAGCACCTCTTCGAATATTGGGAAAGGAAGTACCACTCATCAAGAGCTAGTTTGTAACAGTTGTAAAAGGAAATCGATCCATACTTTTGTGACAATGATGTAAATTCAACATATTACTATGACTATTTAAAAACCAAAGAAAAAATTTGCGACGTGTGCTTGGCTGTATCACCCATTAATGGAAGTGAGTCTCCTAGTGGAGTACATGTGCAGGTGACAATAGCTAAGCCTAAGACACAAGCAAATATATATCAGATAATTTTGTGTCACGAATAGTAGGCCAAACGCATCATTTTAGTCCATATTCTTCATATTAGATCTGTCATTCTTGTCGTCTTACCCAGTGTATGTCAGTCCCGACTTCAAATTTTTGATTAAAATCAAGGCAATATTGTCCAGTCACTCCATTAAAAAATATTTGTGTCCCGAATTGAACCGATCTGTGCTCATGCTTATTTTCACTACACAGATAATAAGTTCCATGCATTGGGTACAATTGATAGCACAAATGCCAAGGAAAATCCTTCAGAACCCTAGGTTTGTTTATACACTTCAATCTCTTTTTATAAATAATAATAAATAAAAAACATAAGCAGCCAAGGACCTTCAACAATGCTTTTTGAACAATAGGAGAAAATTAAAAAGAAAATAGGCAAATTATCATACGGACCTGCTTGAGCTTTCAGGTTTGGGGACTGAAAAGGAACCAGATTTTACGTCAACAGATTCACCAACTGCGGGTGACGAAACGAAAGCAAACTGTGGCTGTGCAACTTCGTCAACACTCTTAGAGACATAGTTAAACACAGGAGAAGCTGCATTGGAATCCTTCATTGAAGGAACTTTACCCCAAAAGTTAACCATTGAAGGACCAGCAATTGATACTTCTGGTGGAGCAACTTTATCATATGTAAAGGATGGCTGGGTAGATACCATCTTGCTGTACGACGACACACTAGTGCCGGTGGAGTTGGCGCCATTCTCAGCAAGCATAGACTCATCAGAGAGAGCAGAGAAAGCTGGAGGCTTCTCCAGTGTAACAGTTGCAGTAGCAACGCTGCTCTTGTCGGTCAAGACAGTCTCCACCTCAGAATTGTCATCATCATCCAGCTCCAGATAATCCTACAAACCATACCCACAAGGTTCAAATATATCAATTTGAAGCCGTGAATATGCACAGGATAAGGAATACAATAACCCAAGATGCTTAAGATTATCAGGGAACCATAGAAGATACCTTGGTAAGTTTATCAGGGAACCAGGATAAGGAATGGGCTGAAATATAAGATTTATCCAAGCCTGGAATCTCGGTAAGTTTTGGGGAGCGATTAAGGTGCAATTCTCTCATGCACAACATTCTTGAAAAATTTGGCATTTCTTCCAATGCAATGCACTCATCCGCTTGAAGGATTTCCAGATTAGTAGGTAAATCTGGGATCGCCCGAAGGTTTGCGCAATTAGTCAATTGTAAACTTTGAAGCCTAGAAAGCCTACTAAGGGTTGGTAGCCCATAAAAAACATTCCCTCTTAGATCTAACTCTTTTAAAGAAATTAGATCCCCAAGATCTTCAGGAATTGCTTCATCAGTTAAGTTGCAGTCCGCAAGGCACAAATATTCAAGGGTTTTCAGTTGTAGTATAGAATGGTGAATCTCAGACAAACTGTTGCAGCCTTGGAGTATCAATTTCTCGAGATTTGGGAGTTTTGAAAAGTCCGGTGATTGTTTCAGGCGATCGCAATAACCAAGATTAAGAAACTTCAACTTCTCAAGTGGCTGTGAGACAAAAGGGAAAACAAACGTAAAAAAACCAACTAGATGAGAGAAAGCATGACGTTGGTATTTAAAAGACCTGGAGGAAAGAATTAATGATTTGGTTGAGATTATATTGTACCATGTCAGAATCCTTCCAAACTTGTATGCGGCTATGACTCAGGTCGATATCGACTATGTTTGGTTGATTGAAATCTTCTGGTATGGCTTCTGGAGGAAACCCAGGCCAACACAACCATCTTAACCTTTTGGAAAGATGTTTGCAGTCCCCCGTGAACTTTACACCTTTGAGTTTGAGCAATCTGAGTCCCTGCATGTTTTTCAATGCTTCAGCACTGAAGCTAGGCTCGTGAGATCCTTGCAAATCTAATGTGACCCCTTCAATTCTCTCTGTCCCCTGTAAGAAAACACAAAAGGAAATAGGTAAGAAGATGCTAAAGGAAATAAGTAAGAAGACGCTAAATTGCAAGTGAAAAGATTATTTGTACACATGAAGCAAAGCCGTAAACTGGATGCATGAACTAAAAGAGAGGTGTAGGCAGCATTTATTATCTACTATCAGCTGCTGCGGTACCTCTGGATCAAAGAAATATACGAGTTCTGTTTTACAAACTCTCTAGATTGGTTAGGTATCTTTGCCAGCTTCTGGCACAGGAGTTACATTTTCCTTATTGTATTTATGATAATTCAATCAATCAGTTTCTATCTTACACTTTCCTTTCTCTGCTTTATTTCTCTTTTCATTCAACCAGCAGTATAATGTTTGTTGACACATTCCGGGCTTACAATTTATGAGATGGGGATGCATATATACTTCTCTTTTATTATGTACATGCATTTAATCCAATTTGATTGTGAATGTACTTACAGAATTGGTTATCAATACGTCTGTTACATCTTCAGGATCCCACAATCTGCTACGTTTTCCTTTGATGCCAGGAGATTTTTCACGTACGATTTCTCTGCCCATATCTCTAAGCAAATCATGCATCATCAGGTTGTTTCCTTCATCAACACTAACAAGGCATCGATCATGGAGTTCTCCAATTCCTAATAATGGATCAAAATCACAACCATCCAATATTGCCATGACATGGTCCTTCTTCATTCCAATAAAAAAACAACATATATCAAGGAAGATAGCCTGCACTTCATCATCAATTAGCCCATCATAGCTTATTTTAAGCTTTTCATGAATTTCCCCATGAGGCTTTCTTTTCAATTTACGCAATGCACTTCTCCATTCTCTTTTGGTTCTTTTACATAGATAAGAACCTAAAACTTCAAGCGCCAGTGGCAAACCTCCACAGTATTCAACAACTTTTCTTGAAAGTTCAAGATATTCTTCATCGCTAGGATGACGCTCAGTAAAGGCACGACAACAAAGGAGTTGAAGAGCTTCTTCATTACTCATTGCTGGTGGAAAATATGTATCATCTACTTCGAGTATCCTTAGAAAATGCGCGTTTGTTGTTGTTATAATAATTCTACTCCCTGGACCAAATGAGTCACGTTTTATAGCTAACTCATCTAATTTTTTCTGACAATCAACATCATCAATTATGACAAGTGCCCTTATGCTGCTAAGTCTTTTTTTTATCTCCTTCGTCCCTTCAGCGATACTACATACCTCTTTCTTGGCCGGTTTCAAGATATCACAAAGAAGTTGATTTTGCAATTTAACCATATCCCCTTCCCTCACTTTTGAAAGGAAACTTTTGCCTTCAAACTTTTGATGAAATTTGTTGAAAATGGCTTTTGCAACTGCTGTCTTACCCATTCCGACCATACCCAAAATGCCAATAATGCGAACATCATCTGGTCCTCCAACGTTTAAATAGTTACTGACTTCTCGCACACGAGATTCTATTCCAATTTGGTTGGTGGCTACGTATAAGCATGTGTTGTTCAGTTTTCTAGTGATGTGGTCGACAATTTTCCTTGTAAATTTTCCTTCATACCTGGCAGTTCAAATTAAAAATTAAGTAAAGGTAAGTTTTAAGATTTATTATGCAGCTGCAGGATTAAACTTAAATTTGAACAGCTCATTGGCAAGGTGTAAAATAACAGATTCTAAGCCTTATTCACACATAGCAAGGAAGTGTTTGTGTACCCAGCAAAAACAAAAACAAAAACAAAAACAAAAAATAGTTTGTGTAATTACCCATCAGTGTTTCTAAGATTTGCACCAGCCAAATTTGCAGCTTCAGTAAATGCATATCTCCACCTCTGTACTTTATCTTTATCATCACGGAAACGCTCTTCATGTTTCCGAAATGCTTGTGCAAAGCTACCAGTTTGTTTCCTGACATGCGTAGGATCAACATTGTAGAAAACTGGCAAAACCGTTTGCCCCGATCTTGCTCTTCTACACTCCATGATCTTCTCCAGCTCCTCAAGACACCATGTGGAATCCGCATACCTCTTCGAGAAGACGATGACAGAGATCCTTGACCGTTCGATTGCATGCTTCAGTTCGTCTGGTATATTTTCCCCTCTTCTTAGCTCGTTCTCGTCAATGTAGGCGTTGACCCCGTTGTCTTTTAGTGTCCAGTAGAGGTGGTCTGTGAAGGTCTGGCGTGTGTCTATGCCTCTAAAGCTCAAGAACACGTCGTATTTCCAATGTTCTGTGGAAGAGGAGGGTGGGGATGAAGAGGAGGCTTCAAGGGCTGTACTGGCGACATCCATGGATTGTTCTCGATAGAGGTTTGTGTTTTACACAGATGATATGGAAATGGAAATACCGCAAGTCAAGTCAACTCCTCGTTTCAGTCCACAAAGGTAAAGGCGGACCATACCAGGCTTAGGCTATAGTTAGTAGTTTTTTTTTTTTTTTTTTTTTTTTTTTTTTTTTTTTTTTATTTTTTTTTTTTTTTTTTTTTTTAAAAAGTCAAAAGTCATTCTTGGCTTACATAGTTTGTTGAGTAAATCTCCACCCCCTTGCTACCTTTCACTGAAAAACAAGATACGAGAGTTATAGTGGTAAAATCCGCCAACTACTGGGACCGAAAGTAAATTTTTGCGTTTCTTTTTTCTTTCTAAAATGGTGTTAACTTTTACCTTCTGCTGTTTTGACCCTCAAAAAATAAAAATATAAAATAAAATAAAATCCTTTTTCCTTCTGCTGTCTCTACCCTCGCGACCAGGTCAGCTTTCCACCTCCTCCCTCTTTCTCCTTTCTTCCTATCCTGGCGTCACGACTCACAAATTCTTTCTTGTCAGTTGGGGAATCAGGTTTGGTCCGGAATCAGAGGGCTATTTCTCGTCATCGTTTTCCTTATGTAAAATTCTTATTCATCATCAGAGAGGCTGGGTCGTTGCAAGGAAAGGAGCAACCAGGTTTTTCATCTTTCTTTTGAATCTCTTCTAGTTTTTCTCATTTACTTCGTTACCTTATGCCGATTTCCCTTTCTGAAAACCCATCGTATTTCATTTTGGGGCTGAACAGAGATCTAGCCGCGATCGGATGAACGGCTCTGATAGCAGATAATAGGTACCTTGCCAGAGAATTTTTAGAAAAAGGAAATAGACAGATAGAGAGATAGGAAAAGATTAGATTTCATTCATAATTTTTCCCTAGATAGAGTCAGGCAATTTATACAAGCATCTCCTATGAGATACATCCGAGGCTAGTAACATTATTCAATACAGTAGGGAATATATAGATGGTATTTGTACAAGTAGCTGGGCCTGTAGACGGGTCTCAGCAGAGTGATTATGGAGGTGTTGGTTTTGTCTGTGACAAATTGTTTCGACTACCAAGTTGTTTAGCTGCTTCTTTTTTGATGCAGGAGCATCTATTAGACTTCCTAATCTAAATAGGCTCATCAGCCAATAAGGCTAAATTTTAGTTATAATAGATTAGTAGGTTATTTTATTATTTGTTTTCCTATTCTTACTAGGATTTGGTTCAATTTCCTGTTTTGGTTTTAATTTCCTTCGTCAATTAGGGTTTCTTATTAAACTAATAATAGGAATACTTGGCTGGTGTATTCTAGTATAACTAGGCTATTTAGAGACTCTTGTATTTAGTTTTTGTTGATGAATATAATTTCAGACGTTAGTCTATAGAGTTTCTGTTGGGATTTTGCCCTATAACTCAATTATCTTTGTACCAACTTCAATTCTATTGCTTTATGCTTCTATTCTCTGTATTTTGGGTATGTTTGGGTCATTGGACAGCAGCTTATAGGCCGCTGCCCTGCATCATTTTTGCTTTGCTGGGTTACTCTAGGGTTAATTGTTTTTGGTAGACTGAAATGAGGGTTTGAATATTCAGTATTATTATCTGTGCAGCACACGACCTTTTTCGTAAAAATTAATCAGACGAAACAACTTGTTCAGCATACAAGTCTGCAGTAACAATATTAATGGATACCAGTATAGTGGATGAAGCCTCCTCTCCATCCTCTTCATCCTGCTCCTCAAATGATGAGATGTATGATGTGTTCTTGAGCTTTATCGGCGTAGACTCACGCAAGACCTTCACGGACCACCTCTACTGGACATTGAAAGACGCTAGAGTCGACGTCTTTATTGCTGAGAATAAACTAAGAGGACCAAAACTGATGCAAGCAATTGAACAATCCAGAATCGCTGTCATCATCTTCTCAAGTTGGTATGTATTTTCCATAGGGTGTCTTCGGGAGCTGGAGAAGATCATGGAGTGTAGAAGAACATTAGGGCAAATGGTTTTGCCAATTTTCTATCATGCTGATCCTAAAGATGTCGGGAGACAAATCGATAGTTTTCCAGTGCACGACCGTGGAGTTAAAGTTTGGGAAGAAATGATGCGGTCATGGAGAAAGTCTCTAATTGAAGCTACAAATTTGTGCGGCCTTGTTTATACGAAGAGTGATGGGTAACTACTTATTTCCATCTCTTTGTTTTTTCTTTTCTTCTTATTCTTAATGTTTTTTCCGACCTATTTTTTGCAGACCACCACCATGCATTATTTCAGTGATTCCTTTTTGCAATATTTAAGTGCCAAAATCATCCTTGGTTTTTATCAGTGTAATGCAGAGCTTAGGATCACTGATACGAGAATTTATAAACTCTCTCTTTCTATCACACGTGTGGTCAGATATTGTTTATAGTTAAATATATTTCCATTAGTGTTTTCAGAAGTTTACAAAATCTTAGTGGGATTCCGAGATTTTGATTCAGCAATTTTGGATAAATGTTGAACTAATACATTCAAATCTTATTCAATCCCAAGCTCTGTAGTCATAATGAATAAGATAGCAGTAGTTCAGTGGCCTAATAAATCTTACTTTTGCTCAATCTTGAATTTTAACTAACAGGTATGAAGGAATGTTTATCAGAAAAATTGTTGACGAGATCACCAGAAAACTGAAGAGCACATGCGTAGACGTAGTCACCAAACAAGTAGAATTAGATTCTAGCATGCAAGAAATCAGTAATGATTTAAAAGTTCAAGTTGGTAAGGATTCTCGCTTGCAAGAAATTAGTACTCATTTAGATGTTGGAGGCCCAAATGATACACGCATTCGACTCCGAGGCAAACGGCCCTCCCCTCTCAAAGTCAACAAAGAGTGGGTCAAGACAAAGAAGCATCACTTTCCAGGCGCCGATTTCGCAGCACGGATTGAAAGCGTACGGGATTGGGATATTGGACTGGGAGAAGGAGGAGGCGACGAGTTTGAAGCGGGGTGAGATGATCGATCGAAAACTGATTAGATCAAGACCAAACGAAATCCCAAAACACCAAGGTGGTCTTGGCAGCCATGGGAGGCTTGGAAATTGGAAGGTCGCTTGTGTTCTTGATGGGTTTCAGCTTCGTATCTGAGAGATTGAAGGAACAGTTTGCAAATGGGAAGGGGCAAAAAGTGAACATAAGGGAAAATTCAGTAAAGGGCAAAATCGGCAATTCACTATTCCTAAGCTACAGTCTAGGAACAGTGACTCTCGGATCAGTTAGTATATATAAAATTTATTGTCTTTTATTTGTCTTGCTTAGGGTTTTATGTTTTATGTTATGTGATAGATGATACTTACAGTCCTAGTGTTTTTAATTAGTAGCCGTGTTAGTTTTTAAAAAGAATAGGCTAAGATTTATTAGGTACTTTCATAATAAAGGCTAGCAGGCTAGGGGTGCTGTAATCCTAGTATAAATAGCCTATTAATTTTAAGAGACTTTGTATTCGAGTTTTATTAATTTAAAGAAATCATATTATAGAGTTCCTGTAAGAGTTGCTTTGCCCTAGAACTCTTATTTTCGTTCGAACTGCAATTTTATTGCTTTATTTCACTATTTTTCTGCTGTTCACCACTGGGAATTTTTTTCCTGCTGTGATTTGACGCTGTATAGCCAGGAGCTTAGTATCTTTTCTGGTATTTGCTGAAACTGAAAGAAATTTTCCACCTTGAAATTCCGACTAGCTGATCTTGTTTTATTTATGAAACCAACTTGTTGATCTTGTCCACCATTAAAACAGTGAAAATCAAGTTCCACACACTTTGGGGTGTAGGATTGTTGTGATCCATTTAAATGGGCCCCCTTAGTGTTGCTATTCCCATGTCAATAACCATGAACATATTTGAGTGCTTCATGATCACAGAAAGTTCCTGGTTCAGGAACTAACCTTATTGAAGACCATAAATGACAGAGGGTACTTCAACCTTCAGCTTTTCCAATCTTGCTATGCTCTAATACCACTTTATAGGATCCATGGACCACTACTACGTTTCACCATTTGCGCGACGAAAGATTGCGCGACGAATAATACTTCGTCGCGCAAAACATACAGGCGCGACGAAAGAACGTCTTCGTCGCGCAATCCACTGAAAATTTGCGCCACCAAAATTTTTCGTCGCATAAAATGTATATGCGCGACAACAAAATTTTTCGTCGCGCAAACAGAGGTAAAAAAAGCGGGGGGAAATTTTTTGGCGCGAAACATTTGCGCGACGAGAAATATCGTCGCTAAAGGCAACATTGCGCGACGAACCAATGTTCCGTCGCGCAAAAAGGACAGTGCCCAGTGGGTCCCCTTATTTAGCGCGACGGAAGATGTTTCGTCGCGTAAGAGAACGAGAGATATTTTATTTTGGCGCCAAAATGACCTGGTTGGGATATTTTTGTTTGCGCGACGTAACTACTGTTCGTCGCGTAAAGTTCAACGTTTGCGCGACGATTATGTTCTTTTGCGCGACAATTTTGCGCGACGAAAATTGGCGCGAGGGAAAGTACCAGCGTCGCGCAAAAGTTAGATGTCGGCAGGTGTTTGCGCGACGAAAAAAATGGTTTGCGCGACGGATGATTTGGTTTTTTGCGACGGAAGTTTGCGCGACGAATAAGTGTGTTCGTCGCGCAAAGTCCTTCTTCTTCATATTAGAATTCTGCCATTGCAGAGGCAGAATGCAAAAACAAAGCATTCTGCCTCTGCTCTCTCTCAACCTCTCTGCCCTGCTGGGATTTCAATACATTGATTGGGTAAGTATTTTTCGTCATTAGTTTAAAAGTATTAATTTAAGTGCGTACTAAGGTTTTTTAATTTGTTTTCGTTAGGGATATTTGTAATTAGCGATTGGTGGAGAACGATTGAGAAGGTATTTTATTTGTTTTATATATTAATAATGTTAATTTGTTATGTTTAAAATGTTCTTGTGAAGTTATATTTATATTATGTTGTGTGTAACGTAGTACAATCTGTTGTGATGTACGAAGTTAATTGAAATTAACTTCGTGCTTTTATTTTTATGTTTAGTAACACTTAGTTTCCCGTTTCGAGATTAGTTGGATTTCGTGCATGGATGCGTAATGCATGACTGCGGTCCAATTAATTCTTGAATTGTCCCATTATTTGGACAGTTTGGTAATGCATAGTGTTGTCACGTAATCTATGGCTACAGGATTAGGTTTCGATTGTGGATATTTCGTTGTCATCTCGGTACGTTCTTCGGGTGGTACGTAGGTATTTATACCTATGGCCACCTCAAGAACTGTAGCGAGATGCTGGCGAAATTCATCCACGTCGAAATCTAATCTCATGTAGTCGTAGGTTACGTGGCAGGAGTATGCATTCCCGAATGGGATAGGACCCTTACCGGAGGCATAAGGTGACATTATAACTTCGTATGAAGTTGTTGTGATTGTTGTGTTGTGATTCTGGTTTCAGGAATTATGGACAGAAGGTGGATACAGAACCCGAACAGATGCGCAGACGAATACTTGGATGGAATCGAGGATTTTATTGAGTTTGCACGTAGACACAACCCGGGTGCAACTAGAATCCGTTGTCCTTGTAGGAGGTGCAACAACACGTTATGGGAGACAATTGAAAATGTTGGATTTCATTTAGTAAGGAATGGAATGATTGAGACATATAGCATTTGGAACCTTCACGGGGAACAATTAGAGCATGCTTCGTCTTCAAATGCCACAAGAGTGGACAATGTTCAACCTATTGTGGATGCTAATGATCAAGTCATGGATATTATACAGGATGTTTTTCCATTTGCATCGACCAACATGAATCAAGAAGAGCAAGATGATGTGCCTACACCAATAGACAGTGCGGAGTTTGAACAATATGAGAAATTGTTAAAAAATGCCAACCAAGAGTTATACCCGGGGTGCGAGAGCTTTTCCGTTCTCACGGCCATTGTGGAGCTAATGCACGGAAAAATAAAGTATCGTATGTCGAACCTGTGTTTCGATTACTTTTTGGGGGTTTTCAAGAGAATGCTTCCGACGGACAATTGTTTGCCGAAAGACCATAAACAGGCGCAGAAGGTGTTGAATGGTCTTGGATTGGGGTTATGAAAAAATCCATGCTTGCAAAAACAATTGCATGTTATTCTACAAAGAGCATGAATCGTTGGATACATGTCCTATATGCAATGAGTCGAGGTTCAAGATGACATCTCAGAATAGGACGACTAAGATCCCACAAAAAGTCATGCGTTATTTGCCCCTGAAACCTAGGTTGCAGCGATTGTATATGTCGACGCATACTGCCACAGACATGAGATGGCATCAGGAAAAACGGGTAGACGATGATGTGATGCGGCATCCTGCAGATGGGGAGGCATGGAAAGAGTTCGATCGAACGTTCCCCGAGTTTGCTGCTGATCCCCGAAATGTTAGATTGGGACTTGCCACTGACGGATTCAATCCGTATGGGGTTCTAAACCAACACCACAGCACTTGGCCGATTTTCGTATTCCCATATAATTTGCCGCCTTGGAAATGCATGAAAAAAGAATACATGATGATGACTGTTTTGATAACTGAGGATCCTGGGAGGTCAATCGATGTTTACTTAAGGCCGCTGGTTGATGAGCTGAAGGATTTGTGGACAAACGGTGTTCGCACGTACGATAAATCAACTGGGAAGATGTTCACTTTGCGGGCAGCAGTTATGTGGACTGTGAATGATTTCCCAGCATATGCAATGGTTTCTGGGTGGAGCACAAAAGGTTATATGGCATGTCCTGTATGCAAGGAAGATGTAACTTCTGGTTGGCATGCTGGAAAAGTTTGTTACCTTGGTCATCGGAGATGGTTGCCATGGGACCATGAGTGGAGGGAAAAAGATAAAGAGTTCGACGGGAACACAGAGCGTCGCCTTAGACCCAGAGAATGGTCCGGTGATGAGATATTGGACCAGCTTAACCGGTTGGATTTTGCTCCCTTCGGGAAAACAGTTAGTCGTATCAGACCTTCTACACATATGAACTGGACGCACAAGCCTATGTTTTTTGAGCTCCCATTTTGGTCGAAACTAAAATTGATGCACAATCTAGATGTGATGCATGTTGAGAAAAATGTATTCGACACATTGGTGGGCACGATTCTAGATATCGAGGGGAAGACAAAGGACACGATCAAAGCTCGTCTTGATTTGGAAAGAATGGGCATACGAAGGGGTTTATGGATGAATAGGGACAATGATAAAGCTAGAAGGGATCTTGCATTCTTTTCTATGAAACCGAATGACAAGAAAGAGTTTCTAAAGTTTGTATCGTCAGTAAAGTTTCCCGATGGGTATGCTTCTAATATCGCACGTTGTGTGAATGTTGACGGGGGTAAATTTACTCACTACTACAAAAATCGAAATAGACGACGGGAAACCACCGTCGTGTAAAAGGTTTTCGCCCGGTCGTGAAATCGACTGCCGTCTATTTGGGTTTCAAACTACGACGGCTTTTCACCGTCGTTGTTTATCAGTAAAGATGACGGTTTTTAAAGAAAATCGTCGTTGTTTAGAGGTAAAGATCGTTAATTATAGGAGGAAAGACTACTGTTTTTAATAAAACCGTCGTGTATTGTATGTAAAGATGACGATTTTTTTATGAAAACCGTCGTGGATTGTTTATAAAGACGTCATCTTTACATACAATAGACGACCTTTTTTTATAAAAAGCGTCATCTTTACATACAATAGACGACGGTTTTTATAAAAAACGTCATCTTTACATACAATCGACGACCGTTTTTTATAAAAAGCGTCATCTTTACGTACAATCGACGACGGTTTTTTATAAAAAGCGTCATCTTTACGTACAATAGACGACGGTTTTTTATAAAAAGCGTCATCTTTACGTACAATAGACGACGTTTTTTTATATAAAAAGCGTCATCTTTACGTACAATAGACGACGGTTTTTTTTATAAAAAGCGTCATCTTTACGTATAATAGACGACGGTTTTATAAAAAGCGTCATCTTTACATACAATACACGACGGTTTTTATAAAAAGCGTCATCTTTACATACAATAGACGACGGTTTTTATAAAAAAGCGTCATCTTTACGTACAATAATGCTTTTTGATTTCCTATGATGCTATACAACGATTTTAACTAGAAAACCAACCATAATGCTTTATCAAAAATAGTTTCTTTCATAAAACTTGAAGATTCAATAGTTATTACATAGTTAACCAATCTTTATTCTACAACAAACATAATTCCTAACAAGACCTACGTACTCCTAATCCAAGCATTCCTCATCCAAACATACAAATGATGCACAACTGAAGTCTCCTCCATCATCCCTGTAAATAAATCAAAATGACAAAGAGAGAGAAAAAAAAAGAAGCTAAGATTATAAACATAAAAAATTAGGTGGAAGAGAAATTTTACCATTGGTCCATATTTCCATAGAAAACTTGTAAAATGAGCATAAAAAAGACCATCGAGAACCTGCAAATTTTCAACAACAAAAAAACATACGTCTCACATAGAAAACCTGCAAAAGAAAAAGTTATAAATCTGCAAGCTTCCTCCTCATCTCCTGATAACCAAATCAGAAAATCTAAAAAGAAACCAGAAATAAAAAAAAATATGTAAACAAATCAGACAAATCAAGAAAGACAAAATCTGAAATTAGGGATACAAAGAACATACCAAAAACGCAAAGAGACTAATCCAGAATTCACTAGCAAGATATAGAAGGGTATTAAGAGATTAGGTGACTTTCAAATCAACCTTTCAACCAGCTTTGATTCTCAAATACAGAACATCCCTCTACATCTTATGGATTTGCTAAGACCTCAATCTCTCAACTCCTTCATTGATATCGATCTTTTGATGATTTTGTAGAGAGTTTTATGAGGGTGTTTTAGAGAGTGCATGAGGGTTTCAAGGAGGGAGAGATAAGGTTTTCAGAGACGGGGGAAAATCTGAAAATTTGACAAGCGCGAATTCACTTAAGTAGACTTTTTTTAGCGTGTTTTAAAAGACGACGCTTGTTAATGAGAGATAAGATTTTCAAAGACGGGTGAAAATTTGAAAATTTATCGAGCGCGAATTCACTTAAGCATCCATTTTTTAGCGCGTTTTAAAAGACGACGCTTTTTTTAAAAAAAAATTTGTCATCTTTACATATAATATACGACGGTTTTTTTATAAAAAACGTCATCTTTACATATAATAGACGACGGTTTTTATAAAAAGCGTTATCTTTACATACAATAGACGACGGTTTTTTATAAAAAGCGTCATCTTTACGTACAATAGACGACGGTTTTTATAAAAAAACGTCATCTTTACATACAATAGACGTTTTTTTCCACTACACTTCTTGACCCTATATGAATACAATGACTGAATTTGATCTTCAATTTAAAATATTTACATTAGTGGATACCACAAAATCTTATGTTATATTTAACGAAAGTATAAATAAACTCTTAATTGTTAGTGAATATTTTTTATGGCATACGCATTTTAAGAAACTAGTTTCAACGATCCAACCGTCAAACTTGTTTGTTTATACTTCGAGATCATCTACACCAAAAATCGAAAAAAATAAACATTCAGAGATAAAGTAACGGGACAAAAAATTTCGACGGTTATAAATGAAAAATCATGATTTAACAGTTATTTTAACTCCGATTTTGATGATTTTTTACCGCTACACTCCTTGACCCAATATGAATACAATGATTGAATTTGATCTTCAATTTAAAATATTTACACTAGTGGATACCACAAAATCTTATGTCATATTTAACGAAAGTATAAATAAACTCTTAATTGTTAGTGAATATATTGTTTTGATGGCATACGCATTCTAAGAAACTAGTTTCAATGATCCAACCGTCAAACATGTTTGTTTATGCTTCGAGATCATATACGCCAAAAATCGGAAAAAAATAAACATTCAGAGATTAAGTAACGAGACAAAAAATTTCAACGGTTATAAATGAAAAATCATGATTTAACGGTTATTTTAACTCCGATTTTGATGATTTTTTACCGCTACACTCCTTGACCCAATATGAATACAATGATTGAATTTGATCTTCAATTTAAAATATTTACACTAGTGGATACCACAAAATCTTATGTCATATTTAATGAAAGTATAAATAAACTCTTCATTGTTAGTGAATATATTGTTTTGATGGCATACGCATTCTAAGAAACTAGTTTCAATGATCCAACCGTCAAACGTGTTTGTTTATACTTCGAGATCATATACGCCAAAAATCGGAAAAAATAAACATTCAGAGATAAAGTAACGGGACAAAAAATTTCGACGGTTATAAATGAAAAATCATGATTTAACGGTTATTTTAACTCCGATTTTGATGATTTTTTACCGCTACACTCCTTGACCCTATATGAATACAATGACTGAATTTGATCTTCAATTTAAAATATTTACACTAGTGGATACCACAAAATCTTATGTTATATTTAACGAAAGTATAAATAAACTCTTAATTGTTAGTGAATATATTGTTTTGATGGCATACGCATTCTAAGAAACTAGTTTCAACGATCAAACCGTCAAACTTGTTTGTTTATACTTCGAGATCATCTACACCAAAAATCGAAAAAAAATAAACATTCAAAGATAAAGAAACGGGACAAAAAATTTCGACGGTTATAAATGAAAAATCATGATTTAACGGTTATTATAACAAACCATCATCTTTACATATAATAGACGACCATTTTTTATAAAAAAGCATCATCTTTATATATAATAGACGACCCTTTTTAAAAAAAAATTGTCATCTTTATATATAATAGACGACGGTTTTTATAAAAAGCGTCATCTTTACATATAATAGACGACAATTTTTTTATAAAAAGCGTCATCTTTACATATAATAGACGACGGTTTTTTCGGTTTTTATAAAAAGCGTCATCTTTACATACAATAGACGACGGTTTTTTCGGTTTTTTCGGTTTTTATAAAAAGCGTCATCTTTACATACAATAGACGACGGTTTTTTCGGTTTTTTATAAAAAGCTTCATCTTTACATATAATAGACGACGGTTTTAAAAAAAATCGTCATCTTTACATATAATAAATGACGGTTTGTAATAAAAATCGTCGTCTTTACATATAATAGACGACGGTTTTATAAAATCTTCATCTTTACATATAATAGACGACGGTTTTTAAAAAAATCGTCATCTTTACATATAATAGACGACGGTTTGTAATAAAAATCGTCGTCTTTACATATAATAGACGACGGTTTTATAAAATCGTCATCTTTACATATAATAGACGACGGTTTTTTATAAAAATCATCATCTTTACACATAATAGACAACGGTTTTTATAAAAATTGTCATCTTTACATATAATAGACGACGTTTTTTTTTTTTAATTTTATAAAAAGCGTCATCTTTACATATAGTATGACGTATGATAACAAAATCAAAGAAATAAATTGATAAAAAAAAATTTGTATTAAGACGACGGTTTAAATATAAGGTATGACGTATAAAGGGAATAAATACGACGTTAAATGAAAAACAAACGTGGTGAGATTTAAAGATACCGTCGTAGAACTATACAAGAAAGACGTCGATATATTTTTATTTTCCGTCGTTGTACATTAATTTAATACGGTGATATTTTGTATTTTACCGCCGTGGATTTATTTGTAATTATATGGCGCCTTATACGAAAACTTGGTCGTGTTATTTTCTGAGTAAAAACGGCGGCTTTTTTTGAAATCGTCGTCTTTACTTTCTACGTCGGTCGATTCATAACTTCTGCCGTTCTTTATTTGCTTTGATTTTACACTGCGGAAATCCTGTTTCAAATAGACGTCGGTTTTTTAATTAGGTACGTCGTTGTTTATGAACAACCATTTGAATCTCCATTTTTTAGGTGTCTAAGGTGTTATTACACGGCGGTTTTATAGAACCGTCGTTTTTAAAAAAACGACGGTTTTCACTTAGACCGTCGTTTTTTTCTGGTCGTCTTTGTCACTTTTTGTAGTAGTGACTGGACTTAAAAGCCATGACTGCCATGTGTTTATGCAACGCCTACTTCCTGTTGGTATTCGACACCTATTGCCAGAAGATGTAGTGAAGCCAATCATTTTGTTGTCCAGATTTTTTTCCCAACTGACGGCAAAAACTTTGCGAAAAACGGACATGTTTCAGTTGCGCCATGACATTGTCCAAGTCCTATGCAAGTTTGAGATGATATTTCCTCCAGCTTTCTTCATAAGTATGATGCACGTGATGGTTCACTTGCCAGAAGAGGCATTACTTGCTGGTCCTGTCAACTATCGCTGGATGTATCCAATAGAAAGGTATATAATCCTTATCGTTTGTGTATGCATCATTATCACATGCTTGCTAATTTCAATCATATCGTTTTATTTTGGCAGGCTTCTCGGAGAGCTGAAAAAAAGTGTACGCAACAGGGCAAAGCCCGAAGGATCAATCGTAGAGGCTTGGGTTCAATATGAGTCGCTTACTTTCTGCAGAATGTATTTAAAAGATGTGGAGACGGTTTTCAATCGTCCTCAGCGCAATCATGATGGAGGTATGAGAAATGAAAAACTTTCTGTTTTTGCCCAAAGCGCACGACCCTTCGGAGATCCTGGACGCAGAGAGTCGTTTTCTAGAAATGACATGGAGGTAGCGCATTGGTTCGTACTGAACAATTGTGATGAGATCATGGGATACTTATATGAGCATGAAGAGATGATGAAGCGAGAACATCCATCACATTTGGTTGCCCAGAAACACCGTGAATTGTTTCCACAATGGTTTTTGGATTCTGTAAGTTATCAGTGTTTGTTATTTGAGAAATATAAATATTTTCTTTTAATTTTGTCAGACTAACATATGAATGGTTTTGTATAATATTAGGTGAATAAGTTGAAATCATCGAATTCCCCAACTTACAGTGATGAGTTATATAACTTGGCATTCGGCCCGATTCACGCTGAATTGTTCTCGGGTTGTAATGTCAACGGCGTCAAATTTTTGGCCGAAGCACGAGATGACAAGTTGTGTACACAAAACAGCGGTGTCCATGTCCCAGGTGGAGGCGAAAGTACGGACATTGATTTCTATGGCAAACTCACAACTGTCGTGCAATTGCTTTACAAAGATCGATACCAAGTGATCATGTTTAAGTGTCGATGGTTTGACACCAACCCAAATAGGCCGGGAAGTGTTAAAATCGATCATGGCTTACTATCTGTGAACATGAACAGAACTTGGTATGATGACGACCCTTATATTTTGGCAAACATGGCAACACAAATTGTGTATCTAGATGACCCTAAAGCCGGAAGCGGTTGGAACGTTGTTCAAAAGATGGATCACAGGAACGTGTATGCTATACCAGAACTAGACCCAACTGACAACGACGTCAACAATGTGGCTGACCAACGTTTAGAATCTTCAATGGAAAATGATGCGGAAACACTTCGAGATACTAATGTTATACAAGAGCCATTTCAAATACAAGGAGTGTCTTCAATCGAAATACCGATTCAGTCAATTACAATTGACCTCGGTGATCTTCCGCGATATGATGTTGCAGTTGGCCCGAGCAACGACGATGATGTAGTTATAGAGGATGCGGAGGAGGAGGAGGAGGAAGAGGATTGGGAGACCGAAAGTAATGATAGCAACGATAACGAAAGTTATTATAGTTCAGATGATGAATGATTAATTTTTTTTGTAATTTTATTATGTTAGTGGACATATTTTGTGTAATGCAAATGTTTTAATATATGTACTTGTTATATCCAAACATTATATATGTGCAGAAATGAAACATTATTAAAATAAATGTAGTTATAAACCATTGGTAAATAAATATATCCAAGTAATTTGTATCATAAAGTTTAAATTTATTTTCACAAAAAACTTTTAAAAAATGAAAACCATATAACCGAAAAAATGAATACAAAGAACATAAGATTATCAAGAATCCTTCCATTCTCAAATCAAAAGAAAATATAATAAATCATACTTTCATACAATTAATTATATGTAATGATGAATAATTCAGATTAATAATATGTGAATGAAAATAACCTTGCGCGACGAAGGCATAATTGTCGCGCAAATTTTGCGCGACGGACAACGTACACGTCGCGCATACTCTATTATTTGCGCGACAAATAATTTCGTCGCGCAAGTATCTTTTGCGCGACGAAAAACAAACCTCGTCGCGCAAACATATATACATATATATATTTTTGATATATACACATGTATATAGTTGAAATTGACGATCGAAGTAGTTCACTGTATTCACATAGGGTTAAACAGTATAGCTGTAAAAAATCATCAAAATCAGAGTCAAAATAACCGTTAAATCATGACTTTTCGTTTATAACCGTCGAAACGTTTTGTCCCGTTACTTGAGCTCTGAATGTTTTTTTTTCTCATTTTCGACGTATACAATCTCGAAGTGTAAACAAACATATTTGACGGCTAGATTACTGAAACTAGTTTCCTAGAATGCGTATTTCATAAAAACACAATATTCATAAAAACTGAATAATTTCTTTATACATTCATTCAGTCTAACATAAGATTATGTGATGTCCTGTACTGTAAATATTTGAAATTGAAGATCGAATTACATCTCTGTATTCATATAGGGTCAAGAACCGCAGCTGTAAAAAATTTTCAAGATCGGAGTTAAAATCACCGTTGAATCGGGACAATTTGTTTAGAACCGTCGAAAAGTTTTGTCCCGTTACTCAATCTCTGAATGTTCATTCATTATGATTTTTGACGTATACGATCTTGAACTATGAAAAAAGAAGATTTTCGGTTGGATCATTGAAACTAGTTCAGGAGTTCCGGTTTAGGGCCCAGGGTACAGGTTTTAGGGTTTAGGGTACAAGGTAATGGTTTTGCGCGACGAAACATACTCTTACTCGTCGCGCAAAACGTCAGCGACGAACATAATCCCCTTCGTCGCGCAAAATCATTAAAAAAATTCGCTACCCTTCTCCGCTCCAACACTTGGTGAAATTTTTTTTGGAAAAGCCAGATTGCGCGACGAACATGTGTAACTTCGTCGCGCAAAATCATTAAAAAAATTCGCTACCCTTCTCCGCTCCAACACTTGGTGAAATTTTTTTTGGAAAAGCCAGATTGCGCGACGAACATGTGTAACTTCGTCGCGCAAAATCATTAAAAAAATTCGCTGCCCTTTTCCGCTCCAACACTTGGTGAAATTTTTTTTGGAAAAGCCAGATTGCGCGACGAACTTGTGTAACTTCGTCGCGCAAAATCATTAAAAAAATTCGCTGCCCTTCTCCGCTCCAACACTTGGTGAAATTTTTTTTGGAAAAGCCAGATTGCGCGACGAACATGTGTAACTTCGTCGCGCAAAATCATTAAAAAAATTCGCTGCCCTTAACAACGTTGCGTGACGAAATCACGTTTTTAAGTCGCGCAAAGGTCAAGTTTTTATAATACTGCGCGACGAAAAGTTTATTTTTGCGTCACGCAAAACTTATTTTAATGAATTTTGCGCGACGGATTTATATATTCGTCGCGCAAAGTCGAATAAGTTTTCTGAAAATCGCGAGCTTCTCCTTCTTCCCCAATTTCTCAAACGGAACCCTAATTTCTCAAACTCCTCCTCCCTTTCTCTCCATCGTGACCTCCGCCCCAATTCAGACCGTGCCGCCGCCACCGTCGAACCCAGGAGCTTCTCCGCCGTCGCCGTCCATCCTGCCGCCGTGATTTCCTCCGTTTAGGCCGAATCTTCGCCGCCGTTGTTCTCTCTCCTCCGGGCACCAAATCCGGCAATTGAGGTATGCTTTCTGGGCTATTTTTCATGCTCTAGCTGATGGTTGTGTAGGATTTGATTGATTGTGTGCATAGGGTAGTGAATTTGAAACCCTAGGTTTCGGCCGATTTTGAAATTGAAATTCCGGCCACTTCCGTCCGTTTTTCAGGGTAGGTCCGAGAACAAAAGTGCCTCCAATTGATGTTTTCAACCTAGGGTAGGAACCTTGGCCCTTAATTTTTAGGATTTCCCGGTGATTGTTATCGCTTAGGGCACCCACGCGCTGCCGGCGCGTGTGGTGGCGTGTGGGGTACTGTGCCATAGGGCATTTTGTCCCAGTGCAAACATTTCGTTGTCACGAGCGCGTAGGTGTGCTCGGATTGGAATTTGGTTATCGTTTGAGTCTCGAACGGTTCGAACCTATTGTGCGATTTTAGGGTTTCATATGTTCGGACCGTTGGATCCAGCTGAAACTCACGTATGTGGTACCATATATTTATAGGATCGTTTAGGATTCGACGGATCGTGGATCGGAGTCCCGGATACTCCGAAATCGCAAACCCTAGGTCAAACTATGATTTTAATTAGTTAGTTCAATTTTTTAATGACATTGTATGTGCTACATTGGATTAATGAAATTGTGCAGATGTCAGACTTGATTAGACGTCGTAGGGCGGTGACGGCTACACCGAGTTCGGAGCCCCCGGCTCAGCCGGTATCAGCTGCCACTGCTCCAGCACTGATGGAGCAGGACCACGTGCTAGCTGGTCCAGGGGGATCCCAGGTGGCTGCATCATCATCTTCTTCGGTGGTGCAGCCTCTTAGCGCTAGGCGGCGACACCGGCCCGCTACCACCACCGACACCACATCGACTGACTGTACTGGTGCCTCGGGGGCACCTCCAGGTAATACCCTTCCACTTTCATTTTTTTGTTTTTAACATTTTTTTAATTGAGAATTTTATGGTTCAATTTGATTGTATATGTAACAATCTTGTCATACCCCTTTGCAGCCAAGAGGAACACCCGAGGGCCGTGTCGGCAGCTGAAGACGGCGAAGGTCACCCGGGTGACCAACAATCGTATCAGCATCAGATATGACGAGCGCCATCGGGCTGCACCGACGGCGGACTTGCATAGCTCCTTGGCCCACGACATTGGCCACGTCGTTCGGACCCATTGCCCGATGCAATGGAAGTCTTGGAAGGTCATGCCTGACGAGATCAAGATGCAAGTTCGCGGCCAGTTGTCGGTATGTTTCCTATCTTTTAATTATTTTTCTTTCAAACTTTATATATTTCTATTACTTAATGTATGTAATCAATTTATTGCAGACGAACTACGACTTAAAGGACATCAACGAGGAGACCTTGGCGTACGTCAACAGACTATTCGATGAGAGGTACAAGCAGTGGAAGAGCGACTTGCACCACCATTTTCAGGCGTTTGATGATCCGCAAGTCGCTCTTCAGGAGGGTTGCCCGAAGGAGCTTGAGGGGCGGGAGGATAGTTGGGCGTGGCTCTGCGCTCATTTTCAGGTGCCCGATTTGTTGAGGGGCGGGAGGATAGTTGGTCGCACGCGTCTTTGGATTAGCCGGCGTGTTGACAGACCCCGTACGTGGCCGGGTGCGTCCCGACGTATGAGTGGGAGATATGACGGTATGATGGCTGGTGAGAATGAAGCCAGGCCCAGTGTGAGGTCGCACGCGTCTTTGGATTAGCCGGCGTGTTGACAGACCCCGTACGTGACCGGGTGCGTCCCGACGTATGAGTGGGAGATATGATGGTATGATGGCTGGTGAGAATGTAGCCAGGCCCAGTGTGAGGTCGCACGCGTCTTTGGATTAGCCGGCGTGTTGACAGACCCCGTACGTGGCCGGGTGCGTCCCGACGTATGAGTGGGAGATATGACAGTATGATGGCTGGTGAGAATGTAGCCAGGCCCAGTGTGAGGTCGCACGCGTCTTTGGATTAGCCGGCGTGTTGACAGACCCCGTACGTGGCCGGGTGCGTCCCGACGTATGAAGGGAGATGTGATTATGTTTAGTGTGTTGTGATGGATAAACCCGAGAATGTATGAATTTATATGAAGGTAATGGTTTATTTGATATTAGGAGCCAGGATTGATAGGAAAGAGCTACGTGTGGCTTGATCCCTTAGTAGGGTACGTAGGCAGCCTGGGATAGCGCCTAGGTGCAGCCACGACTTAGACACCACTTAGGTGGTTTTATCGAGTATGATGCGGACCTCGTGGTTGGTCTCGAAACTTGGTTGAATTGAGGCTTGTCCGATGGACTGAGTGAGTGAAGGTGTGTATGGATGGATTTTGAATTGGTTATATGCATGGGTGATGCATTAAGTTATTTTGAAAGCAGTGTGAGTAGTTCTATTAGAATCATTGGAAGGCCGGAGGCCATTTATGTAAACTGCATGAGATTATATTGTGCGTGCTGCTGGTTGGGTTATAAAATGTGTTTTATGCAGGTGGAAATTTTGGGAAATGTTCAATTTACAGGGGAGATTCTGCCGAAATTTTGGCAGAAAGTCTCGTGCCCTAAATCCTCTCTGGTAAAAGAGGACATAGTTTTAAGGAGTGAACCCGGCGTGGGTGTGATGCCGGGGTCTCCGCAAGGTTCGTCTTGGGTTCTGGGAAATTCGGGGCAGGTCCTGTTAATCATCCCCTCTTTTACCAAAAACCCCAAAAAAAAAAAAAAAAAAAAAAAAAAAAAAAAAAAAAAAAAAAAAAAAAAAAAAAAAAAAAAAAAAAAAAAAAAAAAAAAAAAAAAAAAAAAAAAAAAAAAAAAAAAAAAAAAAAAAAAAAAAAAAAAAAAAAAAAAAAAAAAAAAAAAAAAAAAAAAAAAAAAAAAAAAAAAAAAAAAAAAAAAAAAAAAAAAAAAAAAAAAAAAAAAAAAAAAAAAAAAAAAAAAAAAAAAAAAAAAAAAAAAAAAAAAAAAAAAAAAAAAAAAAAAAAAAAAAAAAAAAAAAAAAAAAAAAAAAAAAAAAAAAAAAAAAAAAAAAAAAAAAAAAAAAAAAAAAAAAAAAAAAAAAAAAAAAAAAAAAAAAAAAAAAAAAAAAAAAAAAAAAAAAATATCTCAGTCTCCGCATCCTTCTAATGTTAGTCCTGAAAAGCTCGGCTCGCGCTCTTGCGCAAAAAAAAAATCCTCCTAAAAGTGAGGGGTCCCGTCCTCCTTTTTTTATTCCGTTGCCTTGGTTTTTTTTTTTACTTTCCTGTGAGAAGCAACAAAAACAGCAAAAAAGATGAAAGAGAAATACGGCAAAAGAAGGCAAAAAAAGGCAAAAAAAAAAAACAGAAAAAAAAGGGGCCCTCTGGAAAGCATAAGTGCAAAAAAACGATTTTTTTTATTAATTTTTGAGATAATTCAAAAAAAAAAAAAAACACAAAAAAAAAACCAAAACCAATTACTCTCTCTCTTTAACTTACTTTTTCGTGTACATGACCACTAGTGTAGTTGTTTGGAGTAATTGCCCCCCCAAATAAGGTTTGGGTTCGAATTCTAGTTTCCGATGTAGAAAATGTGTATTATTCCACACTCCTCCCTCATGCGGGATCACTTTTTAGGGGTGCATGTGCAACCACAATCTCAGTCACTCACTTTTTTTTTCTTTTTTTTTTTTTCTTTTTTTTTTTTTTTTCATATTTTGTTTGATATTGGGGTTTTTGTTTCATTGATTTCGCTTGATTGCCCACCACGATATTGTCCCACCTGTGGCCTCAATGTTATTCCATTTATTATATTATACTTTCATTTTGTTAAGTTTCAATGTGGGGACTCATGTATTCTTCAACACTCCTAACCACTTAAGCTACAAATCTCTGCTATCAATTTAGTCACTCATAAAAGAATTTTGCCAACTTTGTCACTCTATATACCCAAAGTTTACAATTTATAGAAAAGCCGTTATTTTTAGTTAAGTAGCTCATGTGCTATTGTAACGTTGGGTTTATACCGTAACAGTTTGACTATATTATTTTCTCTTAGTGACCAAATTGAAATTATGTGTTAAACCCAGTGACCCAAAATGATCTTTAACTGTTATTGACCAATTTGACTACCCAGTGATAAAAAAAGATATTAACCCCGTAATCTAATATGTATACACGACATTGTATTGTATATTGTTGGCACGTCCAAGGCATTATATTTATTAGATATGTAGGATATGCATATACTTCTCTAACTACATGCATTTAAACAATCGGATTGCGAATGTACTTACAGATTTGTTCCTCAATACGTCTTTTACATCTTCATGATGCCACAATCTACTACGTTCTCCAGTGATGTTAGAGGATTGTGCACGTACAATTTCTCTGCCCATGTCTCGAACCAAATCATGCATCATCAACTTGTTATCTTCACCAACAGTTAAGAGGCTCTCTTCAAGGAGGACACGCAGTCCTATTACCGGAGAAAAGCAACGACGGTCCAATATTTGCATGACATAGTTCATGTCCATTCCAATGAAGAAACATGATATATCAAGGAATGCGTCCCTCATGTAATTATCAGGTAGCCCATCATAGCTTAATTTAAGCTTTTCGTGAATTTCCTTAGGAGGAAGTGTTTTCCATTTATCCAATGCATTTCTCCATTCTATTGTGCTTCTTTTGTATAGAGAAGAGCCTAAAACTTTCAGTGCTAGTGGCAAACCACCACAGTAACCAACAACTTCTCTTGAGAGTTCAAGATATCCTTCGTCAGGACAATGACTTTTAAAAGCATGCCAACTAAGTAGCTCAAGAGCTTCTACTTCATTCATTGCTTTAAGGCAACATATCTTATCCACTTCAATTATCTCTAGCAAATGTTTGTTTCTTGTTGTTATGACATTCTACTTCCTGGACCAAACGAGTCATGTTCAATAGCTAATGCCTTTAGTTGGTCTGCATGACAGATATCATCAAGTATAACAAGTACCTTTCTTGTTGGAAGTCTTTTCTTTATCTCATACATCCTGTCATCCATACTACTTCCCTCTACCTTGGTCAGTTTGAAGATATCAAAGAGAAGTTGTTCTTGAAGATCAACCAGTTTCCTTTCCCTCATGTTTTGAATGAAACTTTTAGCATCAAAACTAGGATGATATTTGTTGAAAATAGCTTCTGCAACTGTTGTTTTACCCATTCCGCCCATACCCCAAATTCCAATTATGCGAACATCATTTGATCCTCCAACATATAAATGAGTACTAATATCTTGCAAGCGAGATTCTATTCCAACTTGTTTGGTGGCTATGCCTAAGCATGTGCTCTTCAATTTTCTATTGATCTCGTCAATAATTTTCCTGATAAACACTCCTTCATACCTGGTAGATAAACTCAAAATTGAGCAAAAGTAAGATTATATTAAATTGAACTAATATCTTACTTATTATGACTACAGAGCTTGGGAATATTGAATATATAGTTGAACATTTATTCAGAAATTGATGAACCAAATTTTAAAATCCTACTAAAATTTTGTAAACTTCTGAAAACATTACTAGAAATATATATAATTGCGGTGTACTATGTTGATCCTGATCCATGTGAATCGATCAGAGTTTCTAAGCTCTGCGTTACACTGAAAAACCAAAGATGGGTCGGGAATAACATTAACAAAATGAAGGAAAAAACAAAGAAATGGAAATAAGTAATTACCCATTAATCTTGCTAAAAACCAGGCCGTCCAGACCCGCAGCTTCAGTTAGAGACTTTCTCCACGACTGTATCTTTTCTTCCTTATCTTTAATTCCATGGAAGCGCACTTCATGTGTCTGAAATGCTTCTGCAAAACTACCAGTTTGTTTCCTGACATCTTCAGCATCAACATCGTAGAAAATTGGCAAAACCATTTGCCCCAGTGTTCTTCTACACTCCATGATCTTCTCCAGCTCCTCAAGACACCATATGGAATACCCATACCACCTTGAGAAGATGATGACAGAGATCCTGGACCGCTCGATTATTTGCTTGAGTTCGTCTGGTATAATTTCTCCTCCTCTTATTTCATTCTCGTCAATAAACACGTCGACTCTGGCAAGTTTTAACCTCCAGTAGAGGTGATCCGTGAAGCTCTTGCGTGTGTCTTCACCTCTAAAGCTCAAGAATACATCGTACATCTCATCGTCTAAGGAGCAGGATGAAGAGGATGAAAAGGTTGGAGAGGAGGCTTCAACGGCTGTACTGGTATCCATTACTTGTTCCTGCAGACTCGTCTGCTGAGCAAGTTTTTCTTCTGATTAGTTTTCTAGAAAAAGGTTTTGCGTTAGAGGGCTAGATCTGAGTGTTCATTTATGATGTAGCCCCCACAGCTGATGTGGCCTCAGATTAGTTATCATAAGGATAAACGGCCAAATACCCCCCTAAAATATCCCGTTTGTCAAAATCTTCACTATGAATTATTTTTTCAGTCAATTTAACCCTCATGCTATTTTAAATGGTCAATTTAGCACATGTCGTCAAGTTTTTAGACTTTCATCTAATTTTTTGTTAATTAAGGGTAATTTGTCATTTTACAAAGACAATACCAAAAAATAACAAAGAAAATGTAAAATCATGATTTCTTCTCTCTATCTTTCTTTATTCTTTTTCCTTTTCCGTCTACTTCCTCTCTCTCTCTCTCTCTCTCTCTCTCTCTCTCATTTTTCCTTATTCTTCTCTCCCTCTCAATTTCTTTCAATTCAAAGTAGGCGTTGTCTTCTCTCTCTCTCTCTCTCTCTCTCTCTCATATTTTTCCTTCTTATTCTTCTCTCCCTCTCACTTCTTTCAAGAATTTGATTCGTCTCTCTCTCTCTCTCACACAACATTTTTCCTTCTTATTCTTCTCTCCCTCTCAATTTCTTTCAAGAATCGGATTCAAAGTAGGTGTTGTCTTCTCTCTCTCTCTCTCTCATATTTTTCCTTCTATTCTTCTCTCCCTCTCACTTTCTTTCAAGAATCTGATTCAAAGTAGGCGTTGTCTTCGAACAAAAGCCTCAAGAATTTTTTCATGAGTGCTGGAAGCAAGTGGCCTTACATGAGGACTTGATTTCCAAGTCAGTTCCTAACTAGAAAGGTAACTAAAACTAAGTTTCCTAAAACTTCCAGGAAACTGCACGTGATTCTCTATGCGATTGAGATTTGAACACCTTCTTGACCTTTGAAAATTGTGTACGACCACTCTTTGGAAAGCTCTGAATGTCTTCTTTTCAGCCATATGTCGTGTGTCTCAATCCGATGTCGTATGAGTGAGTTATGACCAGAAAACCCCTGCTGACTCAGTATTCTTCGGGAATTAGTTTAGGCTGATTTGTCTAATTTAAAATGGGCACCTTAGCAGTTTTCAAAAATTATGAAAATATTAATGGACAAACTTCAAGATGATATCTTCCATCTCTAATTGGAATCATGTCAAACTATATTATGAGGAATATTTGGTACATTTCGTGACTTATTAGCTGAAAAACCAGAAAATAACCAAAATCAGCATCTTTAGTCCAAATTAATTCACAAAACTAAGTAAAAAGGATATAGAATCATGTGAGATTATGAACATATCAGGGGTATTTCCACATTTTCATATCATCTGTGTAAAACACAAACGTCTATCAAGAACAATCCATGGATGCCGCCAGTACAGCCCTTGAAGCCTCCTCTTCATCCTCACCCTCCTCCTCCCCAGGACATTGGAAATACAACGTGTTCTTGAGCTTCAGAGGTGAAGACACACGCAGGACCTTCACAGACCACCTCTATTGTACATTAAAAGACAACGGGGTCACCGCCTATATTGATGAGAACGAACTACCAAGAGGCGAAAATATATCAGAAGAACTAAAGCAAGCAATCGAACAGTCTAGGATCTTGTCATCGTCTTCTCAAACAGGTATGCGGATTCCACATGGTGTCTTGAGGAGCTGGAGAAGATCATGGAGTGTAGAAGAAGACTTGGGCAAATGGTTTTGCCAATTTTCTATGATGTTGATCCTACGCATGTCAGGAAACAAACTGGTGGTTTTGCAGAAGCATTCCAAAAAACAAGAAGGGAACTTCTCTGAAGGTAAAGATAAGATACAGAGGGGGAGATCTGCTGGTCTGAAGCTGCAAATTTGGCTGGCGGGAACCTTAAAAACAATATTGATGGATAATTACGCAAATATTTAATTGATCTACGTTTTTATTTTTTATTTTTTGTCGAAAGCAGATCTACTTTTTTACCCTGATTCCACACCTGATCAATAAATTATTCAAGTGCAAGTCTAAACACCCTGACTAATATATTCAAATCTTATTCAGTCTCAAAATGTGTTGTTCAGTTTAATCCTGCACTCAATAATAAATCTTGCATTTGTTTAATTTTCACTTTGAACTGCTTGTAACCAAAAAATTTGAACTGGCAGGTATGAAGGAAGGTTTGTAGAGAAAATTGTAGCCGACATCACCAGAAAACTGAACAGAACATTCTTACACGTAGCAACCAACCAAATTGGAATAGAATCCCGAGTCCAAGAAGTTGATAGATTAGATGATGTTCGCATTATTGGCATTTGGGTCATGATCGGAACAAGTAAGACATGCAAAAGCCATTTTCAAAAAATTATTATCTGTGCAATCAGACGAAGTAACAATATTAAGGCTTAATTATGTGCATGCCCTCTGTGCTTATCAACTTATCTCAGATTACCACCTGTGGTGGAAAACGTCTCAAAGTACCCCCCAACGTGCAAAAAACTGTCTCACGTTACCCTTTCCGTCAGTTTTTTTGAAGTTCCGTTACGAATGTTACTGTTCATCTCCCCCAAAATTCCAGAACAGTAGCCCCTCCCCTTTGTTACTGTTCATCGCTTATTTACCCTCCAAAACTCAGAAATTTCTCCTAACCAACACAACTAGCAGCAAGAACAACTCGAGAGGTTGAAAAATCATACCTGGATCGAAGAAAATGGTGCTCGGAATCGCCCGAACGAGCAATGGAGATTTTGGGTAAAAACCGGCCAATTTCTTGCTTTTTTCGGTGATCCAGACGACGGTTGGCAGCGGCTGAGATGTGAGGGTGGTAGAGGACAACGTGCTGGTTCTTTTGATATCCATGTCGTCGCTTGGGGTGGCCGGAGGAGGCGATGGCAGCCCAAAAAACTGGTGCGATGAACAGTAACAAATGGGAGGAGTTGCTGTTCTGGAATTTTGGGGGAGATGAACAGTAACGTTCGTAACGGAACTTCAAAAAAACTAACGGAAAGGGTAACGTGAGACAGTTTTTTGCACGTTGGGGGGTACTTTGAGACGTTTTCCACCACAGGTGGTAATCTGAGATAAGTTGGAAAGCACAGGGGGCATGTACATAATTAAGCCCAATATTAATGGATACCTGTATAGTGGATGAAGCCTCCTCTCCATCTTCTTCATCCTGCTCCTCAAATGATGAGATGTACGATGTGTTCTTGAGCTTTAGCGGCGTAGACACACGCAAGACCTTCACAGACCACCTCTACTGGACATTAAAAGACGCCAGAGTCCACGTCTTTATTGCTGAGAATAAACTAAGAGGTGCAGAACTGAGGCAAGCAATTGAACAGTCCAGAATCGCTGTCATCATCTTTTCAAGGGGGTATGCATTTTCCAAAGGGTGTCTTGAGGAGCTGGAGAAGATCATGGAGTGTAGAACAACACTGGGGCAGATGGTTTTGCCAATTTTCTACCATGTTGATCCTAAAGACGTTGGGAAACAAACTGTTAATTTTCCAGTGCGCTACCATGGAGTTAAAGATTGGGAAGAAATGATGCAGTCTCGGAGAAAGTCTCTAATTGAAGCTGCAAATTTGTCCGGCCTTGTTTATACGAAGAGTGATGGGTAACTACATACTTATTTCCATCTCTTTGTTTTTTCTGTTCTTCTTTTTCTTAATGATTTTTCCCGACCTATTTTTTGCATACCACCACCATGCATTGTTTCAAGGCTTAATTATGTACATGCCCCCTGTGCTTTTACGTTTTTCTCAGATTACCACATGTGGTGGAAAACGTCTCAAAGTACCCCCCCAACGTATAAATAACCGTCTCAATTTACCCCATCCGTCAAATTTTTTGACGGTCCGTTACGAACAGTGAGCCCCACTTCGTTTTAACCTTTAAGCTGTTCGAATAAGGTTTTCTCAGTTTGTAACAAAGGGGAAATTGGGTTTAGGGTTCATTGGAGAAGAGGGTTGTTGTCAAAATCTGAGGGTTCCTTCGATTTTGGGAGAAATTGGAGAAGAAATCATTCTTTGTAAAACTCTGAGGTGGAGTTTGAAATTGGAAGATTGTGGAGTAGAAGATTTGGGATGATGGAAACAGGAGAGAAGCAAGGAGAAGGAGGGCATGGCCAATGGTGTCATTGTGGGAAGTTAGCACGGATGCAGACTTCTTGGACCAGTTCAAACCCAGGGCGAAGATTTCTAGTCTGCCCAAAGTCAAAGGTAAGCATGTTTAAGATAAAATTTTCAGTCATTATTTTGGGCATCACAAATTGATAGAGTTGTTAGTGATGAAATTGTCAGTGATTGATGAAATTTTCAGTCATTTTACCACCCAAATTTTCAGTCATTGTTCTTGGTTGATACAGGGAAGGGGAGAAAAAGGATGTAGGTTTTTTCAGTGGTTTGATGCAGAAATGTGTGAGCGTTCAAAATCGTTGATACCTGGTTTGCTGAGGAAGATTGATAGGGTGGAGAAGGAAAATGCAAATATTCGAGCAAAGTCAAAAATATTGTGGGCTGCTATGTTGCTTTCGTGGTTGGTGGTGTTTGCCATGAAGATGAATTAGGCACTTTGGCAGTAGTTCATTGGGCATTGTAATTTGATACCTGATGTTAATGTAATGTAAGGCATTTTGGCAGTAGTTAAGCATTTTGGCAGTAGTTAAGCACTTTGGCAGTAGTTTAATGGGCAATTTAATTTGAGAACAAATGCTAATCTAATGTAAGACACTTTGGCAGTGTAATGTAATGTCATTTGGTGTAATGTAATGTAATGCTAGTTAAGTTTACTGGATATGTAATTTGTTTAGGGGTTACAAATGGTGACATGAATGGTAAGCTGTTTAGAGGTTACAAATGGTGACATGAATGTAATGCTAGTTAGTTAAGTAATGTAATGCTAGTTAAGTTTGATATGTGATATGAATGGTAAATTGAATGGTAATTTCTTGATGAAATGTAGAAGAAGATAACCAAAATTCAGTTTTCCCTAAAAAAGCAGGACCTGCCTTCTTTGCCAAAGTTTATGGTGGATATGTAGCTTTTGGTAACATGCCAAAGTTTACTGGAATCTGGAAAGCAAGAGGCAAAGCCCAAAACTAGCAAAAGCACCTGTCATTATAAGCACAAACCAAAACAGAAAAGGTTCCAAAACAGAACACAAACCAAAACAGGTTCCAACCATAACAGTCTTATGAATATATGCACAAACCAAAACAGGTTCCAAAACAGATTCCAACCATAACAACCTTAGGAAATATGCACAAACCAAAATAGGTTCCAAAATTGGTTCCAACCATAACATACATTAAATATTCAGGTTCCAAAACAGGTCCAACCATAACATACATCAAATATTCAAACCATAACATACATCAAATACTTAGGTTCCAAAACAGGTCCAACCATAACAGGTTCCAAACATAACAACCAACAACCATTAAAGTCTTCCACAACATTCAAGGATGAAAAAAAGGATCTTTGACAAAATGGCTCCTCTGTTGATCTTTCATCCTCTTCCGACGTTGTTGTACTCGAGATAATTTGGCAGGTTCAGGTGTTTGAGATGGCTGGGATTGAAAAGCATCAGCTGCTTCAGATGGTTGGGATAGAGAAGCAGCAGCTACTTGAGATGCCTGGGATTGAGAAGGCCCTTGGGAAGTGCTTGACTGTTTCCTTTGCCTTAATTGCATACTCTGTTGTCCGCCACTTTGGTCTCCACCATCTCTCCTTCTTACCTAAAACAAATAATAATTAGAAGTTTCCATGATATAAAATTTTGATGAGTGAAAACATAGTTGAAACTGTGGCACTTACTGCAAGTTTGTCCTTGGCAATGTTCCTCTTCCTAGTAGGCTTTATGTTGGGATTTCTAGGTTCCTAATAACCAAAGTCATCAAGTCAGAAACCAAATCAAATACATTTAAATGTAAAGCAATAATTCTAAAAACCACATACCTTACAACTACTTCGATTATGCCCTTCTCCACCGCAATTGGCACACTTTAAAGGGATGCCATACCTAGGAAGCTTATATGGATTAGAAGGAAGTTTAGGTTCTTCAACAGCTTGTTTTCTTGTCTTCTTAGGCCTACCAGGCTGCTTGTGGTATTTCGGAGGGAGTAATGGAGGTAAATTAACCTTCATCCACTGATCTTGGCTAGTCATAGGCATAATCATTGGTTGATAGGCTCTCAAATAAGCCTCTTTCTTGTACACTGCATCACAAAAGTCCTCTGGATTCCCATGAAACCAACTTATTGCAGCACATGCATGCAAACATGGTATTCCATTCAAATCCCAAGCATGGCATGAACAAGAGTGGCCATTCAAATCAACAGCAAAGGTGCGGCCACTATGGTGCATTACTTCAAACTGATTCTGTCCAGCAGCCTTAGGAATGCACCACTGAGCTTTTGCTTTGTTTTTCTCTAATATCTTTCTAATTCTTGGCCCAACTTGTCCATGCCATTTCTCACAGAGAACCCTTCTTCCCGCCATCAACAACATTATATACAACCGAATTCTTTCTAGCATAGTCAGAATAGGCTTGTCTCGGGCATCCATTATGCTACGGTTGAATGCCTCACATAGATTGTTCATAAGCATGTCACACTTGGAATCACTCTTGAAATATGCCCTACTCCAATGCCTAGGATCTTTCTCCATGAGCCAATCATGTGCAGGTTTAGACAACTGCAACATCTTTGTCATCTCTGCATGAAACCATGGCACTGTTGTGGCTCTAGCAATTGCTTCCATTTGATGTTTCAAGGCAAGACCTCTATGTTCCAAATAGAAGTTCCCATATAGATGTTTCAAACAATGTCTATGCTCTGCCTGAGGGAATAGAGCATCCACAGCATCTATTAACCCTTTTTGTTTGTCAGTCATAAATACATAACCATGGCTATTCGTAATATTGAGATCACCACTCAATAATTCTAAAAACCACAGCCATGTTGAATTGCTCTCAATCTCTACATATGCATAGGCAAGTGGAAACATTCCGTTGTTTGCATCAACTCCCATTGCAGAAAGCACTTGCCCAGGGTGAGGCCCTTTGACATGACACCCATCCAAGCAAACCACAGGCCTACAACCATCTAAAAACCCCTTCTTGCAGGCTGCAAGACAGATGTAAATTCTTTGAAACCGTGGCCTATCACCTTCCATTTCAGATTTAATGATAACTGTACTTCCCACATTCCTGGTTCTTAACTCATGACAATATTCCCACAATACTTCATATTGTTTGCTGTAAGACCCCTCTACAATGTCAACTGCCATGGCTCTTGCTCTGTACACAGTTGCTCTAGATGGTCTGTAACCATAGTCTTGGTGAACTTGCTCTACAAAAGAAGAAGCAGTCCAATTTGGATTGAGCCTTAACTGCCCAGAATATCTTTCAGCCAACCAGCCAGCAGTAGCATGTATATTTTTAGTCCCCTTGCTACAAACATGTGTAGGATTAAAGGTTTTCACCTGCAGGTAAGTGCTACCACTAACACTTGAAGCATAGATAACAAAAGGACAACCCTCTTCACATACTGCTCTTATTTTGTTACGGTCATTATGCATAAAAATCAACTCCCTTCCACAATTAATGGAGTATATCCTCACAGCTTTTCTAAACAACTCGGCAGTTGCAAACCTTAAACCTATTTTGAAACTTGGGCTTCCCATATCAATTTCAGGTCTGAAATCTTCACCTTTTGGCATCCTATTCTTCTTCCTTCTTACTTCACCCACTGCATCATCTTCACTTTGTGAACTATTTGGGCAGGTAAGTGTAGGTGACTCTTCTCCATTGTCTGACTCATCATTTTGCTCTGCATTAGGATCATTGTCAAAAATACTATGATCCACATAACCTTCAAACCACTTATCATCATTCTTCAATAATTCAATCTCTTCATCACTCTGTGCATAGTCACTGTCTTCAAAGTCTGGATCACTGCTATCATCATTCTCAGAACAAGAATATTCTTTATCACTGCTATCATTCCCCACTTGGCTTGAAGTTAAGCTCACTACCTTCAAGTACAAAACTACAACCCTGCTATTGCTTTTAGGTACCATGCTCATACAAGCTAAAAGTGTACTATCAGATATTATTTGAATGAGTCTGCTAGTTCCAAACTCTTCACCATAAAAACTCACATCATACCCATCGTCATATCCCAAATCTTTAGCCATTCCAAATAGCTCTAACATGGACATATAGTCAACCTCACAGTAATCAAACCAACTGACTTCACCACCTAAATAAGACCACTGACTGTCCTTTCTATTTTCACTAGTTTACCTCCATGGAAAAACTTAAATGTGACAACCTCATCAGCATCTTTATCTGCGTAACAGGAACATTCACTTAACAAATGGAAAAAAACACACAAAGAGAAAAGAAGGACCACACAAAGGATAATACAAGGAACACCCAAGGACCACATAAGGTATATTGGGGCCAGCACAGAATAAAAAAATATATGAAAGAACAAAAAAATTTCTAGCAACACACCACACTAGGAACATGCAAGGACCACACAATGATCACACCAGAACCAGCAGAGTCAAAAAGTATACAAAAAACAAAAACAAAATCCTAACAACAGTTCAATGCACATGCCAAAATCAAGAAAATCGAGTAACAATGGGTCCACTTACATATGGGTTGACAACCTCCAGATTCTCTAAGCACCACCATCTTCGCACCTTCTAGCCTTAAAGTCTAACGCCAACGAATGATTTCTTCTCCAATTTCTCCCAAAATCGAAGGAACCCTCAGATTTTGACAACAACCCTCTCTTCTCCAATGAACCCTAAACCCAATTTCCCCTTTGTTACAAACTGAGAAACCCTTATTCGAACAGCTTAAAGGTTAAAACGAAGTGGGGCCCACTATTCGTAACGGACCGTCAAAAATTTGACGGATGGGGTAAATTGAGACGGTTATTTATACGTTGGGGGGTACTTTGAGACGTTTTCCACCACATGTGGTAATCTGAGAAAAACGTAAAAGCACAGGGGGCATGTACATGATTAAGCCTTGTTTCAATTCAATGATACCTTTTTACAATATTTAAGTGCCAAAATCATCTTTGGTTTTTATCACTATATTATTTATATTTAAATATATTTCTGTTAGTGTTTTCAGAAGTTTACAAAATCTTAGTGGGATTCTGAGATTTTGATTCAGCAATTTTGGTTAAGTGTTGAACTAATACATTCAAATCTTATTCAATCCCAACTCTCTAGTCATAATGAACAAGATACTAGTTCAATTTAATCTTGCAGCGGCCTAATAAATCTACTTTTGACGAGATCAGGTATGAAGGAATGTTTATCAGAAAAATTGTTGACGAGATCACCAGAAAACTGAAGAGCACATGGGTAGACGTAGTCACCGAACAAGTAGAATTAGATTCAAGCATGCAAGAAATCAGTAATGATTTAAAGGTTCATGTTGGAAAAGATTCTCGATGGCAAGAAATTAGTACTCGTTTAGATATTGGAGGCCCAAAAGATGCTCACATTCAACACCAAGGCCCACGGCCCACTGCTTTCAAAGTCAACAAAGCGTCGGTCAAGATAAAGAAGCGACCACCACATGCAGTTGTGAAACGCCGCCGGACTGTGGTCATCGAAGCCAATCCTAGTGAGTTCAGGTCCTTAGTCCAACGCTTTACCAGCACTTCCTCTTCACCGTCCTCCGGTGATGGCGGCCTCTCACCAGCCGCAAGACTCGCCTCCATCAACAAAACAAGCCTTAATTCTTCTTCCACTTCAGATCACAAGAAGCCTTTGATGCCCACCATTTCTTCTCATGATCGACGAAGACTTCATGGGAAGTATTTGTAATAATCTTGAAGATCTAGGAAGAGGAGGAGGAGGAGGAGGATCCCTGCAAATTGATGAAATGTGTCACTTTCCAGGCTCATTGTCTCCTGCCCCAGCCAGTTTGCCGCCTATCCCACATGGGTTTTTCTCTCATCAGCATGACGACACCCTTGTGCCATCTCCAACTGGAGCAGGCCAAAGCCAAAAATTGAGTTCTAGCGCAGATTGTTTACCGGCCAGGCCAAAATTTCCCCCAAGCCCAAGATAAAGCGGAATATAGCCCGAGATTCCAGTCGCACTCAAAATGGTGGAGCCGACTATCCGATGCTGAGCGAGCAGCCAACGTGAAAATGAAGCCCGAGATGGACCCCAGCCGTTAGCCACTGTTGAAGGCAGCTGATGCCACGTGTAAGCTATCCAACAGCTTGATTGGAATTGCTTTTTAATTTTTTCAATTAAACTGCAAACGTGACTATATATCCAACGGCTGTAGTGCAATCTCATTGATTTATTTTCATATTTGTCAGGGAATTGGCAATCTCATTGATTTCTTCTCTATGCACAAAAAACACAAGCGAATGGAATTGCATTGGATAAATTGAAAAGCTATGTTTTTATTTCTATGGGAAGGCCTAGTAGATTGTGTTTTCGGTAAAGTTTTTATTTCTAGGTAAAAAGGACAAATTCTCCCCCCCCCCCCCCCCCTCCTCTTCTCTATCTGCATTTTCATATTTTAACTGGTTACTGTTCTGATTCTACCTTTCCTTCGTGAAATTGCAGAAAGAAGTTAACGAGACTGGACGTAAATGCTAACGGACCTCTTATGATTAAGGACTGTGTTGACCGGAATATAATTAATAAGAGCGCGTGGTGAGTAGTATGATGTTAATAGATAGAGACCAGTGATAAGTTGAAGCTTTCTTCTACGGGTCTGAACTGAACTGCTTAATCATTGTTCCTGGCACCAAGAGTAACTGCAGTATCAACACATATTTTAATCATGTCCCATGGTTGTGTGGTTCTACTTGATACTTCATCTGATCTACTTTCTTATTTCCTTGAGGGGAATTTGAATCTTTGACTTCACTTTTTGGGATCAAAGGGTCCCAATCCAGCTGTTATGACCCTGTGTTACAAGGAGCACTATTTATGTTTCAGGAGATCTAGATATAGGCGGATGAGTTTCCCTTGTGACTCTGTCTATTTGAGGAGGGTTTGATATGACAGGAAGGACAAGGGGAACCGTGACGAAAGTGAGAGGGTTGAGAGAAACCTACAAGCCTAGTTGTCTATACGGAAGAAGTACCCTACCATGAAATCTCTGTTGAGTGTTTACATGGATCAAAATATATCAGTAAGTATAATATGCTTCAACCTGCCTGAAATATAAATGAACATTTGTTGATTGATCTGACACTGTCTTCATTAGACCCATACGCACTTCAATTTAGACGCATTTGGTTTCCCAGGAAGAAGTGAACGGATTTATGGCTATTGACAAGTCACAGATACATATTATCTTGGAATACAGTTTTCTAGAACGTTTTGCTCATCAACCTAATGGGATGATATTTGACAAGTTTTGGGACCATTTTATAAATTTACATCAGTTCAGTTGATTGCTGCTATGGTCTGCAACGGCCTCCATTTTGATGATGAATTCTTTCTGAACTGCAGTGCTAACATCTAGTTTCCTTAGGTGTCTAAACCCTTTTTGTATTTTTCCGATATTAAATATATATTATAATGTTTCTCTTTTGCCCTTTTCATTTTCCATGGAAACTGGATGGAAAACTTAATAAGTTAAAAGCGTGAACATACTGTAGGTCCTGTAGGAATCTCAAGGGCTTATTTTGGAGATGTGATCGAGGAGCAGCATCTACAGGTCTCTCTCTCGAGGAGTACTTGGGGCCCGCTTGATTAGTTTAGGATTTAGGTTATACTAGCAAAAGGTGCCCGCGGTGCTGCAGGTTTTAAAATTGTGTGAAATGTGTATAAAGCGATGAAAATAGACAGGGAACATCTCAACTACCCAATTGCCAAAACACTCTACCAACATGTTCAAATATTGTAATCATCTAAACCCATCATTACAACAACAAATTAACACCAACCAATTGTCAATTGATGCCTTTAACTAATTCCTATGCTCTATTAACAAAACTTAAAACAATTAATTGAAATTTCAGCCTAAAAACTCACCCCTTGCTTAACATAATTGAAAACACCAACCAAACCGCTCTAGGGGGGGGGGAGGTGGGGGAGAATAGAAAAATCGGAGAAGAAATTAACTTGAGTATTACGCATGCACAATATTTTCATTAAACCAAAGAATTAGCTTGCGCAAAATCATTTCAACATTGCTTTCATGATTCAATTACAAAGCATATGTTCTGATGTAAATTGTATTATATATTATAGGTTGTGTTACTGCAACGGGGGGAAAAAAGGAAATCATAAAGAAGCTGCATACAGAATTCAAATGAAAACCCAGTTGATAATATAGAAGGACATGCATTAAATTCCTGTTTTTCTTTTTTATTAAAAACTATTAATTTCAATAGCTAAAATATCCAAAAGTCTATAAGCTTGGGATTTTTATTTATTTATTTATTTTTATTTTTATTTTTATTTTTTGCAGACACAAAAAGAATCTCTTTCAGAAGATACAATCAATAAGGACCAGTTAACCATGAATTAAAAAAAATTAAAAATTAGATGGGAAAAAGAAAACTTATATGGTTAAACAGAAATAACCAACTGGTGAAATGGATCATCGCTATATGTTATAAAAGCAAGTTATTCCATGAGATTCAAAAAAAATATAAACATGAATGAATTGAGAATATAAAATAATTATTGACACGCATCTTATTACAATACTGTGAATGGCAACAAACCAACCAATATTATCACGCTAACTAAGCTGGTGATCCTGGGTTTAAATTCCTAACTGCAACCTTCCAATATAAGCTGAGGATTGAGGCTCACATTTGAGGAGTTAGATATATTCACCACGAGAGAATATTGAACTCAATCTTTGGGGGGTTTCTATACCCCAGATACCTTTTTCAAACTCCTTACATTTGTCAGTCATTAGACAAACTTTGGGGCAAAATGTTCATGTTAGGCGGTAAAGTAAGATTTTACACTCATATATCAAAACAAAATAGCACACTCATAAATACAAAGGTACAAACTTGGACTGAAATAACACACAAAGATGCATAATTTCACTCACACAACCGAACCAAATTCCCTCCACTTCCATTTATACCCCTCAAATTCACTAAAAGCAGAAAATTTAACAACTAAAGGAAATGACGTGATGGATAAAAGAGTGATATCGAAGAGGGAGAAGAAACATAACATTCAACAAATAGGCACAAAGTCTTACTTGCTCTCCAAAAAGGGAACGCAAGATAAGTACGAACAGAAAGAAAAAAAAATTCAGCCACCCAGAAAATCTATAACCACACGCAAATTCCCAATGGCTCCATTTATTTTTTCAGAATTGTTACAGGCTATAGTGCGGTGTGAGGCTCATTCTGCAAGCTCCTCATGGTACATAACCTTAACCATAAAGAATATTTCAAACTCTATGTCTGTATCAGCCAATTGGCACCAAGTCATATTCCAGCAACAAACTTCAACATTACTACTTCCTTCTTGTTTTGCAACTTCCATCAATGAAGCCCACTTCATAAAGCGGAAACCAAAACCACAGAACCATTTTCCACAAAAAACTCTACTTGTACATAAAAATAAGAAAAAATGAATAGTTTTCCCACTTGGGTACTGGCCATTTTGATCTTTCTCGTCTTTCAAATGACTAATTCAGAAGATCAAGATTTGAAGCAACTCAAGCAAGTGCTGGTGCAATTCATGGACAAACTTTCCCCACGAAATTCAGTGAAGATGTCAAATGGGGTTGGAACATGAGTTCAGACCCTTGCAAAGACCAATGGGAGGGTGTGACATGTGATAAACATAATTATGTGAAAAAAAATAGTTCTTGAAATGTCTGGAGTCATAAAAAGGGAATGCAAGATAAGTACGAACATGAAAAAATAAAAAAAATCAGCCACACAGAAAATCTATAACCATACGCAAACAGAAAATCTATAACATCTATTAGAATTAAAATTCTGACTGTGGTTGTCCTCCTGTTTTCAGATGGAGGCTCATGTGTGTTTTCTGAAGTGATTGTGCAGTTTCAAGTTCAATGTCAGTTATGATTTTTCAATATTCTGCAGGTGTGGGGTGCAGTCAAAATGAAAAACTTAGAAAGTGAGTTTCAGAAACCATACCTCAGTTCTTGGCGCCGATTTCGCAGCAAGGATTGAAAGCGCACGGGATTGGGATTTTGGAATGGGAGAAGGAGGAGGCGACGAGTTTGAAGCGGGGTGAGATGATCGATCGAAAACTGATTAGATCAAGACCAAACGAAATCCCAAAACACCAAGGTGGTCTTGGCAGCCATGGGAGGCTTGGAAATTGGAAGGTCTCTTGTGTTCTTGATGGGTTTCAGCTTCGAATCTGAGAGATTGAAGGAACAGTTTGCAAATGGGAAGGGGCAAAAAGTGAACATAAGGGAAAATTCAGTAAAGGGCAAAATCGGCAATTCACTATTCCTAAGCTACAGTCTAGGAACAGTGACTCTCGGATCAGTTAGTATATATAAAATTTATTGTCTTTTATTTGTCTTGCTTAGGGTTTTATGTTTTATGTTATGTGATAGATGATACTTACAGTCCTAGTGTTTTTAATTAGTAGCCGTGTTAGTTTTTAAAAAGAATAGGCTAAGATTTATTAGGTACTTTCATAATAAAGGCTAGCAGGCTAGGGGTGCTGTAATCCTAGTATAAATAGCCTATTAATTTTAAGAGACTTTGTATTCGAGTTTTATTAATTTAAAGAAATCATATTATAGAGTTCCTGTAAGAGTTGCTTTGCCCTAGAACTCTTATTTTCGTTCGAACTGCAATTTTATTGCTTTATTTCACTATTTTTCTGCTGTTCACCACTGGGAATTTTTTTCCTGCTGTGATTTGACGCTGTATAGCCAGGAGCTTAGTATCTTTTTCTGGTATTTGCTGAAACTGAAAGAAATTTTCCACCTTGAAATTCCGACTAGCTGATCTTGTTTTATTTATGAAACCAACTTGTTGATCTTGTCCACCATTAAAACAGTGAAAATCAAGTTCCACACACTTTGGGGTGTAGGATTGTTGTGATCCATTTAAATGGGCCCCCTTAGTGTTGCTATTCCCATGTCAATAACCATGAACATATTTGAGTGCTTCATGATCACAGAAAGTTCATGGTTCAGGAACTAACCTTATTGAAGACCATAAATGACAGAGGGTACTTCAACCTTCAGCTTTTCCAATCTTGCTATGCTCTAATACCACTTTATAGGATCCATGGACAGAGTTTCCCTTGCAAACTAGCTTGAAAGGGAAGACTGCCCCAAAGATGTCTGACTTTTCCAATGTGGGGAGATACTGGGATCTTGTCATTGTCACTATCATCCCCTCTTTTACCAAAAAAAAAAAAAAAAAAAAAAAAAAAAAAAAAAAAAAAAAAAAAAAAAAAAAAAAAAAAAAAAAAAAAAAAAAAAAAAAAAAAAAAAAAAAAAAAAAAAAAAAAAAAAAAAAAAAAAAAAAAAAAAAAAAAAAAAAAAAAAAAAAAAAAAAAAAAAAAAAAAAAAAAAAAAAAAAAAAAAAAAAAAAAAAAAAAAAAAAAAAAAAAAAAAAAAAAAAAAAAAAAAAAAAAAAAAAAAAAAAAAAAAAAAAAAAAAAAAAAAAAAAAAAAAAAAAAAAAAAAAAAAAAAAAAAAAAAAAAAAAAAAAAAAAAAAAAAAAAAAAAAAAAAAAAAAAAAAAAAAAAAAAAAAAAAAAAAAAAAAAAAAAAAAAAAAAAAAAAAAAAAAAAAAAAAAAGTTTCTGAGTTGTGATTATACCAGCATATTTCCCAACTTTCTAATTGCTTGACAATGATGTGCACAAATTTTAAGTTTTAACATGTGAAAGAAATAAATTGTTAAAAGATAAAGAAGGATGAAAAGTGTGGAAGAACTTTTGTTGACTGAAACGTTTTGAGGACCTTGACTATGGGTATTTCGAATTTATTCATCTGCGCCGCAACACACAAACCACTGCCCAGAAAAAATAATTGATTATGAAATAACTTCTCTGCTCAAATCGGATCGGAAGGCCAACTTGTGCATAATTTGTTGCTGGCCTGATCTGAACCGATAGCTCCTCCAGTATCAATTAATGGATGCCAGGAAAGCCTCATCTTCATCCTCACCATCCTCCCCATCAAAACGTTGGAAGTACGACGTGTTCTTGAGCTTCAGAGGTGAAGACACACGCAAGGGCTTCACAGGCCACCTCCACGCCGCATTATCTGATGCCGGAATCAGCACCTTTCTTGACGACAACGAGCTAGAAAGAGCGGAATTTATAAATACCCAACTGGAGCAGGCAATCGACAAGTCCATGATCTCCATAATTGTCTTCTCTAAGAGTTATGCCGATTCCAGTTGGTGTCTTGACGAGCTGGTGAAGATCATGGAGTGTAGAGAAAGATTGAGGCAACAGGTTATTCCATTGTTCTATAATGTTGATGCTTCAGATGTCCGGAAACAAACTGGTAGTTTTGCACAAGCATTTGAGAAACATGAAGCGGGCATCTGTGAAGGTAAACATGGGAAAGAAAAGGTAGAGCGGTGGAGGAATGCTCTCACTCAAGCTGCGGATTTGTGTGGGGAAGATCTTAAAAATGCTGATAATGGGGTAATTACTAATTTCTTGTTCCTTGGATTATCATCTCCTTACTTGACAACCATATGTTTTCTGTCCTTTTTGTTTTTGTTTTTCCAACTATGTTTTTAAATATGGTTTGGTTTGGTTTGATTTTAACAATCCATTCTTTCTTACTTGATAATGTAAGATCCATTTAACATTTGATGTTAAATCCCAATCGTAATTGTTAATTATATCTGAATTCTAAATTATTAAGTTAGGGATTCAATTTAACCTTGTAGTTTGTTCCACATCGAATGATTCGTAGTTCTGCTTCTGTGTTTAATTGCCAGGCATGAAGCAAAGTTTATCAAGAAAATTCTTGGGGAGGTTAATAAGCAGTTGTACAGCAAATACCAATTAGACATCGAACACCTTGTTGGAATTACTTCTCGGGTGAGCGATGTTGTTCGCATGATTGATATTGAAAATTCAGGTTCTAAGGATGTTGTTCGCATGATTGGTATTTTGGGGATGGGAGGCATTGGAAAAACAACCCTTGCCAAAACCATTTATAACAAATTTGATCCTATCTTTGAAGGTAGGAGTTTCCTTGCAAACGTGAGGGAAGTAATTGCACACCAACCCTTTAATGGTCTGGTTGGTTTGCAAGAACAACTTCTAAACGATATCTTGAAAAGCGAGGACATAAAGGTTGGCTCTGTTGCTAAAGGGATCGATATGATAAGAGAAAGACTTTGTTGTAAAAGAGCACTTGTCATAATTGACGATGCAGATGATCTACAGCAACTAAAAGCAATAGCTAGAGCTCGTGATTGGTTTGGTCCTGGAAGTAGAATTGTTATAACAACAAGAAATCAACATTTGCTAGACCAAGTTGGAGTGGATAGCACATATATGGCTCAAGCAATGGATGAGGAAGAAGCTCTAGAGCTCTTTAGTAGGAATGCCTTTGAAAGTGGTTGTCCTAATCAAGAATATCTTGACCTCTCAAAACGTGTAATTTGTTACTGTCGAGGCTTGCCACTAGCACTTGAAGTTGTAGGGTCTTTTCTGATTAAAAGATCCACAGCGGAGTGGGAAAATCATTTGGAGAAGTTGAAAAGAAGTCCTGATGCAGATATTCAAAAAATACTCAGAATAAGCTTTGACGGGCTACCTGATCATACAACGAGAGAGATATTCCTTGATATATCTTGTTTCTTTATAGGAATGGACAAGGACTATGTAACACAAATATTAGATGGATGTGGCTTTTATGCAACGATAGGAATCAGTGTCCTCATGGAACGGTGCCTTGTAACTGTTAGTGAGCAAAACAAGCTGATGATGCATGATTTGCTTCGAGACATGGGAAGAGAGATCATTCGTGAAAATGCCTGCGGTCCCCCTGAAAAATTTAATAGATTATGGAAACGTGAAGACGTAACAAATGTATTGAGCGATGAATCTGTAAGTACTTTCCCAATTAAATTTTAGAATGCATCATGCAAGAGAAGCATATGTATCCAATTGTCATTTCCATTTCTTTATTTATTTATTTATTTTGTTTAGTATAAGCGATCGTCTAAACCAAAAGTAAAAGATGGGGTTCTCATTCATCCACACTACCAAGGTGCCATATGAATTTGAACTTGAGACCTTAGTCTGCAAGTTTAGACCATCTTTCACTTCGCTAGACCCCGTTGCCATTTCTTATATTATATCATTAAGATCAAAGCTCAAATTGGCATAACCAACAAAAAATATGTGCTTTGATTGCAAACACAAACTATAGGGCGTAACATGGTCCAATACTATTAATTATACCTTTTGGTTCATACATACACGGATTTTCATGTTTGTAAATCATTTTTCTAACTCGGTATCTTTGTTAACAGGGAACTGAAGAAATTGAAGGAGTTACTCTAGATTTGGATCCAGATTTGCATCGAGGTTGGTTTAGAGATTTGACTAGATTCAGTGCACAAGCATTTACCAACATGAAAAAACTGAGGTTACTCCACCTCAGCAACGTAGAGCTCACTGGAGAGTACATAGATTTTCCCAAAAGGTTAATATGGTTGTGCTGGCATTATTTTCCTTTAGAGTCCATACCAGATGACTTTCCCATGCAACCAAAACTAGTTGCTTTAGACCTGCAATATAGCTACCTCAAAATAGTTTGGAAGGATTGCAAGGTATAATAATCTCAACCAAAACTAGTTGTTGTTGGTTCTTTCCTTCTGGTTCTATACATATATTATACGTCACCTTCTCTTCATTTTGGTTTAATTTCTGTATCAGAGACCCTCCTTTTGGATTTTAATTTCCATTCTAATTTTGTTTTTGTGCAACAGTTGCATCAGAATTTGAAAATCCTTAATCTCAGCCATTCCCCTTGGCTAACAAAATCACCAGACTTTTCAAAACTCCCAAATCTCGAGGAATTGGTATTGCAATTTTGTACTAGTTTGTCTGAGGTTCACTCATCCATCGGGGATCTTGGAAGACTTTCTTTGGTAAATCTTGAAGACTGCATAAGTCTAAGGGATCTCCCACTGAATTTCTATAAGTCCAAGTCTGTTGAAACTCTTCTACTTAATCGTTGTTCAAGTTTTGAAAAGTTGGCTGAGGGCTTAGGGGAACATGGTATCATTGACAACTCTGAAAGCGGATGAGACAGCCATAAGACAAATACCATCTTCCATATTAAAATTGAAGAAACTGAAAGTTGTATCTTTATGTGATGTGGACTCTCCATTGCAAAGTTTAAGCTCTTTACGAAAATTAGCTCTTGCAAGCTGGAGTTTAACTGATGATGCATTCCCCAAGGATCTCGGTAGACTAATTTCCTTAGAAAATTTATACCTTGCAGGAAATGATTTTTGCAGCCTACCAAGCCTCAGTCGTCTTTCAAAGCTTCATGATTTGTCTTTAAATAAGTGCAAAAATCTTCGTGCAATCCCAGATTTACCAACAAATTTGAAAGTCTTAAAAGCAGATGGCTGCATTGCATTAGAAAAAATGCCAGATTTTTCAGAAATGTCAAATATAAGAGAATTGTATCTAGGTGATTCAGGCAAACTCACTGAGATTCCAGGCCTGGATAAGTCATTAAACTCCATGACAAGGATTCATATGGAAGGCTGCACCAAACTGACTGCCGATTTTAGAAACAACATCCTACAGGTCTCTCTCTCTCTCTCTCTCTCTCTCTCTCTCTCTCTCTCTCTCTCTCTCTCTCACACACACACACACACACACACACACATATACATCTTTCTCTTTCTTTCACATACAATAAGAACGTATTTCCTATATAAATTTGGCTCTTCATGGTATAGGGATGGACTTCTTGCGGATATGGTGGCATTTTTCTCAGTGGAAATGATATTCCTGATTGGTTCCACTGTGTCCATGACGATGATATTGTGTCTTTCACTGTGCCTCGAAGTGATGGTCGTAATTTGAAAGGGTTAACTTTGTCCGCTTACTCTTCAGACTGCTACGGTACCCGTTGTCGTATTAGCATTAAAAACATGACCAAGGGTACTGAGCTTGACGCCAGGATCACACCCGTTTCCAATTATCCAAATACGGGGTTATTATCTTTGGCAGGGACAGTTATCGAATGACGAGCTCAAATTGCAAGACGGTGATAAAGTCTTGATTGAAATAATAAACAAATATAATTGGTTGATGGTGAAGAAAACAGGTGTTAGTCTGGTATGGGACAAATTTATGAACGAAAATATGATTGATTACCATCTTTGTGCGTATGAACGACGCCCATATTTGGTCAATGATGATGACATCATTCATGTCAAATATGATAATCACATAGCAAGATCACCAGACCTTTCAAAATTCCCAAATCTTGAGAAGTTGATATTGAAAGGTTGTAAGGAGTTGATTAAGGTTCACTCATCCATCGGGGATCTTGGAAGACTTTCTTTGGTAAATCTTGAAGGCTGCCGATGGCTAGAGGATCTCCCACTGAATTTTTATAAATCCAAGTCTATTGAAACTCTTCTACTTAATGGTTGTTCAAGTTTTGAAGACTTTGCTGATGGCTTAGGGGACATGGTATCATTAACAATTTTGGAAGCAGATTACACAGCCATCAGACAAATTCCAAGTCTCGCTGGTCTTTCAAAGCTCAAGGTCTTGTGTTTAAATGCATGCAGAAAACTTCGTGCAATCCCAGATTTACCAAAGAATCTGTATGTTCTGAAAGCAAGCAACTGCCCAGAATTGGAAACAATTCCAGATTTTTCAAAAATGTCGAATATGAGAGAATTGTATCTAAGTAATTCGTTCAAACTCACTGGGATTCCAGGCTTGGATAAGTCATTAAACTCCATGACAAGGATTCATATGGAAGGCTGCAGCAAACTGACTGCCGATTTTAGGAACAACATCCTACAGGTCTCTCTCTCTCTCTCTCTCTCACACACACACACACACACACATCTTTCTCTTTCTATCACATACAATAAGAATGTATTTCTTATAGAAATTTGGCTCTACATGGTACAGGGATGGACTTCTTGTGGATATGGTGGCATTTTTCTCAGTGGAAATGATATTCCTGATTGGTTCGACTATGTCCATGCCAATGATATTGTGTATTTCACTGTGCCTCGAAGTGTTGGTCCTAATTTGAAAGGGTTAACTTTGTCCTTCGTTTACTCTCCAGGCTCATTCAACGGCAGTAACATTAGCATTAAAAACATGACCAAGGGTACTGAGCTTGAAGCCAGGATCATACCCGATTGTCGAACTGAGGGTTATTATCTTTGGCAGGGACAGTTATCAAATGACGAGCTCAAATTGCAAGACGGTGATAAAGTCTTGATTGAAATAATAGTGGAGGGAAAATATGATTGGTGGAATATGAGGTGAAGAAAACAGGTGTTAGTTTGGTATGGGACAAATTTTTGAACGAAAATATGTTTGATTACCATCTTTGTGCGTATGAACGACGCCCATATTTGGTCAATGATGATGACATCATTCATGTCAAATATGATAATCACATAAAAAATCACCAGACCTTTCAGAATTCCCAAATCTCGACAAGTTGATATTGAAAGGTTGTAAGCGCTTGTTTAAGGTTCACTCATCCATCGGGGATCTTGGAAGACTTTCTTTGATAAATCTTGAAGGCTGCCGATGGCTAGAGGATCTCCCACTGAATTTCTATAAATCCAAGTCTATTGAAATCTTCTACTTAATGGTTGTTCAAGTTTTGAAGACTTTGCTGATGGCTTAGGGGACATGGTATCATTAACAATTTGGAAGCAGATTACACAGCCATCAGACAAATTCCAAGTCTCGCTGGTCTTTCAAAGCTCAAGGTCTTGTGTTTAAATGCATGCAGAAAACTTCGTGCAATCCCAGATTTACCAAAGAATCTGTATGTTCTGAAAGCAAGGAGCTGCCCAGAATTGGAAACAATTCCAGATTTTTCAAAAATGTCGAATATGAGAGAATTGTATCTAAGTAATTCGTTCAAACTCACTGAGATTCCAGGCTTGGATAAGTCATTAAACTCCATGACAAGGATTCATATGGAAGGCTGCAGCAAACTGACTGCCGATTTTAGGAACAACATCCTACAGGTCTCTCTCACTCTCTCTCTCACACACACACACACACACACAATCTGACTGCCCATGTAATGGTATATGCATGCGTGTATAAGAATGTATTGCTTCTGGTGTGCAGAGATGGACTTCTTGCGGATTTGGTGGAATTTATTTGAATGGAATTTATGATATTCCTGAGTGGTTCAAATTCGTCAATGATGTGGACAATATCGTCTTCTTTGAAGTTCCTCAAAAAATCATGGGTCGTGATTTAAAAGGGTTGACTATGTGCTTCGTTTACTCTTCAGAGTATCTAGAACTTGATTATCAAGAGGGTCCTATTGGCATTATCGTTAGAAATCTTACCAAACAAACTGCTTTGCACACCAAGATAGCATTTGCCTCCGTAACATCTTACTGTTACGGATACAGATGGCGGAGACACTTTTCAAAGAAACGTCAAGAATATCTTTGGCAGGGACAATTGTCAAACGATGTGTTACGTTTGCAAGGCGGGGGACCAAGTCTCCATTCTTGTAAGGCCTGATGATGTTGGTTTTGTGAGAGTGAAGAACTTGTCGGTCATCTCGGCCGCTCCTTCTTCCTCTCCAGACTCTTCGACCTCGAGGTTCGCTCCGATTTCGACTCTGAAAACGACGACGTCGTTGAGAGGGTCCGCGTTTTGCCTCGCATGGTATGTATGGTCTGCTCAACTTCACTTCAAGAGATTTGATTTTTGTTTGGGTTTTAGGGTTTATTTGATGTTGGGGTTTTGTTTTGTTTGTTAGATTCATTTGCACTCGGCCACGGACACACCGCTTAATGTGACCTTCATAAGGGCTCCTTCTCATGCTTTGTTGAAAGTCAATATTCCTCTTGTATTTCGAGGAGATGATGTCTCTCCTGGATTGAAGAAAGGTAAAATAAATCAATCCCCTTTCCTTTTGTCTCTTCTATCTATCAGATTTCATTCCTTGTTCCAATTTCCTTTTGCAATTTCTGTTTCTATTTTCTTCTTGTGTATGAGATTTCGTTTCGGTCATCTTCATCTTTACAGCACTTTTAGATATTATTATAACTGTCCTTTGTGTAGATAAACTGTTGTAGCTAGCAAAGTAGGATAATGGTCAAATTTGTTCATGGTTTTGTTTTTCTATAGTCGTATATAGAACAACAAAAACAGAGGTGCTTGTGTGCTTTGATCACAACTTAGCGTCAGAATATTGCCTTCATGATCATTATGAGCCTTCCATGAAGGTCGAGCCATCTGAAATTTTAAATTGTTCTAGAACTTTTGTGGGAAATCATTGTTTCTAACATTTGATTATAAAATGATTGGCAGTTTCTGTTTCAAAGCGGAATCATGACATGGGTGATTGAGAATATGAAACTTTCCTATGAAGTACGTTATTAATTTGAACTCATTAGCAACTGAGGTTGAGAATTCCAGCTATTATCCGGAAATCAAACAAGGTTTTGTTGATTGTGAAGAGTTTCTGTTGTTTGGGAAACAAGTCAATTTCTAATCAAACTTTAGGGGCTGGGGGTCTCATAGAGATTGGAAAAGTGACTGGGTCATAGGTTTCTATGCTAATCTGGGGTCAGGATATTTACAAACCGAAATATGTGCCTTGCTCCATAGCTTGAGAAACTCAAATTGCTCATATCATGGTTGAGGTGGATTCCGCCGTTGTTGCCTCCCTTTATGGGTTCTGGCTGATGAGTGCAGAGAGTTGATCCATAGGCACTTGCACTGTTTTGCTGCTCATATTCACAGAGAAAGAAATGTTGCTGCTGATGCGGTAACCAAAATGGGGATAGGTAGGGACATAGGGCTGGCAAGGCTTAGCCTAGACTGATTGTTCTTTAGTTTCCTGGTTCCTAGCTTTGCCTCCAGGAAACAATATATAGAGACTTCATTTGATCACGGCTTACTTTTCATATCCTATTATATTATATACTGTAAACTCTGTTCCATAGATTTGGTTGATATCAGCGTCTTGTGCAGGGCAGTTACTTCATAGTCTTTGTTTCAAATCATTACTCATAATCTCCTGAGTCGTGTTGGTTACTATGGATTAGTTTACTCTTTTGTTAGAATAATTTTAATGATCTGATTCATTTAAGTGTGACCTTTAACAACTTGGCAGGTGCTTATTTAAATACAATCAAGAGGACTGTAAAGTTCCTTTGCCCTGCAGATGTGATTCCTCCATATATTGATGTGGATCTGAGTGAGTTGGATGTCGGCCAAAAGATATTAATGGGAGATCTCAAGGTTCATCCGGCTGTAAAGCTTATTCAGTCAAAAGATGAGCCTGTTTGTAAGATCATGGGAGCCAGAGTTTCTGAACAAAAGAAATCTAAATAACTGCTATGGTTGGATGTGGCTGCCCATTGTCATGAAAATGTGCTGGCACCATTATCCCTTCTCAGCTAAACATGTTTATGTGTTCGACCAGAAATTCTTTTGATTTGGGGAAAAAAAAAAAAAAAAAAAAAAAAAAAAAAAAAAAAAAAAAAAAAAAAAAAAAAAAAAAAAAAAAAAAAAAAAAAAAAAAAAAAAAAAAAAAAAAAAAAAAAAAAAAAAAAAAAAAAAAAAAAAAAAAAAAAAAAAAAAAAAAAAAAAAAAAAAAAAAAAAAAAAAAAAAAAAAAAAAAAAAAAAAAAAAAAAAAAAAAAAAAAAAAAAAAAAAAAAAAAAAAAAAAAAAAAAAAAAAAAAAAAAAAAAAAAAAAAAAAAAAAAAAAAAAAAAAAAAAAAAAAAAAAAAAAAAAAAAAAAAAAAAAAAAAAAAAAAAAAAAAAAAAAAAAAAAAAAAAAAAAAAAAAAAAAAAAAAAAAAAAAAAAAAAAAAAAAAAAAAAAAAAAAACGTTAACCTTTGCCTTCAACCGTCGTTGCCCGTTGCCTTCAACCGTTTCTCAGAGCTTAGCGGTTTCTCTGAGCTATGAGTTTGAGATCAATGGGTTTTTTCTGTTCAAACTTCGAACTTGCCTCTTTTTTTTTTTTTTTTTTGTTGGGACCAACTTCATTGCTGGATATTAAATTCGGGTTTGGGTTCCTCACCTACCCGATTGCACAACTTTATCCCAATTCTCCCCAGCCCTTGGATTGATCCAATGACTATAAAGTGAACCCCTTATAACTTACCCCTCATTATAGTATGAGCGCTTGATTAGAACCCTCTTTCTCTTGATATCCATCTTTCATACAACTGCATTATATATAGTCCTTTGACACACTGCATTATTTGTATCTATATCAACATTTCAATATAAATTTAATGCATTATTTTTTCGTTTAGAAAACTAGTGGTAGATAAGGTGATTACAATAAATTTTTAATCTTTTTGCACACTCTATGTCTCCATTTTTCTTTAACTTGTAATATTAAATTTTAAACCCATACAGCTACAGTATGATGTTGAGTGACAGGATCCGACCTAAATTCCACTTTGGAATTCAAGCCGAACCCTGTGCATGTCTGACACCTGGCGTATGCCGAGCACAAATGACCTATTTGCCTTTCTTTTCAAAATACAATTATCTCAAGTTTGACTTCTGCCAAAAATTCGGCAGAGTCTCCCCTGTAAATTGAACATATTCCAAAATTTCCACCCGTAAAACAAGCATAAATATACATACATATAACCCAGCTTAGATTGTTGCTGATATGGGATTTTTTGACATAAAGGTTAAAGTCCAATTTAGATTGTACAAATTTTAATTATTTTTTGACATAAGGGTTAAAGTCCATCTCTTTATGAACAATGCTCATCATCTCTTCTTTCAGAGTTTTAATGATGTTTAAGTTGCAAAAGTTAGACACCCATGTATGTTCCTTTTCATGTTTCTGTTTAGGTTTGTAACAATATCAAATGATGCATTTACTAATAGGTTCTTATGGGTCTACCCTGCGATACAAGAGTGTGGAACGAATGAAGCCTATTGGAAAGCATTCTTGTTGGTCCGTCGCAAATCTCGCGGCCTGGTGCTCCGGGCCGAGGGGATGTGCGTCAACACGTGACGTCCTTTTTTTGGATGCGGTGCGGTTGTGCGTGGGCGTGCCAGCACGGTCTACCGTGCGTTGAGATGGTGATGGGGTTTGGGTAGAAGATGTTCAAATGATGCGCCTGTTTGGAGTTAGACTTCTGGTCAAACGATTGTGGCCGAGAGAGGAACTTATCTCGGCCGTCAGGTTCATGGCCTGAGCTACAAGGCCGTTTAGTGGTGGTGTTGATGGATTTTGGGCGGTGCTCCGGCGCGTTGCTCGGAGAGCGACGGTCGTATGATATATGGGGTGAATGAGGCGGTAACAAGGATGATGCTCCGGCGCCTTGAGAAATCAAGGGTCATATGATATATTGATGAATGGATTTTCCTTACAATCTATCACTACTCCTAGGAAAGCATATAAAGGTATTGAAAGTGCATTGCAGAAAATATAAGTTGCTTCGTGGGAGGCTTTTGGTTTGGTGTTTGAACCCCTTGAACGTGGTCTTGAGCTCAGTATTTATAGGAGGAGTCCTGGAGGGCCAATCGAGGCTGAAAAAAGACATGCCTGATGGCTTAAAAATATTTGTATGATGGAATCTGATCGGGGCAAGTGGGTAGTCAAATCGGCATTTGGGACCGTGAAGCATGGTGGTCTGGGTTGAGAAGCATGGTGGTGTGACCCCCATAAATCTCGGCAAATCTCGGCCACCGCCCTGATCGTGGGCTCTGCCACCTTGGCCGTGGGAACGCATTTAATGCTCTGGTCCAGTGGTTGGTGACCTGACCTGAAGCTGTGAGAATGCTTTGTCAGAATGTTTGCGCCTAACCACTCTGATTCCTGTTACCAAATCCTGACTTCAATCACTTCGCTTATGCCCTCGTGCATTAAATGCTTCTTGCACCCAGTGGTTTTGCTGTGGCGGTCAGAGGCACTACTTCATTAAATGGGGCGTGGGACCCTGATGCCACATGGCGATTTGACCACAGCCTCTTCGGCCGTGTCTTCCATGGACCTCGGCCTCGTCCCATAATGTCGTGGTTGTGAGGCCGAGAAGATCCTGCCTTCGCATTTTCTTCCGCTTTCGAAAAGGCTAAATGTCTGACAAAACGTGGCCGTTTCAGTCCATGAACAGGTGCCACGGCCGAGAAGAGGTCCCTCATGATGACCGTGATTTATTAGGCACAAACAATTCTCTTCTTGGTGCAAGTGGAGAAATAAGTGACTTTCAAGAGCTATTACGTTATCTTGATGAGCTCATGTAAGCATTGTTCTCAAGAAAAATTATGTAGAAGATACCTTCTCTAATGCTTTCATTGTGATTTTTGCCATGCTTCTTGGTATCATTTGCAACTGGAGTTAAAAAGATTATTCATTTTGAGTTTTATGGTTGTAGCCTATATGACAACATGTGGGATGATGGCAACTCTTTGGGACCTAAGGAGGTCCACAACTATTTGACCCGTGTGATGTACAATAGGCGTAACAAGTTCAATCCACTGTGGAACTCTCTTGTCCTTGGTGGAGTGAAAAAAGGGCAGAAGTACCTTGGCATGGTAGGCCTCATATAATCCTTCCCTTAACGCATTGTAGCATGCTGTGTTCAATTAGGAAAGCTGATTATTTATTTATTTATTCAAGAATAAAGTTTATGAATGAGCTGACTTAGTTACTTGTCATATTCTTTTATCCCTATCCAGGTTA